CAACAGCAACAGCAACAGCAACAGCAACAGCAACAGCAACAGCAACAGCAACAGCAACAGCAACAGCAACAGCAACAGCAACAGCAACAGCAACAACAGCAACAACAGCAACAGCAACAGCAACAGCAACAACAGTGAGTTCACAGTTCCCGTTGATTCAGGGATACATTTACCAATCTTACATATAGTGTCCTCCAAGCGCAGCAGCAGCAACAACAACTTCGGCAGCAATGGTGAGTTTACATACCAATCCAGTCGAAGTCAAAAACAAATGGCACAGTCTGACGAGAGGGCTCTCTGGTGGTTACTGTGACATATCACACACAGTGGTACCCCTGTCCTTATTGACAGTGCCAACTATATTTGATCTGACGGCCACCTCCTCCGCATCTCGAGAACGTGTCAGACTGTGCCAATTTTTGCTCTCGGAGGCCTACCATGTATAATTGCACGATTGTCAAGACACTAACTAATGCAAGCAGCAGCGAAGCGGCAGCGCCAGCAGCAGCAAAAGTCCGTTCTTGACGGGCTTTCCGAGCAGTGGCAGCGGCAGAGAAAGACCTGCAGGATGCTGCAACGCGCGTTAAAGCTGCAGAGACAGCTTTAGTGCTGCTCTCTGATGAAGCAGCAGCAGCAGCAGCAGAAGAAGCTGCAGAAGATGCGCCCATGATGGGCAATTAGCAGCAGCAACAGCAGAGCAGCAACAGCAGCAGAGGAGCAGCAGCAGCAGCAGCAACAGAGCAGCATAGCAGCTGCATAGCAGCAGAGTAGTAGCAGTGGCAGCTGCAGCAGCTGCAAATAATACACAATTGCGCTTTGATCCACCGCCATTGGCGTCAACTTGTAACACCTGGATGATTCTGGGGTGGCCGCGATTGGCAATCATGAACTGATCAACAGCGAGGATGGCACAAGGGCAGGCGTTGGGTCGAAGATCGGGCGAGCCGCGCGATCGAGGAGAACCGCCCTTCCATGACAAGGAAGGACAGGTCTAGATCTGGGAAGAGACACAGTATCAAAAGGCATTCATATACGATTTCTACGTGAACTCCGTCATAGCTCGCTACAAAAGGCATTACAGACCCTAATACGTGCACCAAAAGTCGACATCCATCATCACCATCACACACCATCTTTCCAAAATGGCGACATAAAACAGAACCAGGTGAGACCGCAGCTGGCAGTCCGGACTTCCAAAAGGGCGACAAATTGTTCAAGTTCTCTTCTTCATCATCCCTCTCAGTTTCCTTGCAGCGCCAACAATCGGGTCGCCCGCGTAGATGTCATAGGGGTCTTTCTTCTCTCGCCCCCTCTCGCCGCCCCATTGAATGCGAGCTTTAGGTTGGGCAGAAGACGACGACGCTTCTTGTGTGGGTTCTGGCACGGCGGCCTCGGTTCGACGCGGCTCGTCTTCGTCACTGTCGCTGCTTGAATCTTCATCTCCGCCACCCAAACCCAATGCGGCCAGTCGACGTCGCTTTTCCGCGGCGGTTTCTCCTTCATCGTCGTTCTCCTCTTCCTCTTCGGATCGGATCCTCGCCAGGTGTCTCCTGCGCAAGTCTGCCGCCGTCTGACCTTTGCCGTGTCTCACCACGCTCGATCTCACATTGTGAGTCGGAATATGTCCCCCCTCCTCTTCCTCTGCTTCCTCCTCGTCTTCTTCACTCTCTTCGCTCACTGTTTGGGTGCGGTCTCGGGTGGTCAGTCGATCGGGTCTCGGACGCCGGTGGGGGCTGAAATAGTCTTCGGCCTCTTGCTCACTCGTAGTTCTTCTGCCAGCATCAGGGCGGCCGGCGGCTGAGGCACCGCCGATGTTTGTCTCGGTCCGGCCACGCGCTGGACTCTCCTCGGGCGGAGTCAGCTCATCAAGTCCCTCTCTTTCCATTTTCGCGGCTCTTCGCACTTCTCGTTTAATGTCTTCAGTGGCGTCACTCCGTTCAACTTCTCGAATCTTATTCTTAGGGTCCAGCTGCTGCATTTGTTTGATGAAGTCCCTTGTCGACAGTCGTCGGCCAGACCCTAATGCAATAGTCCCAGGGGCATCTCGCGTTTTCTTTTGCAACCCGGTCAAGCCGTATTGATCAGCCCTGGAGATGGTCATTCTCAAGCCGTCGTCAGAAGAAGCATCGCTAATGCGTCTCTTGAAGTCTCGCTTTTTCACAACTTCCTCCTTCAAGTCGTGGTCTTCTTTCTCTGATGGTACCGGAGCAGCTGTACTGGGAACTGCTGGAGCTGCTGTTCCAGTTTGTCGGCCCAAACCAACCCACGTGCTCATGCGGCGCAGCCCATCCCGCATTTGCTGCTCCCTCGTCTTGTCGCCGCCACCACTTTCGCTAGGGATGTTGTATGTCTTGATGACTTCGCCGTCCTCGTCTTCGACAATAACCGTATTGCCAAACTGGTAAGCATGAGCTGGACCTCGCTTTCGTTCGGCCTGCTTGGAGCTCGAAGGTTCTGCATCTCCCTCCTTCCTTCTGCCGAACCCTTTCCATTGATCAAATCTCTGACGCATACTTTTGGGCATGACGGCTTGTTCAATCTCCTCCTCCACCTCGTCCCCTTCGTTTCTGGAGTGTGACTCATGCTTGTGTTTTGCGAATTGCCCGGATTCGTCCTTCGCCAGCCGGTTTCGCGCTTTCTCGATGGCCTCAGCCTTTTCTTCTGGAGACATGTGACTGGCGTCAATCGTGTCTATCACGTTTCCTTCCTCATCCTCGACCACAATATTGTCACCTTCCTCATATGCCTCGACGTCTGCAGCCAGGTCCGGAGGTGGTGGAGACCGTCTGCGGCGGACGGGGACTCTCTCAGTCTCGGTCTCCTGCTCTGCTTCAAGCTCATGGCGCTCTGGGGATGAGGATGGTGACACGACCCCAAGGCGGTCTTGACGACTTTGTGGCGAAGGTTCGCCGGACTTATCGAACAATGTGTCCGACCCGGACTCCTGTTGCACGAGTGCGGGCTCACTAAGTCTTGACGGGGCAATGGCACTCTGGCTGACAGGTCCTCCAAGCCGTTCTTCGAGATCTCTATCCCGCCGCCTCCGCCTCCGTGCTCTGCCATGGCTCGAGGACCTAGAGCCCGGCCTCTTCTCATACTCGTCTTCCCGCTGTCGCCGGAGATGGAGCTTGGGGATTCCAATCGGAGGGAGTTCCCCAGGCGGAATCTCCAACTTCTCGTCAATGTCCAACTCCGAGCTCTCCCGGCGCGACATGGACCGTGACTGAGACGTAATTCTGGGGAGTCGCTGCATCCATGCAGGGCCTTTCTCGTTGTCCTGAGTGTATGATAGAGTGATTGTTAGAGTGTTGATCCGCTTGCCCAAGGTGAAGACGGCAATGGAGGATCCATGTACGAGAATCGATGAGATGACCATGAACGTGACCAGGGGCCATATAAGGTAGATGAGCAGAAACTCCTCGTTCGATTCCGGGAGCTTGGCCAACGGGATCGTTCCGTCTGTTTCCAATTCTGCACGTGCCAGGATTGCTGCAAAGATGGCACCGACCCCAATGGGCCCAAAATGACCGGCAAACAAAGCCTCGCGCCAAGTTTTGACGTCGGGAATGAGTGGTTTCAGTGCCAACATGGCAGGTATCCGACGGAACAAGATGACCATGATCGAAATCACGACAAGCCGCCAGGGAACGAGGCCGAACGCGCGCGCATTGTACTGATCCCAAGGGATGATGGTTCCAAAGTAAACAAAGTAGGCCAAGTTGAGGAGCAAATCGATGACGTTGGACACATGGGACTCCTCGGTCTTCTCGGTGAACCAACCGTCGTTCGAAAACCCGACTCCAGCAGCAAATCCAATCAGAAGATCGTCCATCCCCAACAGACTCCCAGAACCGGCACAGAACAAGGCCAGGACGAAATAGAATACAAGGAAACTTTCGCGGTCAATCAAGCCTTTTCGCTCGGCGAATTTGATGGCGTGACGGCCAATGTATCCGACCATGACGCCGTAGAAAGCGCCAAAGATACACTCGTAGAGGATCGTGTAGCACGTCCAATGAAAGATAACCTCTCCGGCCCGCAGGTGGTACCTAACCAAGTAGAGGGACAGATAAATGAATGGAAAAGCCATCCCGTCGTTGCAACCGGATTCGGCAGATAGGACGTCTCGAAGATGTTTGGGCACTCGTTTTGCGAACTTGCCCTTTCCCACGACCGATGATGCCAGGACCGGATCGGTGGCGGTGACGCAAGCCGCAACGACCAGAGACTCCAGCCAGCTGAGAGGGACAACCATCCACCAGATGAAGAGACTGGTGACCAGCCAACCAAAAGTCATGACTGGGACCAGGAGGAACACGACCGACTTCCAGTGCCTTTCCATGTACGCCTTGGGCAACTCGACGCCGACGGCGAAACACTGAACAACCAGGACGATGCGGGAGAATTCGAGGGTGACTTGGTCGGTGTTACCCCAGGTCAGAGGGTTGATGAGATTTGCCGCATGGGGTCCAAATATGACGCCGCATATTGTCGCAACCGTTGCTTCGCCAATGTACAGTTTCTCCTTGATGAAAAGCGAGCATAGCATGAATATGCTGGTGAACCCGCCCAGGATGATGTACACCAAATGTGGTTTGTCTATGGTGAGCTGCGACCACGCCATCTGGCACAGATGTCGTGAAACCTAGGAGTCGTACGAAGTTGCAAAGGTCTTTGGCGGCAGGTTTGGCTCGACAACGAGAAACTGAACTGTAGCCAGATTGTTTGCTCCAAGTGACAGATCCCCTCCCGTATGTATTTCTAAAATATACACAGATATTGATTTATATCGACAAGAAAGTTATATTGCCTCCTCGGCAGTACTATCCCCAGTCGTTTCCTTCTCTTTGGTGAAGATCGTGATGCAGAACCCACCGCATTCAGAGAGCGTCTGCCAGCATGTGTGGTTGGAGTGGGACGAATAGTCGCGAGTCTATCTCGAAAGGGGTCGGTCTACCGGGTGCGGCGGTGGGAGGGTTCTATAGTGAGTGTAAAGACTCCAGATCGGGGAGGCACAGTGCAGTGGTAGATGAATGAAAGGATCGAGAGGTAAGAAGGGGGAAGGAAAACCCGCCCCGGGGTCTGCTATATGTGCTGTGGTGGAACTCCGGTGCTGAGATGAGTTCGGTGGGGAGGGGAAGGCTTTAGTCGGGAAAGCGTGCTGCAGTTGAAGAAATGATCCTTGAGAGAAGATTGGGCAAAGATGATTGAGGTCCTGCCGTGCCAATTGAGGAAAAAGCACACTCAGCAAGGAGAAGTCTTGGGTGCCGGGTGTATCTATGGGGATAAAGAGTGACAATCAAGATTGACGTGAGGAGTTTGTTTTTTTTAGAGGGTAATAATTAGCTGAGCCGGGATCTTAATAAGGCGCCGAGCCTTGTCGAATGGAGATCCGGTGGTGTTGGGTGGCCCCTTGGAGGGCTTGGGGGGTTGGCGAGAGCGTGGCACTGCGGCATGGCAACCACGGAGTAGGTACGTGCCCAAGTCCACCGTGGTACTGCTGATATGTGAACTTGGGGGACTGATATCGACGCCCACGCCGCCCACGCTCCACCAGCATGCGCCCTGTGTGGAGCCAGTTGACCACCCACAGTTGACCGCAGGCAGTTAGCTGCCCTTGTGCCAGTGCCCGAACTAACTAGAAACGGGCGCCGCGCCCACGCCACGCCTGCGCATCGGGCACTCGGCTTGATTCCTACGAGGACGAGTACGAGAACCACTACTGGCACCACTGGTATCTCTGGGTCGGGAGCCAACGCCACTAAATTTATTTCCTTCACGTTCTTCATCTATCTCCTATCAAGCCTTGGAAGACAGACGACGCTCGACGAGACACGAATTCGGTGAAACCCCTCTTCTAGCCACTGCACGTCCTCTTATCGCTGTCTTCTCATCCTCCGCTCTCGACCCCTCCCACCGCAAGGCCCCTAGGACTCCCCCAAGAGAGAGCGGCATATCGATTCTACCAGGGCGCTTCATGGTTGGTCCGTGGACTCAAGGGTCCTCGATTTAAGAAGAATGGACGGCCTTGGCTACATGAATCACTGGGCCTACTGAACCGCCATTTCCGGTGCAGATCGTTCTGACCGCTTGCCAGACTGACCGACTGGTCTGCACAAGGACTAATCACATCCTTCGAGGCTGTAGTCCCTCGAGTCGCTGCCCGGTTATTGGTACTCTGGTCTCGCTTCGATTCACCTCAGGGTGCCCAAGGCCAACCATGTGACCGGACCTGATAGCGACCTATCGTCCACTCATGGCCAAGGTCCGCCAATGTTGTGCATCAATTCCACCAGAAGAAGAAAAAAACACACTGCTGCCACTGCGACGCATGACTTGATCCTGCAGATACGAGCAGGACGGAGAGGAAGAAGCAACCAGCTCTGGCCACATATGCGCAGTTTCTCTGGCTTGATCCTGCATATTATTGCTTTCGTCCCAGTGCAAGATTCAGGCTGCTAGGCTCTCAGTCATCCACGAAATCCTATCCACCTTCAGCAGAGAAAGCCAATCGATTGATAAACCATCCAATTCATCGACCGTCGTGCAGATGAGCCTCATGTCGGTCGCCTTCGACTCATTGCTTTTGTCCATCAACCTCTTCCTCCCGACAGTACAATTACATTCTTCGATAGCGTCGCTCGCTAAGAATCATGCCGCCCATCAAGAAAAATTTGGAAGTCCGCCGCCCCTGTGACAAAGTCCCATATGTACTCCTCATACATGAAGTCCCGCACTTTTGAAATGTCCCTGAGCCGGAAATGGCTCGTTTCTGCAAACTTTTCGCGTCACATGTTGTGTCTCTGTGGGGTATATACTGATCATATGTCCTGATAAATCATATCGACTGGCTTCGTCAAGAGTCGGGGTCAAAATTAAAACTAGTGTTCCAATCAAGCCTGCATCTGTCGCAGTTGCAGAAAGAAGAATAATCATATTCGTCAAGACGACTGACCTCGAGATCGGAGTCTGCGCTTCGCTGGACGTCGTCACGAGTTCGAAACTGAAGCCAATGCTCGCTCTTTGATATGCCCTGCCTGGGTCTCCAGCGACCGCGCCATGAGCTTGAAGACTGTGACAGAGGATTAGCACATCTTATTATCACGCGTAAGGATTGACTCACCAGGCCATACGGAATCCCTTCCTAGGATGTACGCCGTCAGTGCAAGGATTCTGCTGCCGTGGCCTCCTTCTCGTGCCGCAGAGAGATCAAATCCCCCCTGAGTTTCGACCTTGTGTTCTGCACTCGTCAGGATCTCGTCGATCTTCTGAATCAGCGTCCGGTCCTCATCCTCGAGGAGCAGTATGCCTGGTACTTCTACCAGGTTCATTTCATCGCGCCCGATGACGCCTAGGTATTTGCCAACCCGTTCTTGGACAGTTGCGATCCACTCTGCTAGGACTTGTGCACAGTCAAATGCACACATTGCAGACTGCGTTGGTAGCTCTCGAGAGGTATGTTCAGCAAAACTCAGACCGAGTTTGTCTGACATGGCCAAGGAATCGGCGGCGTAGAATGCTGCCTTCCGAAGATGTCGTTCGCGCCGAGATGAGTGGGATTTCCGGCCTTCTTGCTCGTGTTCTCCTGGTTCCACTTTCATGCCATCTTCCACAGGAGTTGGCATTTGCTCTTGATTCTTTGTCTCTGGCTTTTGAGTTGGAGAGTTACTGGGTTGGTCTGATTTGCCCGTTTCCTGCCCTGGAACTGCTTCCGAGCCCTTGGCTAGCTCTTCCGCCATGGCATCGTAGTCTCGCTGCCAGAAAGCCTCCTTGGATCTGCCGAAATTGACAAACAGTCGGATGTAAGCGAGGTCAAGCAAAGGGACGCAATCCGCGGACAAGGGACCATCGCCAAATGGATTGGGTCGTTCGATGCTATGCTTGGGGTTGCTCGCCCATGCCGCCTCCCAGGCGGTGAGTGCTGGTTCGATATGTGCATGCATCTGCTCCGTCTCGCTTGCGGTCCATTGCCGGCCCAGGTGCCGTTGTCGTGTTTCCCAGATGTAGTTATGTAAAGCGTTGATCAGGATTAAGCAACCGAATGTGCTTGGGGTGAGTTCTAGCTCGGGCGCAAGCCCGACTGCGTTGCCGTTACTGTTCCGCCGGCGTTGTCTGTGCGCGGACATGAGTAAATGTGTCAATGAAGCGGCAAAGGTAAGAGCGCCCGTTTCGGCACCGGGTCCTCCCAAGTTACGCCATGTTTGCGCAGACTCGGCAGCCCAAAGTTCTTCGGCGCAGGGCAGGTTCAAGCGGATTTCAGAATTGGTGAGCGCGGGAGGATGATTGTAAGCTGTCACAAGCATGCTCGAAAGGATAAAGACCGCGTACAAAGTTCGCTTGCGTTCTTCCATGACCTTCCATTCCAACCAGTCAGAATCGTCCATTTCGCTGATCATCGAGCTCCAGCCATTGTTGGGCATTCCACCCATCGGGACGTTGATGTTCCCATCGACGACGCTTGTTCCGCTGTAGCCCTGAGAAGGCTTCGCGAGCTCGGCACCGCGAGCAAGGCTTACCAGGGCAGCACAATGGTTGCTCGCAAGCTCAGCTGCTGTTTTGTCGCCACAATTGTGGCCATAAATCACGTTCAATAACATAGCCTGGACCAGCCAAAGCGGCGTATCTTCTCGCTCAGCAGAGTGTCGAGGGCCAAATTGGGTTTTGGTCAGGTTGGCCTTGCGCCTTTCTTCGAGGTAACTGCTGATCAAACGCTTGGCGCACTCGAAGAGCTCTCTCGACTGAGACACCTCGTGTTCATATAGGGCCCCAATGGCCGCGATCGCTAGGATCAAGCAACTGCCTCCTCCAGCTACAGAGGCCTGGCCAAATTGAGAATGGCCAGACACCAGCCTGATTGGAGTAGTATAGTCTGACGATTCAAAGTTGAGTGTCGGGACGTGTAGAAAAGGGAGGTGGGGATGAAAGTATTTGATATAGGCAGAAACATATCGCTGCAACTCGTGTGTGCTCGGAAAAGTGCTAGCGTTGAACCCTTTCGTTCGTGTATTGGAGCCTGGAGACAGCGGCGAACTGATTGCTGGTTGAGAGTACTTGCGTTGTCCAAAGCCTGAATTCTGAGAGAGGCCGGCGATCAAAACATTCCGAATATTATCATTGACCAGATCGGAGGACATGGTTGTGATCGAGCTCTGTCGAAGGCTACTGTCCAGTGAGTTGGTGGAAGTAGTAGAGGCAGGACCATCTCCAGCGAAGGAGAGCTGGTAACCAGTAAATTGGGGGGTCGACTGCATGGCGGAAGCGTCCATCGAGGCAAAGTCCGGCGGAGTTGGAAGGCTGATATCCATAGCCGTTGCGTGACCAAGTAAGGATTTTGGCGACACGGTACTCATTGAAGCGTTGACGACATCATTAAAGTTGGACAGCATTTCGATACTCATAGGACTGTTCAATAAAGGTACGTGGGCTGCAAGAGTGGTGGACCACATGTTACCCGCAGAAACCGGAGCCTGTTGCATTGCTGCAATATTTGGGTCACCGTTTATGTCATTCACAGGAGCCGGACTATTGGTGCTCATAGCCGAGGGTGAAGAGTCATCGATGGCGTTCTCATTGGCCTGAGCGAAGGACATCTGGTTCTCGAAGCCCAAAGTCATCCAGTCGAAATTCGCATCGTCGTCAGCCATGGCTTGGGAAGCAGTCATACCAGGAAACATCTGTTGGAAAGGCGAAACCGACGAATCAACGCCCAGCCCTTGCAAGTTGGTCATATGCAGTGCGTGAGGGTTGATGGTATTTCCCTGGTCGCAGTCGAAACCATTTCCAAATTCGGCACCGAACCCTCCAAAGGGAGGCGCCGTGCGGAGGCCGCCTGAGATGTCAGACGACAGTCCGAGGGTCTCCAACTTTGGCAGATTCGAGGCATGCTGATGGCTGTTGACGCCGCGGTATTGATAGGTATGAAGACTCGATATGGCCGACATGCTGTTATGGTGGTTATGGCTGGGCAAGGGTTGGCGCCCGAAGTTGCCAACGGAATCAGACAGTATGCTCAGCCTCCGAGTGGCAGAATCCACATGGCTGACAGTGTTCGCTCTCGGTCGCATTGGCGTCGTGCTGCTCGCGGTGGAATTCTTGCGTACACGGCCAGTGGCAACTCCCGCAACACTTTCCCTTCGTCCAGACCGGGGCCGTGCTGATGGTGTGGTGGAAGAGTGGAGTTTCTGCTGATGTCGGAGTAACAGGTCACGCCTGGCGAAGCAGCGAGTACATTCGGGACACGCAAATGGTTTCTCCTTGGTGTGAGATCGCTCATGCCTTTTCAGATGCTCCAGACGAGCAAAGGATCGCATACAGGTTAAGCACACATGAGGACGGGGCTTGTCTGTCTTTGGGGGAGGAAAGGCGGGATTTGGCATGATGTTTTTGGACGCAGTGGAAACCTTGGTCGACAGAGCCTTGTTGGCTGGCGGCTTATTTGCTGAGAAACGGGAATGAGCATCAAACACAGAAAGGCGAGCTGTCTCCTGAAAAGACTTACCCTTTTCTGACACAGCAGCTTCCGCAATCTCACTTGAAGTTCCCTCAGCAGAAGCCGCCTCGGGCGACGCCACGTCCATGGTGTCGACGGGAGACTTGGTATCTTCCTCCACTATCGCCGCCATCTGTCTTCAGAGTCTATTGCCTTCAGCTCTGGTCACTTTGTCTGAGAACGACTTCCTTAATACCGTCTCTACCAGGCGAATCCTCGAGTAATGGAGAGTGGGACGGGAAAGCCAGTTGGGAAAGGAGCGTGCGCGAAACAGCTGCGTCGCAGGGAATATGCTCGGGTTCGGGTAATATATTGTGGTTCTCTGAAATTGCCCTCGGCAGCAGGTCTTTTGAAGGTTGGATTCAATGTACCATGTGTGTCCAATCCCTGAAGATGGCGTCAAATGCGCCGAGCCGCTCAAGGTGAGGAAATCCCGCAGGTACTGTCGCGCTCCAGGCGGATCTGAAAAGAGGAATCCGATGCTCCAGGCACAAATGGTAAAGACTGTACACAAGATCCCAGGAAGGTGGCAATTAAGGAAGATGGTCGGGAGTTTTAAGAGATCATGTACATGAGCAAAGCTCGAATCTAGTATTCTATGCAGCTTTTAGTACTTGGGGGTATTGTATTTGCGACATGGAGCAATGTCTAAGAGGAACGACAACATCGGCGCGAGGCTCGTACACTTACCTGAGTCAATATACCAACAGTAACAAAGTCGCGAAAATGCGCCAGAGTCGACGACCGAGGGAGAAAATAGATACTTTGGCCACAGGCCGACCGAGCGAGACGAACACCCCTCAAAGTTTTTGCACGTCACAGGTGGGTGGGCGGCAATGGTGGTTGGCGGCCACGAGCGCTTTCAAGCGTGCAGGGTGGCAGTACGAGGAGCCACGGGATTGGTAGGCTGCCACTTCTGGCAGGTAGCTGTTCGTTCTGGAACGCCCGTTGGCCAGAGGGTAGGCCGTCTTCTTGGAGAGACCCTAGTAGAAGAAAGGTAGTCCCGACCGAGGATCAAGATGTAGTCGGGTATGGCCCCTGGGGGTGCTACAGTAGGTATGGCTTTTGCAGCTTTCCAAGCCACGCCGTTTTTTGGGCGCAGGATGAGCGAAGAGCGAAAAGGACACCAGGCGAGGGGGAGACCCGGGTAAGAGAGTAAAGGAACAGATGTCTAATGCCAATCTCTTTCTCCGTGTGCTCTGGATTTTTTTGTTTCTTTTTCTGCCCTCAGTTGGACGGAAGAGCCAGGTCGCAAAGGTACGACGAAGGTGTAGTACGGAGGAAACTTGGTGATGAAATGGGTAAGCAGGGAAGAGGTGATCGGAAAATTGACGGGAGACGGCAGAAGAGGGTGGGTGAGAAGGGGGGAAGAAAGAAAAGAAAAAGGGAAAAAGGAAGAACAGATTAGAGAGCAATTCTCGTTAGAGGAATTGGTGGTGCACAAGGTGCATTTGCAATGAGATTTTTCTCAGCGGGCGGCGACACAGAACAAGGTCTGGAGACTTGGGGAGCTGGAGAGACTCTGGAGTAGAATTTTTAGCTGGAGCCCGGAGAGTCTGGAGAGACAGAAGCGACCGAATCGAACGGCAGCTTGCAACAGGCCTTTGTTAGGCCGTGTGCCTGTTATTGGGCAGCGCCAATTTGTGCACCCTCCGGGGGCGGACTGTTGCCGCATCCACAATGGGTGCAAGGCCCTGGCGCCTGGGGGGCCCTTCGTTTTGCTTCTGAAACTAAAGTCCAACGGGGCCTAGCTGCAGCGGCGCACACAGTGCCACACACACATGAGATGGAGCAGTGGAAATAACTGGGCTGCAGTCTGCAGGCGTGCAGGTGGTTGAGCACGAGTATATCCAGGCACGCCTATGCCTATAAGCTCAAGTCACAAGGGGTGCAGAGGGGCGCCGGAAAGGTGGGAGTTCATGTACAGAGCCCCAACTCCCTTAGTTGCTCCTACTGACTCGTAGTTGCTTGGACGCTCTGCCTCCGACCTTTGGGCAGCGCAGGCAGCCAACGAGATATCAAGGTAGCTAGGGAAGTACTTGAGTTCTTTGTTGGACCCATGTACTTTTCCGAAGTACCTTTTCTTCATAAACGAACCCGGTACCGATCCATATAGGCTTTGATGGTTGCCTCCCTAGTCCGTTAGGTGCGTACGAGCAGTCTGCGCCCTGTCTGGGCTGCGAGGACAGTGGGTTTGGGTTCCACAGTGTTCAAGTCCAGAGAACTCGTATGGCCGCCACAGACCCAAGATACCCTCTACTCGCGCAATTCTCCTTCTCCACCAGATAAGTGAGTTTTCGTTTCAACCCTTCTTGCCTACTCTCTACAGGCAGCCCTTGCCCTTTTTATGCAGATGTACTTCGGTACTTGTACGGAGCACACAGACTAATACTCTCCATCCGGCGCAGGCAAGACTCGGCATCACGGGAAGGAATGCGAGATGCAGGTGACGAAGCGATGAAGCGTTGAATTCTCTCTCGACTGTTGCCCTCCCGGTCACCCCTCGATCCTCCCTGCTGCACAATGACTGGATCCTCTTCTCCCCCGAGCGTCTCTTCACTTGTACTTGCGGGCGCCGTCAAAATGCCAACCATGTGTGGCGCAGGAAATAAGCACAACACACCCCAGTCCAACTTCTCTCGGGCTTGGTGGATGAGGTGGATTCAAAGTGGTTCCCTCTTGCATTGACCGACATGCAGCTCATCTCCAGGGTTCTCAGATCAACGCACAACGCTGGTCTGTTTTCTCTCCGGCGCCCGCCAGTCTGTCACTCTGTCAATCTCTGCCCCAGATTTCAGGTAAACATCACCAACCCCGTGGCCCGTGATTCTCGTCCGGTTGCACATCAATCACGATCAGCCCAGTGATCAACGGCTCACTAACACTTCCAACTCACAGCCGAGCATGAACTTTTCGGAAATACCTTCCACCCTTTGGCATGGCTCAGTGTCTCCCGTCCTCCCCAAAATATCCTAGTCGTCTATCCGGAGAAACTACGAGTACGCACATACTGGTGGATGGCAATCCAGCCGCCTTCGTACTCGTTCGACACATGGATGAGGTGGGGATCCACACTGCCGTTCCATCCCCCATTGCCAGCTTGCGAGTGGCCCAAGCTCCTCTCACTCTGCTAAGGATCATCTGCTTTCCATCCTTGAACCTTGACACCTTCTGCAAGCTGCTGTCGGCCCAGGGGGTCCCAACTTTTGGATCGTAACACCAATTATTGCGGGCGCTTGTCGACTTCATGCACCTGTTGCGTTCTCTAGTCCGAATGCTGCTCTGTCCTGCGCTGAATGGAGACTGGTATTGATCTATTTACCATCTTCGAGAACATGCCTCATCAATACTACCTACACCTGCGGAAGCACGGCGAGCCCCACTAATACAATCCACCCGGGAGATACCTAGCACAAGCCATTGTCTGTTTGATCCCTTTGATAACGGTGATACGACGAACTCGAGATACCAGGCCCTCCTGAAGTACAAGGTGTTTCGTTGAGATGCTCCACCAGGATCAGTATACGCCCGGCCTAGATATAACTTTGTTCGATCTCGATACACATCGGAAGCTGTCCAAGGTCGATGAAGTATTTTATTTTGCTCTTCATGCAGATGCTTGGGCAGGCTTCGGTTCTAGCCCCTGGGTCCAGACGGCCGCCACTGAAAAAAACAGGATGCCGCAATCCGTCGATCTTTGAGGGTTGAAGATGCACGGACGACCGTACCACTTATGTTCTGAACGAACTCCCGAACACTTCTCAGAAGAAATGCTGATCCGAATCCCCCTGCCCGTGTGGCCCCTGGTGTGGCCCCTGGTGGACCTGGAGTGGTCCGAGTGCCCGCACTAATCCGCAACCGTGTGCAAATCTGGGGTGGTCATGAGGCCGGGCACGATCAATGATGCACTACAATCCAAATAGTCAATCCCCAACACCGGTCCCCACAATCAGCAGGTGTCACCCTTGTCTGAGGAGGCCATGGCGCTGGGTTGGGATAAAGGCCTCCGTCGCTTACTGTTAGATTGTGCGGAAGGAGCTATATGTCACCAAGTTAAGTGTCGAAAAGTGTCGAAAATTGCCGCAAGTCCACCCTACCACACGACAAGGGGGGTCGTCGGCCGCTACATACGCTTACCATGCCTGCCAATGCGCTCAGGCAAAGGCCAATACCTATGCTGACAATCCCAGCAATATTTCTGAAGCCGTAAGAAGGCGAACCATCTTACGTGGTCGCCATTAGAGTTTTCATCGAACTGGTCGACTGCCTCTCAGCCTCGAGGACGTCTACCTCGGGAGGCAGCTTCAAGTCTTGGGACCTGACTCGACTGCTCGTTTCATCCAATTGGGTTTCCAGAATGCCCACAAGGCCACGAGTCCCTACCTGTCGTCGCCATTCGGATACAGTTTGAAAACCGGCAAAGCGGCCTTGACTCTGCTTGCCGCCACCAATAATAAACAGTTCGAGGTGACCAATATTACACAAGTGAGCACCTGACATGTTTCTCGGCCTCATCTTTTCCACGAGCCCCGTTAGCAGTTTTTTTTTTTCCAGCCCGCCTCCCAGCAGCGTTGGTCGAAACCTTGTCAAGACCGAAGGAAGGCTGCGGACGGCTCGGTATAAGAGCGATGCAAGGGCTTTTCCATTGGCCAGAATATGAAGGGATGAAGGGAACATTGCATGAGCCGCCCGTTAGGGTTTCTCCAAATAGGAGAGATCATTTTGTCGAAAGCCTGGGCAACCGCGTCTGACGTTCAAGCACCGCCAGCCTCGATGTCTCCATTTCGTAGGTGGCTTTTCAAGGTGTCACGATTTTCAGCCAGATTCAAACTCCTATGACGCTGCTGGAAAGGGGGTTGCAGTGTTTGCACGAATGCGAGCCGTCACTGCGATCTATCTTAACTAGAATGCCCTGCTCTAAGTTTTCTATCCGCCACTTGTTCATCTCATGTCGCACTCCGTGCTGCATCAGCGGCTTGGATCTCATGCAACTTATCAAAGGAACATGACGTTTGTGTATGAACGCTCATCTCTCTCCATGAATGATATGACACAACGAATCACTTTCGAGTGTTTCGTCCAAGAGCATCTGAATCGACTCAATGACGTTACATTGTCTACGGCAACGTTCGTCAAATGTGCAGAGGATCATGTTCATCACCAACCACCACTGGTACCACTTCGGAAATCCCCAACTACAAGCCTTGCCAGGATCCACAGTCTGATTTTTGGTGGCAATCTCAGGAGCTCCTGGATATGAACTCCGGATCTCGTACAAAGTACATCTGTGCTTGTCTGCAAGACCTGGACAAGGAACGCGGGCAAGCTCTCATTGCGATATCAATTGTCCTCGAGTGGCCTGAAACAACATTGCTCGTATCGACAGCAGACATTCACTTTGCAGGTGGGGTTGTAGTCGAATGCCTCCGATCCCGCAAGGGTGCATGAACTACTGGCTAAGCCTAGTGCAAGCACCCTATTTCGTTGCACCATGGTGCTCGAGGCTATCTCCACGTGCATGGAGGGGCAACGCGACCTACAACGAGGGGTCGAGGTCTACCAGCTCCGGCGGCCGGGACAGACCAGCCTCCCTGTCCGAAGGGCTGTGCTCAAAAAGGCTTGTAATCTCTGGTCATTCTCACAGTGCCCAGACGGCCAACGTCGTGCAACCGATGCCTGGTGGTATGCGCATGGCTGGAACTAGCAACAGTCGTCGGAAGTCTCCGTCTCGTGGAGGCATGGCATACATAGAGCATTTCCGAGTGCCACTCCCGACGCACTGCGCCCCATCATCGACTTCCAAAAACCTGCCAGCAGAGTAGAGCTCACCCTTCTACGGACGGCAAACCGGCCAAAGTTCCGGGCGGCAACAGGGCCGTCAAGTCTGTCCATGACCACATACGGCTGCGCATATACGTTAGTGCCGCGAGAGGGGAAATAGCTCGATAGCTCCCCCCAGAAGCCGTACCTCTGCTTGAAGAATACCCTGAACAGGCGATGGAGAACGGAGCTGCCTTTTCCAGCCTTGGAACGAGAAACTCTCTGGAGATTGTCCCGCTGTTTCAGGTCAGGATAGTCGTATGGGGCGAGGCGGAAATGGGACCGCGCAGAGATATCGAGTGGCTCGACTCGTATCTAATGATGTCGCAGTTCTGTTGGGATTCTGTCTACATGTGGCTTTGCAACAATGCATGGGATGGAGCCTTGTCACATCAACGATTGCTTCTGTGCCGAGTCCGGAGCAAATCACCGTCAAAACACCCCCTAACCCATCAGCACCGCTGCTCTCATTTACTGGCGTGAAGTAGGTCCTTGACAATTGCGAACGGATTCGCTACACTCTTCGAGACGAATCCCTGATTCCATGGCGAAGGGTCCAGACCCACGATGACTGAACCCAAAATTCTACCCGACCATTGACTGGGATGCTTGTTATTCGTGACTTCGTCACAGTGGCATGCTTACTCGTATCATGCTGTGGCGAAAAAAAGGCAAACCCGCATATCATGATTGGGTATTCCAAACCGAGCCTCACCGGCTCGAGGAAAGATCGGCGTTTCGTCTTTGCAACAAGATCCAGAAGCTCGGAGGGACCTCAACAATGAATTGTTGAAAGATGTCGAAGCTTCTACGGTCCGTATAACGTCTCCATAACAAATGCATACAGCACCATTGAAACTGGTGGTATGTAGGGGACATCAATTAGCAGCCCAGAAAGAGATCGAAGTGGATCTCGATCCAGGAGTCTCTCTTTGACACGGTCGCTCGAGTCCAGTAAAGCACGGGAGTCTATACGATGAGTTCAAGGGCGCGGGTTCCACCGACGGACGGATGTGCTACAGCAGTCTCAAGTATGGCATGTTCCGTGGTAGCTTCGTTGGTTCGTTGCCCCCCGTTCGTGAGGGATGGTTTGCTCCATCACACCATGCAAGACATCGTCCGTGGCTCCACAACTACCCCGAACTGCCCTGTTGAATTTTTCTTTTCGGCCCCATCTTAGTCCTCTCCGGGCCTGATGCCTCTTGGTCATAGTGGCATCTGGTGCAAGGATCCGCCAGCAGCCCACAACCAGCACCAGCACCAGCACCAGCACCAGCAGCATCCTCTTTAGGGTTTCTTTTCGTCGCAGCAAGTAAGCAAGCAGGGCAGGCATCAACCTCCTCCTCGGAGACCCTCTCCAAGATTGAATCAGTCATCATTCATCGATCGCAAGAGTTCGTTGTGGATCGTCAGAGCCAAGCATACGGTTTTAAATGAAATCAATTTGGGAACGGACAAAAAGCTGCTCCAATCCCGCTCCCTGGGGGAGAACCCACGTGGGAAAACGTTGGGGAGCGAAGCAGTAAGGGACCAGATTCAGACTGCCAGCGCTGTACCAAAGAGACGAAACCGTCGGTCATAAACGACAGAGTCCTTGGCTTGCCTGTTCGGGCGCAGCACAGATGTGCCGTACTCCTTGATCAGACACTCAAAGGGCCTTGCACTTGGTTTGACACGGAGCTCTTCGGTGGTTGTGCTGGATTCCTCTTTCCTCTCCTGCAGGTCCCCCCACAAATGAAATAGTTTCTCCTTCAGCTTCGCCAGCTCGTCCTGGTTTGCTTTGTCCCTCAAATCGCAGGCGTCCATGTTCAAGAGGAAGTCTCCGTCCGTGTCGGCCACAAGCAATTCCATCTGGGTTGGTCGCCCATCAGCACCTGCCGGCGTTCGAGCGTCCTCGACAAGGAGAAGGAATCGCCATTCCCATTTCAAATCCTGCGGGTTCCTCTCCTGAGTAGGGTCAATGTCCCAGTCTTCTTCAAAGTCCTCGTTGTCTGACAATTCATCATACTGCCCAGCTCTGAGCGGGGCAGCGAAGTCAGCAATGTTGTCTGGGAAGAAGTCCACAACGCGGACTTTCGACTTGTATGTGCAGTTCTGGAAGGGGAGTCGGTAAGGGTTGCCCTTTGCTGTCATCCGGTTCAAAATGTCCGGGTCGAGGATGTCAATAACGGGCTTGCATGAGACTCCCTCGTACTGATTACATCGAATATGGTTGTTCGATTTCAGGAGGGAGTGCTCCTGGCGCGCAATTGTGACCGCGGCGTGCTTCTTTTCTTGTTGCAGAGCCTCGAGCTTTGCTTTCTTGTTCTTTCGGTTTCTCGCCTTGGTTCTCTTGCTCTTCGGTTCATCGTTTTGCTGCTCGGTAGGTTCGTCCTTCTGCCGCTTCTTCGTCGCCTGGTTAGGATCTCGGTAGAAACTGATACCTGCTCCCTCCACCTTTTGCTCGTATGCTCGTTTGCGACGCAACAACTCAGTCCGCTTCTCATCGCCAGACTTCACCACTTCGATCAATTCCTTATCTGGGTAGTCGCGATCATCTCGACAATTGCCCTCGAGCCTCGACCCATTCCTGTCCATTTTGATTTGCACATTGCGCAGGTATACAAAGCTGCCCAAATGGGCGATTTGCGCAGCAACCGAAGCTTGCCTTCCCCAGCATGTTACCAAGATCGTCATCTTTCCCCATGGACCAGGCCATTTGTTTGACGTTTTATCCTGGATATAGCCAAATGGGTCACCGTCTCGGCCGGCTTGGTCGCCGGCGTGCTGGTAGTCGTGGAGTCTGTCATTCGTGGTGTAGTCTGTCATGTAGAGCTCTGTGGTCAAGTCGTTAGGAGAGAATATTTTGCGCACTTCGCCCAAAAGGTCTACAAAGATGCAATCTCTTCTGACGGGCAAGTCGAGCCGATCAAGTGTACGGAATTTCTCTTTGCGAGCAGGCGCGGTGCCGCCATTCTCTTCCATGGTATTTGCTATTTCCAGCTGTGTCCTAGGCTGCTGCTTTGACCATAAACTTGGATCTTCCTGGTCGGCAATCCATTTGGCGTACTTCAACTCGGCCTCGTTGGCAAGGGCTACTTTAGCTCCTTGAAGATAGTTATTGGGATCGCCGTATTCTTGTCCCATCCATCTGCCCTTGTCCTTCAGATCTTGGGCAGATTGGATGTTGTCCAACTCAGCAGCAGGAAGCACAACCCACGTGGAACTCGCGTTCGACCACCCTGTAGTCTGGCCTCTGAAGACATTGATTTTGACATTTCGCAGGATGACGACATCACCTTGGTCTCTAATGTCCGGAAGTTGTTTGAGTTGCTTGTTAAAGAACGAGAAGGGCAGACCTATGCCAGCTGGCCATGCCGGATCGTGTAAGGTGAATTTAATCTTGTAGTCTTGTCGACCATTCTGGCATCTTGTCGGGGATAAAAAGTCGACGCAGACCCCAATGACATTGATCAGCTTTGAATTTGCCTCGACACTGTAGGCGTTTGAGAGGTCGACAAAATCCGATGGCAAGGGGACGAAATTGGAGGCCATTGGTCTGTCATTTCATGGGAGAAGCGTTGGTGAGGCAAGTTTGCGCATCGATACAGAATCGACCCAGACAGAAGCAGCTTGAGAGGCGTCGTCCGTAGACGTTCTTCGCTGGGTTGATTCGCTGTGGATGAATCGCCAGGTAGTTCGTGGTGTGGGAGGTCGCGGAAGGACGTGTCCAAGCGCGACACGAGTCCACGTGACTAATGCCAAGCAAAAGTGGCATGTGCTCTCCGTCGTGACAAACAGCGGCTGCCTCTCATACGACATCCACCCTGCGAAACTGCAACCCCCGTTTTATTGCTTCGATTTATTTATCCACACCCGCGCAGTCTCATCACTGACCGCCTTCACTTGCCACAGTCCACAACCCCTCCTTGCGCGAGAGTCTGGAACCTGTCTTTTGTGGGATTCCTTGGGCAACCTCCCACCCTAGTTGAAGCTCCTAAAACCCTCCTGTCTTTGAGGCCTTTCCCTGAGACATCCCTGAGACACCACTACAATCATGGCGGAACGATATATCCCCGAGCATCGGCGAACCCAGTACAAGGCAAAAAACAGTTTCAAGCCCGATGAGCTGCGCCGTCGTCGTGAGGAACAACAGGTCGAAATCCGTCGCCAGAAGAGAGAGGAAAATCTAGCCAAGCGAAGAGGTGTCCAGCGCGGAAATGGCGAAATCGGCATTGGTGGCCTCACGGAGCCAGATAGTGATGATGAGACGGCAAATATTGAGAACGAGGTCAGAATGAAAACTTCTTTTGATGTCGTTGAGTCCTATGCTGACGGTGGTTTACAGTTGAGCACGGAACTACCAGAAATGGTCAAAGGAGTCTTCTCGGACCAGATTGATGCCCAGATCCAAGCCACCACAAAATTCAGAAAACTCTTGTCTAAAGAGCGCAACCCGCCCATCGAGAAAGTAATCGAGACTGGTGTCGTCAGCCGCTTCGTCGAATTCCTCCGGTCCCCTCACACTCTCGTGCAGTTCGAGGCCGCCTGGGCTCTGACCAATATTGCCAGCGGTAGCGCTGCCCAAACACAAGTCGTAATTGAAGCCGGTGCTGTCCCTATTTTCGTTGAGCTCTTGAGCAGCCACGAGCCGGATGTTCGTGAGCAGGCAGTCTGGGCATTGGGCAACATCGCAGGTGACTCCCCTGCTTGCCGTGACTATGTCCTCAGTCAAGGTGCCTTGAAGCCTCTGCTCAATCTCATTGCCGATGGGCGTAAGTTGAGCATGCTTCGAAATGCAACGTGGACCCTGAGCAACTTCTGCCGCGGAAAGACGCCCCAACCCGACTGGAATACCGTAAGTCACCCTCGAATTTTCATTCGATATCAGATGCTGACAAGGCTTCAGATTCAACCTGCACTCCCGGTCCTAGCAAAGCTTGTCTATATGCTTGATGATGAAGTCCTCATTGATGCCTGCTGGGCCATTTCCTACCTTTCCGACGGCTCGAACGACAAGATTCAGGCTGTCATCGAAGCCGGCATCCCGCGTCGCCTCGTCGAACTCCTCATGCATGCGTCCACGTCGGTCCAAACCCCAGCTCTTCGGTCGGTTGGGAACATTGTCACTGGAGATGATGTACAGACTCAGGTGATCATTAACTGCGGTGCTCTGACAGCTTTGTTGTCACTGCTCAGTTCACAAAAAGATGGTATCCGCAAGGAAGCATGTTGGACAATTTCAAACATTACGGCCGGCAACTCGACTCAAATTCAAGCGGTCATTGACGCAGGTATCATCCCTCCCTTGATTCACCTCCTGTCCAACGGCGACTTCAAGACTCGCAAGGAAGCTTGCTGGGCGATCTCAAATGCCACTTCCGGAGGCCTCCAGAAGCCTGATCAGATCCGATACCTTGTCTCCCAAGGATGCATCAAGCCCCTCTGTGATCTTCTGGCTTGCCCGGACAACAAGATCATTCAAGTCGCTTTAGATGGACTGGAGAATATCCTCAAGGTCGGAGAAATGGACAAAGAGGCCGCCGACCCCCGTGCTCCAGAAGGACAGGTCAATCGATACGCACTGTTCATCGAAGAAGCAGGCGGAATGGAGAAGATTCACGACTGCCAGAATAATGCCAATGAAGAAATCTATATGAAGGCTTACAACATTATCGAGCGATACTTTTCTGATGAAGAGGACGCTGGTGCCGACATTGAAGAATTGGCGCCGCAAGCTAACGCGACTGGCTTTACCCTCGGATCGAACCAACCTCAAGGCCAATTCAACTTTGCCAACGGCAATGATTCGATGGACATGTAGAACATGAACATGTGAAGCGTCGGGGAATGCACCTTGACCAGACCCCCGCAATGAGAGCTGACGTTGGCGCTGCACTTGTCAAACGGCCGCAGGAAAGCGACGCAACGTACAGCAACGGGGCTGCTTCATAGCGCGGCGTCCTCGAGATCACCTTCCAAGCAGGCATTTTCGCTAGAGTTGAATGACAGTACCAACCTTCGAAGCACCCCAACGCGTCCCCCAGTCTTTTCATACGAGCACGGACCCCACCACTCCCACACATCACCAGCACGTTTCCAAGATCCATCTCCGACCCCACAACCAGATGCACCGTCATGTAACCCCTAGCCATCCGACACAGCACATCACATTGTACCCAGCACCCAGCACCCAGCATTCGATAGAGGCGTTATTTCGGCGAAGAATGTGGAACCGGTTTGGTCAGCACGGGCGCGGAAGAGGGCAGTATGGGAGGGGGGAGAGATCAGGGAGCACCAGAAGTCAGGCAGGATAGCCTCCACTGGGTTCCCTATTGAGCTGCAGCCCCATGCCAATGTATGTCGACTGCTTTCTATGCCCAGTACCAAGAAATCACAAAGTCAACCGATGCTTCTGGACTTCTGCGGCTCGCTCTGCTTTTCCCGGGATGGTAAGCTATCTCGGTCTCGTCTTGCCCGAGCAGGCCACAAACTTGTAGAGAAAATAGCAATGGAGAGCAGGCGTTTGTCCGGCATTGCAGGAAGGTCGTCTGATCCGCTGCAGCATCGCTTCATGCTTCGTGATGAGAAAATGAGCGCGGGCCAGTGAGAGGAGACAGTCTCCTCTTTTCTGGGGCTCGAGACCCTCCACGTCGATGTCCATGATGATAGGAGACGTGGCCCAGAACCCCCCTCGTGTCGTGCCTTCGATCCATCAATCCCAGGGCGAGCCGAGCGCAAGATGACAAGGTGATGTAACTTCGTACCCCGCAAATGTGGATGAGGAGATGGGAGGAGGTGGCAGGCATCCAGTAGGGCCAGCCCAGGCTGAGCGGGCAGAAGCCAACCATGGTATCTCCTTCAATCAGCAGGCAATCCGAGCCTGTTGGATGACCGGCACCTCCGCTTTTTGTCGTGGCCAGAGAGTTGCGTCCCAAGATTGCCCAAAACTGAGCATCGCCACGAGCGTGATGATCATGCAGCGATATGTAATTGCCGTGGATGACCTGCGAGCGGGAATATATATCTATGGCTAACGCGAGCCCTGGAACCATGTTCTCTTCTCCTTCTCTCCCCCATCTAATTAACGGCTCCTCCAAACCACTCTTGGACTAGTCTTACTGCTTCCTGTGACGCCCAATCACGCTGCCAGATCCTTATAGAGGACAGCTCACGGCCCAATAGTACTCTAGCATGTCGGCCACCGAAGTTCGCGTGGGTGGTTCAGGCGGGACCATGAAGGCTGTCAACTATCAGGGCGCCTTCAAGGTCAAGGTGGAGGATGTGCCAAAGCCTTCGATCGAGCACCCTGATGATGTTATTGTCAAAGTGACCACCGCCGGTAAGTTTGGCAAATCACATTCTCGTCGACTTACAGTGTGGTGGTGGGAGAGATCATGGCGGTGACTAATGACATCGAAATATGAATAGCTATTTGCGGGTCCGACTTGCATATGGTAAGAGAACGACTCATGGAGGAGTTGGACTCGTGAGCATTCCACTGACGCGACATAGTATGAAGGGCGTACGGGAGCTCAGCCTGGTATCACATTTGGTATGTCGCCACTTATCAAGAGGAAGTGATCCCCAACAACAGCACCTTTCGCTAACAATCACGACTCACAGGGCACGAGAACATGGGGATTGTGGATGAAGTCGGCTCTGGAGTGACCCTGCTGAAGAAAGGCGACCGAGTCGTGATGCCCTTCAACGTTGCGGATGGACGATGCCGTAATTGCGAGGAAGGAAAGACAGCCTTTTGTACCGGTGTCAACCCTGGCTTCGCAGGGGGCGCCTACGGTTATGTGGCCATGGGACCTTACAGAGGTGAGAATTCGTCAATGTGGCTTTCCACTGCCCGCAGCGGCTCGCGTCTGACGGGGGATTTTAGGCGGGCAAGCTCAATATATTCGCATTCCATATGCGGACTTCAATGCGCTGAAGCTGCCTCCCGGGAACGAGCATGAGAAAGATTTCATCCTCCTGGCCGACATCTTCCCGACTGGATGGCACGGGGTGTCGCTCAGCGGGTTCAAGCCCGGAGAGAGCATCGCCGTCTGGGGTGCGGGCCCCGTCGGCTTGATGGCGGCATACTCGGCTCAACTTCGAGGCGCAAGTCGCGTCTACGTCGTCGACAGAGTGCCTGAGCGGCTGTCCGCTGCGGAGAAGATCGGGTGTATACCCATTGACTTCAGCAAGGGCGACGCGGTGGACCAGATCATCGAGAAGAACGGCGGGATGGTGGACCGCGCCGTGGATGCGGTCGGGTACCAAGCCGTGGATACCGGCGGGAGGAAGGAGCAGCCCAACATCGTCCTGGAGAATATGATCCGGGCGACGAGGCCGTGCGGTGGACTGGGCATTCCGGGTCTCTATGTGCCCACCGACCCCGGGGCGCCGGACGAGGCCAGTGGCAAGGGCATGATCAGCATGAGTTTTGGCAAGTTGTTTGAAAAGGTGAGTTGAAACACAGATGCCAATTCGTCCCGGCGAAAGGGCAGGAATCCGGGCACGGGGTGACTAACCGTGGGCTGCTTTTTCTAGGGTCTTTCTCTGGCCACTGGTCAGTGTAACGTCAAGCAATACAATCGCTATTTACGGGACCTCATCATCGCGGGCAAGGCGAAGCCCTCTTTCGTTGTCAGCCATGAGATTGCCATTGACGACGCTGAGGTGGCATACGACAAGTTCGACAAGAGGGTCGAGGGCTATACCAAGGTCCTTATCCATCCCAACGGGCCATTGTGAGCAGTTAGTTGCAGATACCATGTGCGATGCCCTACTCCGCTCTCTGAGGAGATCCAGGGGATTCATAGGCCCAAAAAAATTGAAGGAAAACGGGTTATTCAATTGAGTCAAATCACGACACTGTGATCCGTACGATGTATTACTCGGTACTTCCATTCCCCTGTTCAGCCTCATGCCCGACGTTGACGTGCGGTTGTTGTACCCCTTTCCAAAAGGGGCCCAGAAATAGTCGCTGGTATTCAAGGAAATAAAAGGGGTGCATCGGCCGAGTGGGTCTCTGATATCATTGGTTGGCTCAAGTCTTGGCAATATCGGTGTTTCAACCTTGTGTCTCCCTCCTCCATCCCTCATTTCCCATCCACCAGACGCCGCTTCGGAGTCTGCGCTTTCCTGGTCCTCGTATGTACCACCGAGTACTCGCAGTGCCGGTCGCTCGCCCACGCCCGTGACCGTTCTACGGAGCAACCTGTCGATCATCTAGACCCGGCCGGTGGCTGAACCGCAACTTTGAAGCTCTTGGTCGGAACTGGCGCGAAAGCACGCGACCATGCCCGTTATTATTATTGTTACTAACCGCACGGCGCCGGTTCCTGGAGAACAAGGGAAAAACCTTTTCTGCATCTGGCCCCCAAATGTCGGTGTCTGCTGATGAACCCAGTCTTGTCATTGGGCGGCCCCTGTGTACCTTGCGCCCTTTTGGCGATTTCTTGACCCCCTCCCCCCCCCGGTCCTCACCCCAAGGCGACTTACTGGGTCGACGTACCTAGCGCAAAAGCACAAACGCCGATCAACCAGCATGCCAATCCCCAACATCAATCACCTTGGGAGCAAATCAGCCCAATGGGCTCTCTAGCTTTCTGGGACTGGCGTGTCACACGAGCTCGCTCGTATCTCACGTATTGCATGGATAGAGGCTCTTTGGTTTCCCCATGAAGGGCTGGAATAGTGGCCTATAAACCAATGCGGCAGGTCGATTGTTTTATCCTCAAGGGTACATTGATGTGCTCCGTACTCTATCCTGCGTCAAACGGTGGGTGGGTGAACTGGTCTCCTTCTTTTTGCTGTCTTTCTCTCTCTCGTTCGCCTTCACTCTTTTTGATGTATGTATTACCATTCTTTTCGCGTTGTGGAGTCAATGCCTCTGTCATGAAGAAGTAGGCATCGTGGGAACCTCCCGCAACTGCGCCTCGAAGGCAGGTCTGAACATCCTCCTCTTCCTCCTCGAAACATCAAGTTGCTATCCGAGAGCAATTGACAAATTTCCCCGCCATGATCTCCCTCACGATCGGTTACGTGTCTGGCATCATCGCCGCGGTGGTTTTCCTTCTCCAGTTCCTGTTCCCCAACGCCCTCATCGTCGTGCTGGTGGGGTTTCTCAAAAATGAGCAAACGGCCGTGACTTGGTCGGTGGTGGAGCGCAGCCTGCTGAGTTCCTCGTGGTGAGTAGTATACAATAGGCCCGTTCGTTCCGTTGATGCGAACAAAAAAAAAAGTGCGCTTCCTGACTCTGTGTGCGACACACCAGGCCCACGATCCTCCGGACAGACGCGGCCGCAACACGAGGCGTGGACACCAAGATCAGGCTCCTGACTTGGCTGCGACCGCTCGCGCTCGGGCTGGTCTCGGTGGCCGCGGTGGTCACCCCCTTGGGACTCTACGATGACATTGTGCCGGCCGGGTCAACGCAGTCTGTGGCCTTCGCGTACGTGCCAGACACCGGGCCGATGGGATACGGGACGCCTCCTCGGAGCGAGCTTGGGTTCAGTCGGGTCTGCGGGGCCTTCCTCCCTGTCCAGTGTCCCGGCACCACGAGCGTCATCACCTACAGCGGCAACGATACCTTCATGGAAGCCAACATCACGAACAATGACTACGACACGAGGATCCCCGAGGTCCTGGCCAAGCTTTACCAGAGCGGCCTGGATCAGCAGCCTCAGTCGGTCGCCAGCTTCTTTGACATTCAATCGCGGTACTACTCGTTCATGTATCAAGACGGGGTCGCGCGCGGGGGTAAGTATATCGTGGATGCATTTCGCTACTTGTCGAGCATGGTCTTGGACAATGCTATCGAGCCAGTCGAAGGGCTGGTCGTCGACACGGTCACAGGGGGAGTGGGCTTCCGCAATCATACTGCCCCTGTTGGCGTTGACCTTGGTGCCGAATGGACGGAAGACCTGCTCTGGATCCAGCCAGAGTCTGCTTGCGTGGATACAAACGTCTCGGTTGAGTTTCAGATCCCCTACAACGGCATCGCCAGCGACGACCTGACCAACATCTCCCTCGTCGATAACGGGGGATTCGCGAATCTGGTCCCCAAATACCCGTACGTCAATGTGACAAACTCGCAGGTTGATCCGAACCTGCAGGGCCGAGCCTACAAAGCCGCTTGGATGGTGAACGCGTATACGATGTTGGTCATGAACCTGACAAGGCCGAGTCCCGATGCTTTCGCTTACCTCAAGTCCAAGGTCGGCAACAAATATCCAGTCACGAAATATCAGACGACGGGTGTGAAGCTCAACGGAATCTACGTCAGCAGCACTTGGACGTCCATGTTGGATCCGGAAGCCTACTTGTCCAACTATACCTTGGCCAACGTGCCGTCCGCCAACTATTCCAACCCTTTTGGGTTGACTACTTCGAACTATAGTGACATTTCACTGGTCTGCTCGGGGGCAGGAGGTGCCGACCTTGCCAAACTCACCAATGTCCATGTCGAGTGCGGCATGGTTTTTGGGGCTGCGAAGCGTCGGGATGGCACAATCACCCTTGTCCAGGAGCCTGAAACGTGGTGGACACAGAAGATATACAGTTGTGCCACTGCAATGAAAGCGAGCATTAAAGAAGTGCGATTCCGATACAACGCGACGCAACAGACGGGTAACGACCTCAAGGCCTTGTCTATCGTTAATGTCAGCGACAAGTCGTACTCAGACAAAGAGGCGATGCCTCTCTGGGGCATCGAGTCGCCGGAGGGGTACGAGATGAGCAATCTTCCACAGCTATGGGGCCTGATCTCGCCAGAGCTTGAGCACTCGGTTAATCTGTCAACAATCCGGGCTCCTCAGTTGTACCTACCAGGTTATGGTGGTTCAGGTATTCTATCGACCGTACCGGGATTTGAAAATCTGCCTGGTTCAGATGGCCCTGCGGACACCTTAGCGGGAGTGTACCAGTACACCAGTGACGACTCGGCAGACTATACCGGAACCACCAACATGGCCATGTATGCCCGGTGGCGAGATCTTTCCGAAACGGCAGCGACCATGGCCAAGATCCCCAACCTGGTGTGGACGGACATCGCTGCGAACATGCTGGTGGGCACGCGCAGCTGGAATTCCGGGAAAAAATTGCCTGCCAACCTCCAGAAACGTGACGATGATGGGCCGAGCACGTCCAGCAGCGACCAGGCAATCGTTCCTGTGAGTGTCTATCGGCGACAAATTCGCTATCACTGGCAATTTGCCATCCCGGCATTTCTGGCTCTGGGGCTGTTCCTCGTGGTGCTTCTGGCGGCTTTGGTGTCTGTTGTCTCTGGAAGAGGGCTCCCAGCACGGGTGCGCCATTATCTTTTTCATTTGTCGTCAGGTCGCATGTTGGGAGAAATGCAATATGCTGGAGAATGCGACAAGTTGGCACCGACAAATGAATGGCTCGCACGTGTGGGTAGCAGGCGCAGCGATTTGCGCGCTTATGTCAGTCATAATGCTAGCGGTGTTAGCGGCAGCAACGGTCCTGGAATCCCAACCTCACCGTTCCTCGGGCAGCAGTATCACATGGCCAGCGGGATGAGTGAGGAGAAGCTGAAGGGGATCGCGAGTGAGACGACGGAGCTGCGACATCTCAGCATGGCCGCGTCAGGCCATGCGAAGGGAGTTGCGCCGGCCCCTGGATATATGAGGCTCGGTGAAAACGAACAGGCGGGATGGCGGTCACCCGCGCTCTAAGGATGAAATCTGGGGTGGTCAGCGGCAAGGCGTCACGCGTCAGGCTGATGAAGCTGCAAGGCTCGTGTCTCGAACTGAGGAATCCCGTCGCCCGCCAGATGGGCGAATCTCGGCGAGGTGCCGGCATGGGGCTCGTAAGGATTCCAATGTCTGCAAGACGACGTAATCACGAGGATGATTTTAAGCCCTCGTTGCCAAGCGAGCCAGGGGATCAGGGCCCCAACAAGGGGACTCGAAGAGAGAAACAGGAATGATGGGCCACCAGGGGCCATACCTGTCGTCAAAAGTCGGGAGGCAGGTGAAGGACAGCAGGTGTGGCGTTGATGGTGACGGTGATAGGCGGGAACTGCATCTGGAAAAAGCAGAAGATGGTGACGGTGGGTTGTGTGGTGGTGGTGATGGTGGTGACGGGCAGCTTGGCATGAGTTCAAACGGGAGCCAGGGCCGCCGAGTTGGGCGTGGTGGGAGCGAGCCGGTGTAACACGGGCTGGAGCGATTGGCCGCTGGGCAGTGGATTGGCAGGCGATCTACTTGTAGAAACTGCATAGTACCTCCCTGGTAATTAGGTACTCATGTGGCCTGGTCTCGGGGCAGTTTGGCGGTGACGGTGGCTTTTTTAGGGGCCTACGAGCCTAGATGGACCAGTTCTCGGTGCTCTCCACGGACCTGTTGATACAAACCATCCTCAAAGATCCATACTACTCGTACTAGATAGCTGTCCCAAGCAGCTGGCCGCCTCGCAACGCAAACCCCCCTCCATTCCTCCAATGGGGAGGCCCAGCCGAACCCATGTGGGAGAGACTCTGGCTGCGCCTCTGATGCGACGACAGTGACACTCTTTGGGCTCGATCTTTTCTATATTTTGCTCCACGCCTCGTAACTGGCGCTGCTGCTGATGATGCTGGTCGTTGCGTTGCTCGACTCTGCTAGATCCCGCTCACTAACAAACTATTTGCCATCGTCGCGAACCCTGTCCGCCTGCTATCTCTTCTCGTGTCTTGATCGTTGAGCCTGTTAGTACGGGTCAATGGTCAGTCAATCCGTCTCGTCCCGTGTCGTCTAGTCGCGCCGAGTGACCAGCAGCGAGCAGCCAACGCCAAACAAAGAGAGGCCCAGTGTTAAAACATCCAGCATTCCTGGCACTCGAAGGCCTTTGCTTTGTTCTTCTCCGTCGACCTCTGCAGTCACCGACTCTGTTGTCTATCCAACTTTCTCTTCTCTTTCACTTTTTCCTGAGAGTGCTGCTCCCACATCGTCCCCCACCCGCAGCTAGCCCACCATCCACCTCGGTCCCTGGCATCAGCCATCTCAAAAGTCACTGCAGTCCTCCGTACTCGCTCGCTAGGTATCGATAAACCTGTTCACCCCTCCCACCACTTATCAACCTTCGAGTCCAGCAAGCCATTCGTCGCCGTCACTATTACCCTCGTCACGACTCGCTGCCAGCTCAGCAAAGTCCTGCCCGTCATGCAATAGAACCAGCCCAACCACCCCCCCCGTCCACCTTTCGGGTTGTCGGTGAAGCGTTTTCGCTTCGGTTATCCCTCGAATAGAGAAGAGCGGGTCTTGAACCGAAAACCACTGGCCTGCGCCGTCTCGCCCGTTTGGCCCTCTGCCCCCCCCATCACGCGACCAAGTGCAGTTTATCCCCAAACCCACCGCTTGCGGCGTCCCAGAGCCTTGCAACCTGCGCTCCCGGGCTTCTAAGCACACCACGCACCCAAGCATGCTTCAACATTCGCCCTCTGCCATCCGGGCCATCCGCAATGACACAAGTTCCTCGTTCACCGACGAATCATCAGCCAATTCCGAGCGTGTCCCTTTCTTGACGCAGGAACAGACCTTTATAAGGTGCCCGGATCTCGAAGATGGATCTCTCAGAGATCCCGCCACCGCCGCTGCCGCCGTCAGCCCCGATACCCTGAAAGGGTCCACAATCACTTGCCTCGAAACCTCGTCCTCTTTTGATCACCGCAGCTCCAGTTCCTCTTCTAGATGGCGCTGGACAGAGAGCCTGCCGGTGTTGAACCAATTGTTGGGTGGGCGCCGTACGGTGGTGCATAAAGGGCACGTTGTCGAAAGAGGCTCATTACACAAATCCATCCCGACCACACCGCTGAGGAGAGTGTTACGCCTCCTGGCCCTGACGCTGATGTTATTGTAAGACCTACTTTGGATTTCGTTTGGTTCAACCTCCGCAAGCTAATGTTGAGCACAGAGGAATTCTCGAATTTATTGCACTGGCATGCGGCCTCGTCCTGTCCTTCTTTCCCGATGACGCAGACGACGAATTCGACGGATGGAACCCCTCCCACAGCACCTCTCGCGAGCTGGGACACTGGCCTACCGATTTTTCCGCCGACATCCATCCCGTGGCCTGCCACTCGCACAATGATTACTGGCGAAAAGAACCCTTGTTTTCAGCACTCGAGGCCGGCTGCACAGGAGTGGAGGCGGACGTGTGGCTCTATGATCAAGATTTATACGTGGGACATTCCACAGCGTCTCTGACACCCGAGCGAACCCTCCGCAGCTTGTACATCAATCCATTGGTGAAAATCCTAGATCAGCAAAATCCTCATACATCTTTCCATCCCACGCTGGACAACCCTCGAAACGGCGTCTTCGACACGAGACCCTCTCAGTCCCTTGTCCTCCTGATAGATTTCAAGAATGAGGGCCACAGGATTTGGCCACATGTCTCTGCACAGCTCCAACCCCTCCGAGAGCGAAGATTCCTCAGTTACTTCAACGGCTCTGGCTTTGTCGAAGGGCCCGTCACCGTGGTTGTCACGGGAAATGCCCCGTGGGATGAGGTGGTGGCCAACGAGACATATCGCGATATGTTCTTTGATGCACCCCTGGACTTGATGGGCAAGCTTACTGACAACAGTGACGCTTCCGAGGCTCCCATGGACATACAAGGCGGTGAGCTAGACAAGCGGTGGGGTCAAAATCAAGGCCAAGGCCGCTCCGGTGCCGCGCCTACAGACCCTGCAGTCTACTCGCAAGCCAACTCGTACTATGCCTCTGTGTCCTTCAACTCGGCCATCGGCTGGCCTTGGCGTGGCACACTCTCTCGCCGTCAGCTCGAAATGATGCGCAAGCAGATTGCGGGTGCTCACGCACGTGGACTCAAAGTCAGGTACTGGAGCGTGCCCAGCTGGCCCAGAGGAATGAGAAATTATCTCTGGCGGACAATGGTCAAAGAAGGCGTGGATTATTTGAACGTGGACGATTTGAAATCGGCCACCTCGGGCGAGTGGAACTGGGACAAGAAAGGTCCTTGGTTCAGCGGGCCGTGGAAGTTCTGGCCATCCAAGGCCGTCGCATGAGCCGAAAACGTATGGGACACGAAGACAACGCCATGACTGGAAGATTGAAGACGAATGTTACTAGATACGACCATATGAGACTCCACACGCCCAAGACAATGGCGATGGAAATGAGAGCTTTGGTCGAGATTGACCCCGTGAAATAGAGGTCCAAAACTACGCGCAGGGTTTCACGGAATTACAACAGCCATTGGATGATGGCCGAGCCAGGCGTTCATCGGAAAAGGGATGGAGTTTTGCATGTCGTTACTGCCAGGGACACGGGCAGCATTATGATACCCAAGTTTAGAGCATACATCGGTCACAGGATGAGTCGCAATACAACGATACTGGGCTTCAAGGTGTGAGTGGTTGTGCCATGATCTCATTTCCCTTCTCATCAGTGCCTTCCTTCACCTCCTCCAGCCACGTCAACAGCATCCAATGTCGTTCTTGATCAGAAGGGTCGCCATTACCCTGCGTGAGCTTGTTCTCTTGGGCTCCCGTCAATCTAAAAACGCCTCGCCTTTCTTCTATTCTTCATTGCTTTCTACCACTCAGACTATCTCTCTTCGCTTTGTACTCGACATTGTCTTCGCTTATATCACGTTACCCAGATTTGCTCTGCATCTACTACCAACACGTTGATCAATATGTCCTCAGCAGACGTTGAGTTCTCGACGATGGCGCTGAGCACCTTACCATTCCCCCACACCCCTCAGGAACACATTGAAGCCTGCATTCCCACCCAGACAACGGAGAGCGACGCCGAGGGAATCGCTGCAAATACTGCCCAGAAGAGAGGAGAAATACTCTCAACCGACGCACGGGAAGATACCAGTGGACGACTCACAACCGGCCAAAGACCTCTAGACAAATTGACCATCATCGGCATTCTTTTGTTTCTATTCCTCTGTGCCCAGACCGTTGCTGCTGCAGGACTTCTTCTGCTCGCTTATTTCGGCCCTCTTGACATCTCGACCTGGCTATGCAAATATTCTGCTCCTGTCTCCTATGTCTTCTACTTTACCCAGATTATCGGTATGCACCTTTGCCAGATGATCAGGGAACATTCGACGGTCGAAGGGTCTTTGACACACTTGCTCAAAAATTATGCGACGACCATGGTCGGAGTGCTTCTGTTCGCTTCCGCGGTCTTGCAAATGATGCCCCTTTACTGCTGAGTTTAGGAGAATATTCGGATCTGTCTAAAAACGCCGGTGACGATCAAGCAAGGGCAAGGCGACTTCGAGGACAATGATGAGCATTGCAGATGTCTATTTCCGTGATTCGAGCGGTCACAATCTGTGGCCGACCTCATGTCTTGACTTGGAGAGTCGAATACTACGGGCGAGGGTTCTGCTGTTCAGGGATGCGCGAGACTGCATATCGGTGTATTTGGGCCGTTAAATGCGCAGTTGATCTCTCTTTTGAGTTCGAGACCAAATGATGAGTAGCAAGTAATCAATCCATCAATTTGCGTCGTCATTTTACGGCACAACTGCCCTCCACAATTTCTTGGGCAAGTATCAACCTGGAAGGGTAGCTCCGTGGCTCCTCACGCCTTGAGCCTTACTTCAGCCTCATTGGGCCGTAGCCTCGTCGGCAGCACGTGAAAGGCTCCGATCTTCAGGCTTGGCTAGTTTGCAGCACCTCCCGCCTCATCGACGTCGGACATGGTGGAATCTTTCACCACCCATCATTAAGTCCAAGTCCAGCAAATATGGCGGCCGCAGCACAGTCTTTATCGGGACGGACGCGATCGCTCTTTGGAAGCTCTTATGGCGAAGCAACCGACCCCTCGTCCCTCCCCGTCTCCCTCTCCTTCAAAAGAAAGGTCGAATATGAAGGCGTCCGCGAGCTGCCTAAAGCCCTGGCCGAGAAGCAAGCAAAGGCGACAGCGGCGCGAGGACCTAAAAGACCGAAGATGGCAACCGGAAACAATCAGATGGCGTTGGTGAAGAGCGAGGCGAAACCGGACTCACAAGCGCCGTCATCGCAGAGTAACGGTAACGGCACCAGTCTGATCCGCAGACCAAACATGCAACAACCCCGACCCGACTGGCATGCACCGTGGAAATTGATGAGAGTGATATCAGGACATTTGGGGTGGGTGCGCGCACTGGCGGTCGAACCGGGTAACCAGTGGTTCGCTTCTGGCGCAGGAGACCGGACGATAAAAATCTGGGATCTGGCGACGGGTCAACTCCGCCTGACGCTGACGGGTCACATCTCCACGGTCCGAGGACTGGCAGTGTCGCCGCGCCATCCGTACCTTTTCTCCTGCGGCGAAGACAAGATGGTGAAGTGCTGGGACCTGGAGACCAACAAAGTCATCCGCCACTATCATGGCCACTTATCTGGCGTCTATACACTCTCACTACATCCGACGCTCGACGTGCTGGTCACTGGTGGGAGGGACGGCGTCGCGCGTGTTTGGGACATGCGCACGCGCTCCAACATCCACGTCCTGTCCGGTCATAAGGGCACCGTTTCGGACGTGAAGTGCCAGGAAGCAGACCCTCAAGTCATCACCTCGAGTCTGGACGCCACTGTGCGATTATGGGATCTGGCCGCGGGTAAAACCATGGGTGTGCTCACCCATCATAAAAAAGGCGTCAGGGCCCTAGCCATCCACCCGAAGGAATTCACGTTCGCGTCCGCGTCAGCCGGTTCGATCAAACAGTGGAAATGCCCCGAGGGGGCGTTCATGCAGAACTTCGACGGACACAACGCCATCATCAACACCCTGGCCGTGAACGAAGATAATGTGCTCTTCAGTGGTGGCGACAATGGCAGTATCTGCTTCTGGGATTGGAAGACTGGGCACAGGTTTCAGAGTACCGAGTCTCTGGCGCAGCCAGGGTCCTTGGACGCGGAGGCGGGTATTATGAGCAGCACATTTGATCAGACTGGGCTGCGATTGATTATGGGAGAGGCGGACAAGACAATCAAGATTTGGAGGCCGGATCCCGAGGCCACGCCCGAGACGCATCCGTTGGACTGGAAACCCACATTGGGCCGGGTGAAGTATTGACCACATTGCGATATAACCTCGTATATGGTGGCGGTGGCGGTGGAAGCGGATTCACATCGGACGGCATATTGCATTGAGCGACGGTGTTTGAGGCATTGATTCTTGGAAGGGATTTGGGGAGAGCTCTGATCACAAGGACCAGGGATCTGAATAAAAGTTCTTGTTGCATGTGTCAAGAGGATAATGGTCGATACCCAAGAGAAGATTCTCAATCTATCCGTAGTGTTGGAAGCTTTTGCAACGCTTGACAGTGCGCCAACCCGCTGTTCTCAGACGGCTGAATCTGGAGACTCTAGAATCGAATCCAGGCTTTGCAATTTTCCTGTAGTGACCCTAAAACCTTTTCACAGACTGCCCGTCGAAAGGCGGGATGCTCCCAGGAGTGTCGCAGTCCCTCGAAGGAGAATCTAACACATACAGAGACTGCGTCGAATACGACGGTGTCATCATGTCCGCCTCTCCCTCTAACCATTGAATGGCTGGCGTCAATCTTGGATAGTATCCTGGATGGAGAGCCAGGCCATTTCTTCCGGCCCAGGACTCAAAGGTCTCCATGGCCCAGATCTCCAAAAGGATGACGCCCAGCTCGAGCAGGTCTGCTTTGACGCCATCGTCTGCATGGACAGGGACATGATCGGGGAACGTCTTGACAATGAACGGTTTCCCATAGTCTATCGCTTGACTATTTCCCCCACTTCGCCGGAAGAACCGAATCATCTTGTTTGTCCACGTGTGGCCAAACCAAGGAGTGGTCTGAAGCTGCACTATCGACGAGGCCACGTCAATGGCGAGTTGGGTCTTCTGTTGTGGCGTCAACCGTGGCCGGGCTACCAGCAACTGCTCGAGTGTTAGGCTCTCGTCCACAGTCGCAGGATCGAAGTACGCCCTATGCAGCACACCGCAACGGAACAGCCGGCCATCGTGGCACATATCCAGGGTGAGGGCGTGTCCCGGGGCCATCGCTTCAGCCAGCTGGTGGCACATGTCGGTCACAGAGGCGTCGCCGACGCCGGGTGATTGACGCACGGTGATGATGGTCTCTTGACATTTCTCCTGCACAATCGTCGTCCCGTCCCCGCAGGTCAGGACAGAGTGGAACGCCAGAACTGGAGCGGACTTGGAGGTGCTCGGAAAGGCTGCCCTCGAATCCAGGATGAGCATCGAGGTGTGCACGGGTTCACAGGCAGCTGCCCAGGCATCAGATATTGCCCCGTGCAGACCGATGGCGTGATGGCGGATCTGTTGCAAGGCGCTGGCCAGCTGCTTCGAGGCCTGTTCCTTGGTCAGGTCCCTCCTTTTGGTATGGTTGACCGAGTCCACACGGTCGATGAGCCTCTTGAGCTTGTCGTTGCAGGCGTCCAGGTTGCCGATATGCCGCCGCATTTCCTTGTGCTTCATGGTGAATTCAAACCGTTGGCCGAAGTCGAAGCTGTCACGGCGGGCTGGGTTCATGGCGAGGATGGCGGCCATGTCGTGTCTTCCCTAGGAATCCGGTCAGGAACTTCTGACCGTACGGACCGGGCACGTCCCAGACTTACCGCCGGGTCCTTCTTGATGTGCCCCAAGCGCTGCAGCAACGCCTCGAGGCTCGTGCGATAGCCGTCCACCACGCCATCGAAGAACTCGAGCGTGTCGGCGTCGCGCAGGTAAGTCGCCAGCCGATCACGGCTCTCTCGTTCCGCAAGGAGCGTGAGCGCATCGGTCCCGGCCGCGTCTTCCTGGTTCGCCCCTGCTGCTTGGAGAAGGATCTGGACGCTGTTGCGGAAGAACCACCGCTGCTCTTTCAGACACCGGAGCAGGCTTTCCAGTTCAAATCTCCATTTCCACGCGAATGTCTTGATTGGATTCCGGCCTTCCTTGTATCCTTCCAGGGCAGAAATCACCAGCGGGAGCACCGCCAGGACCAAGCCAGCAGCCTCGATGCCTGACATTTCTCCCACATTATGGATGATGATGATGCGAAGGTCTGGGGACTCTCGGATTGCAGAGCCCAGTGAGGCTGAAGTTCGACCCCGCGAGCAAGCAAGGCGTCAACCTGTTCGGGTTAAGTCCAAAGCCATAGCAGCCCTCGGGGTTTTCCATATCGACATGGTCGACACTACATCAGGCTGCCTGCCATTGGCCTCGTAAGGAGCCCATGATCATCAGAATATACACCAAGCGCAGCCCCGAACACATACAAGGATGTCTCGCGGTTAGCAACATTGTTCGCTTGCGGATTCTACGCTCTCGGAGTGGGCTACTTTTAAGATCAGATCGTTTGCTGATAGTACGTCAAGCATGTTTCAACTCCCGGACCATGCTGCACAGGCGAGGACGGCGTTCAAGCAGCTGGTTGAGCGTTCCTCATTCCAAGCGCTTGATGTCGTCCTTCGACAGGATCTCCGCGATGCTCAGCAGAACTTCATGCTTTGGGCCGTGAATCTAGGAGTATTCGATCATGGGCATGCTTCATTAGAGTACCGCCTACAGGATGTGCCAGAAGCCATGGAGCTGGTGAAAGATTTGTTGACCGACTTGAGCGAGCAACTACAGGCCATCCAGCAGCTGATCGATCACAGCGATCCTTCCAACTTAACCGCCAGCCCGAGCCTGTTGCCCAACGCGATAACAACCGAACACGTTTTTGTTGAGGCAATTGGCGAACAAGATACAGATTCAGAGGAAGAGGAGGATCTTCCTGAGGCTCTCGCTCGAACTCTGTCTCTCACAGACATTGTCCATCGCCTTTTTCGACTCGCACGAACATTACGCAATCATTCCACAAGATCTGCTCAAGGGCGCCGCAATATATACAGTACTTTCCCATCCGAGGGCCGAAAAGAAATTGTCGCCCGGCTGATCGACATTGAGCTTCTGCGCGTGGCTGACGTCTTCATCCATCTCCGAAAGCAAGATTTTGATGGCTTTGTGGATAGCGAAGAAGAGATTGCTTTAAGCGTTGATGATTTGTGTTTAATTCAACGATTGGCAAGAGCGAACAGTAGACGAAGGCAACAGTTCGCGTACTGGCGTGCACGGCATGAGAGAAGCATGCGAGCTGCCCTGCTCGCTGAGCAGGAGCAAGAACCACAGCAAGCTCTATCTCAAGCGGAAGAATCCAGAAAGCCAGCGCAAGTACAAGAGGCAGAGTTGGAGGCGATCGTTGACGCGAACCGGAATCTCCGGCCGGAGTCGATCCCTTCCAGTGTCACAAGGGTTAGGAGGGATCAGATTGACCTCAGTGAACGAAAATCGGTAGCTTCCGATATATCTCGATCTCCTTCTGTTAGAGGACCGGCCGGCGAAAAAGCGATGTGGCCTTCCATGCCAGAGGGCTTGCCAAAGCGTCCCTATTTCGAGTGTCCATTCTGCTTCAACCTGTGTCCGGATCGCTATCAAAGTGGTGCCGGTTGGAAAGCGCATCTCATTCACGACTTAAAACCCTATTGCTGCACTTATCCAATATGTGATACGGGCGACCAGCTTTATGACTCCTGGGCTGACTGGACAACACACGAAATGCTTGTCCACAACAAGGTCTGGACCTGCTTGGAACATCCCGAAGAGGAATACGCAACACTGGAGGGCTTCCGCAACCATGTTCACCTATCCCACACGGATGAGGCTGAGTCCATGCTGACTCCTGAAATCATTGCCGCTCGTGCAACAGGCTCAAATGTCTCAGGCCGCACGTGTCCTTTCTGCCTCGGAGAGGTCCCAGACTCAGGGAAGTTACAACACCACATCGCCTGGCACCTTGAGTCGATGGCTTTAATCAGCTTACCTCGCTCGACGGGCTATGAAGAAGGTAGCGATGAGGGCGACCTACGATCTGACGTCCAGAGAGCTAATGGTGTCGACTCCAGAATGGGAGAACTAGACGATATATCTTTACCAGGAGAGGAGACTGCAGCGACGCAAACTGTTGACCAAGGTGTTGACCAAGGTACGCTGCCAGGGACTGAAGATATCGAAGAGTTAGAGTCAATTACCTCTCGAGAAGGAATAAATCTTTCTCTGGAACGAAGACCTAGGTTCCGGGATAGCGAAGTCTTGTCCACTGCTTGTCGAAAGATGCTTCGTAATGTTGCAGACTACATGATTGAAGAATGGGAACCAAAGCAGAGCATCGTTATCGACACCTACAAGATGCAACGTTTCTACCAAGATTTCCTGGTGCCAGGCGACATCTATCCTTGGAACATGGTGATGGACTACAGAACTTCCTCGATCTCACGCTTGTGGAGGACATTCGACATTGAACATCAATATGTACCTACGCTGGATCTGACTGCGCGGCCGGATTTGCCGGCGCTTACGCATCGTGGCTTTACAGATTGGATGGATTTAACATACCAGGTGCAACCTGAGATCGAGGCCAAGAGGCTCCTGAAAATTCGAGAGGATATCCTGAAACGGAGCTTGAGCACCTTTTTGCACGCAAGCAAGGAGATGAGACTACAAGCAGACGGGCCTATCCAGGTTATCTTACCGGCGAACTCTATTACCGATCAAGAGGCTTTGTTGAAGGAGTTTCGAGAAGCTGTGGCCACCCACTGCAACGTAAATTTCAATCGCGTCGATCAACTACCGAGTAAGCGGTGACTCCGAGGACCCAGGAAGTCCTAACTTGAGCGTAGCTCAGATGGGTATTCTGGCTCGATGCAAGTTCTGTCATTGTGCTTGCGACAGCGGAGTAAGGACGTGAAAAGGTCTCAAAGGACGGGTGTTATTATGGAGAAAAGGTGTTCGATTCCACAGTTTCACAACTACTCGGGACTCGGGACTCTGGATTCGACCAGGAACGCGGCATCATTCCTGGCAAAGCATATATTGCCAGCATAACTATTCCTCCGAGATGCGTGGTCACGTCAATTGGATCCAGTTTCAAGAGAACTCGGGACGCGAAAACGTAGGAGCGAGATGTGGATCAAGTAGACCCGGGAGTGCCAGAATGGTACTTGGACATCCTTTGATCGAATAGTTAGTTGTGATGGAAGTTCATCTCACTAGTATTCGCACTCCTGTTGCTCGCAACGGCCAGGTTCCATCGTTCGTGTGCCTCCAGTACGTTGTATAGGTTCGCATTCCCCATTTCACCGTGCATAGGTTCAACCACTCGTCAGGGCGCATGCACTTCCAAGGCAACCTTCGAAGACTACACGAGCCCGTGTTTGGTGGGGTGGCCGTCGTCGGGCGATGGATTCGATCAATCAATCAGCTTGACGAGGCTGACCGCCCCTTTGCCCTGATGTGTCTCTCGCCCAACCATGTTTTATGGCTTCAACAACAACAATAACAATACACGAACCACGGCAAGTCTGCGATATGCGTGAATCGCCGCGCAAACTCAGATAACTTGCTTGAGGGCCGGTCGGTCCGCGTGTCAAGCTCTGAGTCGCTGGCAAGAGACTGGGTCGCGCAAGGACGATACCAGTACCTGTAAGGCCCGTTTGCCTTGACCGCATATTTGCCTGGCCCTTCATAACCATTGCTACTTCCACTTCCCATCCAAGCACGTAACGGGTCCCCAGCATAAAATTGCCACGGCTATTGCATCGTTCGACCGCGCTTACTTGTCTGCAGCCATTGACGCCAAGAGACGAGTGGAGGCCACAGCAGCATGTCAAGGAGATGGTGGAGGCGAGAGAAAAACGATTTAGGGTCAGGACTAACTGGGAGGATCTATCACGACCGAACACGTACTTGAGGCGTATCTCTTGTGACATAACATGTAAGTCCCACAAATGATCAGACTAAGCAACAAGCAAAAGGCCCGAATGGACAAGTCGCCGCTCATACAACTGCGCCTCGCTCGCTCCCTCCCTCCACGATCTCCGTCCCTGCTATAGCAGGCTGTCTACTGTCCAGCCTGTGGCTGAGCCTGCTGAGTTTGTTGCTGCTGCTGTTGCTGTTGCTGTTCTCGTCGAGCTCGGTCTCTCTCCGTGATTTGCTGATACTCTCTGGCTATGAGCATGTTCTCCTCTTCGCATTCTGCCTGCATTATCACCTCCCCCAGCACCTGGTTCTGTCGGATCTTTTCTCCTTCTTCTGAGATCTGTCGTCATTGACCATTTTTTCATGAGCATGTATCAAAGAGGCGGCTCACCTTCGGACCGTAACATGACTAGGGCGGCCATGTCTTTGGTTCTCGGAGGAGGTTGTGACCAGCAGTCTTCTCTTCCAGTCATGACGGCGAGCATCTCGCTGCCTTTGAGGACACAGAAAGCAAGCATATACGTGATGCAGTCTCGGTTGAGGGTCAATTCCACTCTGGCGCAGCACGACGCGTGACGGCATGAATGGCTGTCCTCGACCCGATGCGAGGTCAAGTCCAGCCGATATCTTATGTAGAGCGAAGAGGTGATTGTGCAGCAATCCGCATTTTCGTCACACACCACGGGCATGGGCAAATAACATCGTTGACCCTGAGGGTGGGCATAGACTTCCAAGATGGGCTCGTCGAGAAGGCCATGAGGGCCATGGGGAAGAAGGGACGTGGTCATTCCGGACATGACTTGGGGACGCTTCTGAGCACAAACAATGGAGTCTTGGACACAAGATATTGAAGATATGAAGGGAGAAGAGAAACTGACAAGTCGAACACAGGTCTATCGGACTTTATATACTCAAGGGCTCTCCTCATCCGTCACCGCCTGTCGTCGGATCGAAGATGAACGAAACACAAGCATTCCTCGAACAAAGCCACCACTCAGCGAACGTCCCCAAGTCCAATTGGGTTGCACTGCAGCAGGCGCGATGCGGCTCATGACAGGCTTCGGGCACGTAGCTGTCACGTCGGCACGTGTACTGGCCAACCACCTTAGGCTTCAATGAGCTGTTCAAAGCGGTCAGCCATCCTTGTCCATTGACCATTACGAATCTTCCTCGTCCTTCATTTCAGAAAAGGGGGGGCCCGTTCTGCGGCCAGCTATGGAAGGCGACGATCTAGGCAAACATTGTCGGTGAGCAGTGTCAGTGTCTTGAATCAAACTTTTATTCGGGCGTTCTGTTTTTCTGATGGTGTGTAGTGAACAAGAAAGCAATTCCAGTCAACCCCTGCAAATCCGTGAAGAATGAGGCAGCAGCAATGCCCATGATGCGAGGACCACAACCTATGAAAGAATATCCTCCTTGACCGGTCACCTCTGGCGTCACTCTCTCCGTCCGAAACGCCGCCAAAAGTTTGCCCACCCGAGACTCTCAGCATCTTCGGGGGCCATATAAGCATCAGCAAATCGGAGAATATTATCTTCCAGGAGATAGACCTTGATACATCGAGATATGTTTGGTTCACAGTGCCGATGCAGTTCCAGCCGCGCAAATTCATAGCAGAATATAGGCTGCCCACCGAACGCTGAACACAGCGGCTCTGGGGGATCTATCTTTTGGGTGGACACATTTCCTCGCCTTGCAACCGACACTCGGGCCACCGTGACTGCAGCTCCTGTATCCAGCATGGCGGTGAAAGAGCGGTCCCTTCCCCGGACGTCGAAGTAGAAGAGCGGGACTCGGAAAGAGGACTTGGTGGTCTTCCCGCCTGACACTCGAGAGCCCAAAGACAACGAGACCGTGGTGTCGCCCTCCACCGCAGACGTAGGGATGTGTGCAAGCTTGAAATCCTGCGTGACACGTGTCTGCGCCTCTGAGGGCACAAGGTGCAGGTTGTCTGCAGACACGGCCGACGAGGCTGAGCGTGAAGTCCCAGTTTCTCCCATGCTCCTATTTGAGGGATATCTCGCACCGACTGGTTGATTACACATCCCAGGACGACACATTTGCTCGCTTATTGGCAAGGAGGCTCCGAAGCCTTTATGTGCCCATCTGATAGCATCATGAAGCTCTCTGGTGTTTTCATTTCGCCCGCCGGCTGATATCCCTTGCTGCTCTGTTCTTCTATCCTCTCCAATCCCATGGGGAGACATTGAAGAGAAGGCACGGCGTATGTCACTTGTTCCTTTTACTCTGCGGAGGCCCATGGTATCGGCTAACGGAAGCCTCACGTGTGCCCGTGGATTGTGACGCGACTTTGTTCAGGACGATCGCTTCCAGCTCTTTTTTCACACGGCAACGAGGTGGAGTGTGGTATTTCAAAACGACGGTATATTCAGAGGTTTGGCCAATCGAAGTTGGCTTGCTTTGCGGTGCAGGTCACGCTGAAGGGAGAGTGTGCAACAGTGAAAGATTCGCGCGCAAGGACAGGCTCGAGGGGTTGAAATCAACTTGAGAGTTTTGGCAAAAAGAACGGCCACCAGAATGTGCGAGGACGGTGAGGGAGATTCCAGAATGGGCAACGCGCAGCCAATGGAACAGGAAGAGGAGACAACCCGAGCCTCGTTGAGCTGGCCAACAGCTGACGCGTGGAAGGGAATGGGTCGTCGCTGCAGGTGACTGGCGGGTGCTGGCGCGGCGATGTCGACGGGCTGGCCTCTCCGGGGTCTAAAAGCTGCACGGAGGACAAACAGCGCTGATGGTCTCGCAGACTCATGCAGCTGGGCGCAAAGGCCGTGAGAAACACCATCACCACGACGGATGCATACTCGAAACCGATGGCGCAGGTTCGAGTCACTAAGGGGACCTATGTGAATGCATAGCTTTGACTTGTGTCGAAAGGGAGACAAGACGCAGCTTCACAGTCACATTCTCATACCGGACAGAGCGCATGTTGTCTGCCCAATGCCTCGAGAAGAGCATTCGAAGTATATCGATGCTGGTCCTTCGGGACTTCGCCCTGCCAGCCCCCAGCAGGCCCCAGCTCGATGCCAGGCTTAGGGCTGGGTAGGGTTTAGAGCTCCTTGCCGGGCCCATCAACCCCAGGGGTTTCCGGGTCTCCGTTGCGGTGCCGACGGTTGCTGTTTAGCGTGAGGTTAGCCAGTTGGGGCGACCACCAGCGGTGTCGATAGGGCCATACGTACTCCTCTTTCCTTCAAATCGAGTCTGCCACAGTCAGTTTCCATTGCTTCAGGTGGGTAGCCAGCCGCGCATGCATCCAAACACCAACAATGAGAGTCTGCGAGTGTCCATCGAACGGCTCTCGATGAACTTGTGGCAGTCGTCGAATTGCAACGTATCTGATCACGTGAGAACGACTTGGGAGGTGAGTTTGGGGAAATGCCGAAAAAACGTGCATGGCCGTGCATGGCTCAGACAGTGAACAAGACGCACGCACGAGGGACGGCCCTTTCCACGGATGCCGTCCGGCTGATCCGGCGCTGGACAGCCCGCTAACGTCTTGGTTATGGTATGTTTGCTCTTTGCACCCTATATCGTCGACATTTTGGCCCATCGTCCAATGTGCGTCACGTGAGCCGACCAGTGCCTAGCTCGAAGGCTTCTCCTCTCGCCGAGGCACTCGAAGATCCAGAAGATTCAAGGAAAGAAGGAAAGCAGAGACGCAGAATCAGCGCAAACCTGTCCAGTTATCATTCAACGATCCGGCTTATCTTCGCAGAGATTGAGTTTCCTCGATCGAAATCAAGCCCTTTTTCGACCTTCCTCTCCGAGGTCAGTGACATCCACATCCAGCGCTTTTAAGCGGAAACATCTCCAATTATTGAAGCCTAATGCCGTCGGGGAAAACGCCAGGTCGTGATGGAGGGCGGAGAGCGAGGTTGGATCGGAGACGGCCGCATCAGACATTGGTGCAGTGTTGGCCGAAAGTGAAGAGGGTCAGAAAATTGCGCATGCATACAGACTGGATGGGGGAAGCTGGCGTCCCTTTATATGCTGCCTCTAAGACCGAGACAGACGCAGCATCCCTGGACGGCTCAATCGTGGCGTTTGCAGCGTTGAAATATAATGGGCCTTGTCTGCTCAACTTGGCCCTATCAAACGCCCGGTCGCCTCTGCACCTTCTCCTCCTCTCCAATACTGGCTGAATGGCCTTCGCTGTGACTTGCAGACATGCAGCCGTCCACCTACTAGTCACTAACTGCAGGAAACCACTCCTGTTCATGCGAACACCGGTTCGTGCGTCGATGCATTAGTGTGGAATCTCACCTACCGCCGCTCGTCCGAAGCGATCCATGCTTGCCAACCGAGCCCGCCCTACCCTCCTCTTGTCAGCTGCCCGTCCTCCTCTTCTCTCCCCCTTTGGCCTACCATCTATCCCAGGCAATGGCTGCATCAAGTCAGGCAGCAACATGAAGGACAGCACAGAAAAAAGCATGAGGCCGATCCTGCCGGCGGCGCCCAGCTGTCCTTGATATGATGGCGGTGCTCTTGCTCGACAGCCTTCTCGCCGCCATGTCTTCCCATCCCTGCTGCGCGTTCGGCGACGCATTCCAAAATGGAGGGTTACGACCACTTGTCCTCGAACATGGCCCAATATTCTGAATTTGCCATCTTCCGGACATTCAAGATCCTGAACTACCGCGCGTTACTGTTCAAGCAGGCTGAACTGGCTGAAAAAGAGGCCCGACTCATCCTCGCGATCAAAGAAGATCGAAACTCCGGCGACCCTGAACGACAGCGGTTCGCCTTCAGCTTTGGAGCGATGCTCAATTCCACGAGCGACTCTGACGGCTCAAAAGTACAGAGGGGGCTGATGCGGGAGATTTGTCGTCTCCTCCCAGAATACAGCACGTGGTTTTTGTTGACCTCCTTCAAACCAGCCCGTTGCTTTTTGGGGTCGCTGCTGACTTTTTCCGGTTGCTGTGGTGCTTGAAGATGACTTGCTCCTCCAAACCCGCAAACTCTACGACCTGCCTGCCGTCCACCAGCCGAGCCTCGCGTGCCTCCGAGAGGCGCTGATGACCCCTCCCGGGCCACACTACTTTCTGCACGGCCGCGAGCTGCGGACCTGGACCAAGAAAAAGGAGTACGACCTCACATCCCTGACGGAGCAGGAGGGGGACCGAGACCTGCTCTCCTCGGCGCTCGAGTGGCTGCTCACAAAGGTCATCCACAAGCGCTTCGGCCAGCGGCGCTACAACCCCGAGCCCCTGGACGAGGACTGGGCGGCCGCCGCGCCGACCGAGCTGGTCCAGTACCCGCGGCGGGAAATCGCGAGGGGCGTCACCGCCGTCACCACCTTCCTCGCCGGCACCCTGCCGACGCTCTCGGTCTCGGCCTTATTCGTGATCGACAACGAGCGGGCGCGCCTGGGCACCATCGTGCTCTTCAGCTTCCTCTTCAGCGTCGCCCTCGCGTGCGTCGGCGTGCCGCGCAGGATCGACTCTTTTGTCGCCACGGCCACGTTCACTGCCGTCTTGATTGTTTTCATCTCCAATAATACGGGCTGCGTCTGTTAGAAGAGGAGGAATTGCTACGTGGACGTGCCGGCGCCAGTCCTTATGTGGTGGAGCTCGAGATAGAGAGACTGGTAGAGAGGTGGCTGTCAGTTGGAGCATGAACACACCCCGAGTGTGTATCATGCGCTTGTTAGATCCTACATCAGTCCGATGAAGGTCGTCCAGGTTGTTGCTCGTTCTTCAAACGATGAGATCTACTGATAAATCTTGATCGTTTCTGCTTTGAGGGTAAATTCCTATCCCGTCGCATTCCATTTTTGTTCCCGTCTCTGCCCTGTGATTCTGAAGTCCAGTTGCTGTATCTATCTCGACACGGTACGGACTAATTCCTCTTTCCTGTTTCTCTTCTCCCTACTCTGAGTCAAAGTTTATGATTTGTTTTGGGCTTTGGAGGGTCCTCTTCGTTCCAACGGCACATCAGATCTTAAAGGGCCAATTTACCAAGGACATCTAGATTTGGTACATGCACGCATGATCGTGATACGAAAAACAAACTATCTAGCCCGAAAAAAAAAATCATTGACTTACACGGACATCGGATCCTAATTTTCTGAAAAAGGCCCTTTCTGGGCGAAAGTAATAACAATACTCCGTACTAGGGGCGAGAAATGGACATGTAGACATGTAGTTATGTAGAAGAAGAAACACGCACAAGTATCAATGTTTTTTTTTTCTCTTTTTTCTTTTTCGACTAAGACAAGAAATTTGTTATTGCCTAGGTAGGTAGGTAGGTATTACGGATAAGGAAGGACCTCCAGGGATCCCTAAGCGGCGTAAAGTTGCGAGGATAGTAATTACAGCGCAGCTAACGTCCCAGGGCAGCCCGTAAGATGAAGACCTAACAACGTAGGGAGGTACCCAGGTAGCTGGCTCTTTCGGCCGCTGGGTACCAGCCCTACTAGCTGATAGTCAGCTGGATTACTTAGCTCAGTCCAGGCCAGGCCAGGCACAAAGGCAGGCCCAGCGAGGCCGCTCGGGCAGCACGAGGTCCAACTCGTCGCGTAACATGCCTAGAAAGGTCGCTCCTACTTGACCTTACGATGAGATACTTAGGTATTTGTGTCGTAAAGAGTGGGTGGGCATTTAGGGATCGAGGATCGAATATATGACATGGCCGACAAAACCCGTTCTAACGTTAGGTTTGTGCTGGTGGGTGGTTATTGTCGACAGTTCCATGCGTTGCGGTGCCTGGAGATTAGGGCCCGATTCTACCCACGTAGAATAAATGGTTGCAGACCCCGTTGGGCATTGACTTACTGAATCACACCCAGACAAAGCGGTGGGTGAGAGGCCTGGGTGCTCTGGCTATTTTCCGGTGGGCGTTTTGTGGCCCATTCACTATGGGTACGACGTCCTGTGAGCAGCCGAAGCCAAAGCCTAGTGAGCCGCCGCAATGACCCACGGAGATGTGACATGGGGATGTACACGTCGAAATGCAACCGAGATCCGCGACCGTTAATAAGGCGAATTTCAACAACAAAGAAGGAGTCCAAGGTAGGCATGTTCCTGACAATATAGGCGCCGTGGCCTGCTGTCACTGTGAAGGATGGTACGGTGAGGAACTTGGATAAAAACGAGGAGGGATCCAGGCGACGGGGATATCCCAGTAAGTTACACGTCCAACTAGCCGAGGGCGCAACATGCCCAGGGCTTTCATAGGAACCCTCCCTCACAATTCGCGAAAGTAGTCGACAAGGAATTCTATCCTTCGGAATTCAAGCTAGTATCGTCCCGCATCCAAGCAGAGACGTGCTTGTGCTCCATATTGAGTATGGGCTCGCCATACCACCGGTGAATACCACGTACAGCTCAAGGTCGGGGCAGGTATAAGGAACTATCGCGGCCTTCGACTTAGCAGTGAAAAGGGACAGGCTGTCCCGGTTACGAGAAATTTGTGACGGATCTGTGTTACCGTTCCTTGAAGCCCGGACCAGGCTGCATGAAGAAGTCCCATTTCTCCTGTGTGAGACCACTTTGTCAGAGAACTAAGTGATTGACCAAGTTGGTCGAGTAGAAGAGGAGATGCGTGGGCGGCAAAGGATTTGTGGGCCGCACATGCCACGAGGCTGAAAACCCCTGGAAATCCCCCAGCCCCGTCACCGTCACCGTCACCGTGACACAGACACTCACGGCATTGGACGACCCTCTCTCTCTCTCTCTCTCTTTTCACACCACGGGCAGAAATTAATCGTTGTGACGACTCTCAAATATTCTTTCCAAGTGATTGGCCTCTGCGGCCGATTATTATTGCTGTCACATTTTGCGAATCTACCACAACAAAACGCACGTGATGGAAAAGATACTCGACGTCGCTCATTGGCCTTCCCTTTTTTTTCTTCCCTCTCACCGCCATAATGGTTAGGATGAGTTCTCTGCTCGACTCTCTTTTTCCCTCTGATGCATATACATAACTCCAATTAGATAACGACACTGTGAGAAAAAGGTCATAAGATCTGGTGTTTCTTGATCCGGCCAAGTGGCCGTTGTTTTCCTCCCAAAACAGGCTGTGCAGGCTGCCTTCGAGGCTCAAAGAGAACTGTGTTGCGCCGACCCTCTCAAGACGTCGATTGCTGCGTCGAAGGCTCCCCTCTGATCTCCTTGTCTTTCTCACGTTGGGCCTCGTCCTTCTCCTTACTCTTCTCCTTTTCTCTCTTCTTTGCTCGTTCTCTCGCTTCTTTCTGGAGGCGCTTTTGTTCTGTGGACAGTGAGCGAGGAGCCAGAAGGTGAGACCGTGGAAAGTTTGACGAACCTTTGGTGCTCACACCGCCCCAGTTCCCAATAGGGAAGATCGACGCCTGGTCGGCCTTTACCTTCAACGACCTGGTCAGGACCACTCCCCGGTCCTCGTCCTTGACTATGCAGAAAACCTCTCTGAAGCCATCGGCACTGGCGTGCGACTCAACCCTTAGATTGAACGTGCCAATGCAGCTACCAGCCAAACCTGGGTGAGAGTGTTCGTCCGGGGAGAACTTCACATGCTGACCATGGACCTGTCTCAATGTCTGAAGATCGATTCGGTGACGAGGCAGGCTACAATCTACCGATGCTTGCATAGGTCGCCACCGCATAGAATGGTCGAGGATCATGATCGGCTCGCGATCCTCCCCGTCGAGCTTCTCCAACCCGTGTTGTTGTTCGCCACCATCTTGGGGGATGCTATCGCATTTGGCCGCTGGCTGTTTGGGTGCGTCCATGACGGAAGACTCTCTATCTAATCTGGCGTTTCGCAGGGAAGAATCAGGGAAAGCTACGGCAGCCGCTGTCGAGGGCCTGAGCAGAGAGGAACTGCGGTCCCCTTTCTATGCGAGGTGCCCGGAAAGCAAGGATCCCATCGACAAGGCAACCAGAAGACGGACCTCTGGCGACGGACCTATCCAGTGGAAGCGTGAAGCCGACTGGGGTGGCACAGCAGCAAAGTCCTGTGCAGCGACAAAGGAGTGTGGGAGCGACTTCATACGTGCCTAACATGATCAGGTCTATTGAGCCACGACAACGCCAGGCAGCACGGGCAATGGAGCTCTGCCCGGGAGGTCGGGGCCCGACCATCATTCGTCGATATCCCCTGGGAGCAGAGGTGCTGGCCAATAAAGGTCTCAATTGGTGTCGAGGAGTCTCATACGAAAGTATCGGTGAAGGGACTTTTTCGAATCAAATTCTATCGATTATATGAACAAGCCTCATTTGTACAGCGCGCCAAACGCCCCGTTGTGAAGGGGTCTCCCTTGCCACGTCACTAACCCAGACAATCGGCTCAGACAGAGTGGTGCCCTCCAACGGCACACATGATCCATTCCCCCCCTACACCGGTCGGGGCGAGGCGCTACTGAGTACGGCATCCTCGCATTTCTGACAAGGAGGTCGAGGAAGGTGATCCAGCTCCATGATCAGCTGCACGCCCAGAAGGGCTTTGTGTCCAGCCAGGTCGTGCACAACATGGAACTCGCTCGATCGTTCTTTGCTATCGCACCGGAGCTTGAACGGGATCTGAACCGTCCCTAAGGAGATAGCCTTATGCCCTTCCATGCCTGTCAACACAGTGCCACTGTTTCGGTCACTGGGTTCATACCCCAGCACCTTGGCTGCAGCTAAAGTCATTAGGCTGAGGTCGGCGCCAGTGTCCATTGTTGCGAAGAAAGGGTCCTCTCCGCCGTTGGGCATCCGCACAATCAGCTCGAGAGTTCTGTACCGACGCACTCGGGGATTATTGCCGGCCATGGAAGGTTGTCGCACTGGGAGGACGGATGCCACACACTTGGGGGGTTCGATAAATCCTCCATGGCTCCCGGGTTGTGCAAGATGATCAGTCGAACCGCGGCAGCAGCGACTTTGGAAATCTAGAGCGGAGGTTTCGCTCGCTTTTGTATCACAAGCAAGATGGCAATTGGCAGCAGTATTTTGCTCCGCAGCCTTATGAAACCATTTCCCCCCGCAGGCGCTACAATGCCGCTCACTTGGCCTTGCCACTTGTGACTTGAAGAAAAGTCCGTGCGGGAAGCCTCTTCTCAAGTTTAGGTAATGAGCTCTTTGATGCCATTGTTTCCATCTCGCAGATGATACCAGCCCCCGGCCGAAAAGATTTCTGAAACTCCCCGAGGAGTTTACAGCAACAGCAAGATCCCTTCTGAGAGGTGGCGGCGAGGTGGGGTTTGAAACGTCTTGAACGAGGTGTTTTCGGGCAGGATCAGGATGATGGATTCCGGGTGGAAATGGACTAGGCGGCTGCGTTGCTGCTCCTTGATCATTTTCAACGTTGGTTATAAAAACATTCACGGTAACTGGCTGTCGGCTGTGTAGGCTGGGAGGAACATAGATATTCACAGCCATGAGTGCAACGTCTCGAGCTGCAGATGGGAAGAAGGTGGGTGAAGACGGTCCGGTAGCAACGGAGAAACCAAGTGACAACTTCGGCTGCTCTTCAAAGAACTCAAAAGGATCGATCAAACAGAGATGATGAGCATTGCAACAAGACACTTACTGCGCAGAGAACAGGAGAAAAGGGTGCTGCCACATGCAAAGCCATCGCAACAGAAAAGGGGCTGGGAAGCACTGCGATTTCCACACCATCGAGAATAGGGGACTCGCTCGCGGTTGCCATGCTTCACGTACCGAACCCCAGGCCCTGCTCAAGGCTGGCATTAGTGCAAATACGAGTGGGAAAGACCAGGAAGGGACATTTCCTGACCCAAACCATTCAAAGGCTGGTCGGAAGCCACAGGAGAGCCAGGTCGCGGTGAGAAGAACGGCGACGATGGAATCTCCGTCCAGGGCAATTGCGGGCAGAGAAGTCCAGGACTTTGGCTGCACGTCCCGCAAGAAGAATCACCAACAGACCGTCGCCACAGAATGAGTCTCGGATGCATCCAAACAATCAAGATTTGCTTGATCACGTCCCTCGAACTTCTTTGAAATCGCTGAAATGTGCCAATGGTGCTCGTGCGTTAAATTCTCGAGGCTGTCAGAGACGTCACTCCCGTTCCCCGCGAGCGTGAAAGTGCCGGTATAGCGTGGTGCCTCGCAGAGGCGTACGACGCGTCGCAGTGTCTGGACGGATGAGATGGCACCCCTGGGTGTCGGGGAGCCTCACTAGCCCCCGTTAGCCTCATGACTGAGCTTCCGAGCGAGATTGCCATCCACCAGTCCAGCGCGCTGCTTCCTGCGTCTGAAACGAGGCATCCATAGCAATCCCACTGTGAGACTTGGGCTCCCAGGCAACAGCTAGTTGTTCTGGAGCCGTTCACAAACATGGCATCAGCTGCTGTCTCCCCATATGAAGATGCGGATAGCACTTGTCACAACAACTCGAGGATTTTGGGCAATCGTTCCGGTCCGCCGCGGTGGTGCTGAGTTTCTTGGCTAAAGTCGTGTAAGGCTCTTCTTGCGGGTAGTAGGCCATTCGCGTGGCCGATAGGATACCCGGCCATGTCTCCTCTTGCCGCCAAAGGTAGCGTGCTCGATCCCCTTTCGTCCGAGATTCATCCGCATCTCCCAGCTAGGTCGCTAACATTTCGCGGTGCTGTCGCCGTGATGGTATGGCGATGCCGTCAACTTCGCCCAGAAGGGAAGGATGTATCTGTCCCAAGACTCATGAAATCACAGACAGGGAGGCATCAAGATTCGAAGATACAGTCGAAGACAGAGGCAGGTGGCTCAAATAGTGAGCATGCATCGGACGGACGTCTCTTCAAGGTAAGGCTTTGTTTCGGTAACGACCTGCCAAAAACAGTCAAGGGAGCGCTTCTGCTAGCCCTCACCATGTGGATGTGATTGGCGTCCGTGATCCAAGACGATTTTGGCGGAGTTCAGTGGGAAGAAACTGGCAGATAACGTGGAAAATTGCGAAGAGAGAAGAAGTGTTCGCGCAAGATCGAGGTGGGCTGTCAGTGTCCTTTTATGCTTTTCGGGTCATTTCGCTGGGTACGAGGTAGACCCCTGAGTCCTCGCTATTGCTGTGAACTACCCTGGCCACTTTCTCACAATCACCAGTATCACGCACTTACGCTCGCGCCTCGACCTGGGGTGGAGAGACGCCATTGGCGGTGCCCTCAAAACTACAATCTGGAAGTGTTTGGGGTCTGACTGGTGGCTCTCCTCACGCATGAACCTCTCTGCTGCATCTCCCTTGGCCCATGTCCCAACTCATTCGTCACAGGGCCTGCAGCATTCTAGTCCCCTACACCACGACCGTCGGCCTCTGTTACTGGTCTGCTCTGCCCTTGGGTAACATTATGCAGCCGGATTGCCAACTCATCATTGCATGCGGTGAAAGAGGGTCTGAGCCTCACTCTGCCGCTTCTCGCTGCGCTCTTCGTCGGTCCGCCCACGATGAAGGCTGTCTCTCAGGAGGCATTCTTCTGTTCCTAGCACGCTTCAACGATGGAGAATTCGACAATGGGTGGCTACAATGAACTAGCAGGAGTGATGGGATCTTATCCAGGGCTCTGTATCTTCCGGAGATTTCTCATCCTGAATGCTAGGAACCTGCTCTGCCTGCAGGCTGAGATTGTGAACCACGAGCATGCTCTTCGGGTAGCCATCGAGGACGACCGCAACGCGGCCGATCCGTTGAGGAAGGAATTCGAGTCCGACATTTCGGCTATGAAAGGTCCACACGAGCACCCCCTTACTGGCCTGCAATGGACCAGAACCCTCGAGATGCGAGGCCTGCTCAGAGAGTACAGTGCGTCACCCTGAACCTCTCCTTCCGCAGCCATGCCTCGGAAAAGACTTGTGTTGACAGCCTTTGTGCCCACCTACTAGACACAGCCCTTCTCCAATTTGCCTCCCTCTGCCGGCTTGCTCCTGTAAACAAGGCCGACTTGGCCACGCTCCACGAGTTGCTCGAGAAGCCGCCCGGCAGTGGAGACTCGTTTCTGACGGCTCATGAGTTCGAAACATGGGATGAGGAAAATATCAAGGACCTGACTTCAGTGGCCGGGCTGCACACTGATAGAGACGCCCTGTCGAGATTCATCGATAAAATGGCAAAATCTGTCTACCATAAGCACGTTGGCCACAAATTCCATGACCCCATCGCGGTCGTCGAGGCGTGGGCAGGTGCCGGAAAACATAAGCACATCATCAACTATCCTGACAGCTATATCACGACCACCATCGACACGTTGTCTACTATTTTGGCCTCGGTGCTCCCGACCGTTGCAGCCTTCGGAATCTATCTCATCAATGACCCTAAGAAGAGGATGGCGGCTATCGTAGCGTGCACCCTTCTCTTCTCCACAGTACTCTCGCTGGTTGCCCGACCCAAACGAGCTGAATGTTTCGCGGCGTCCGCTGCTTTCGCAGCTGTTCTTGTCGTCTTTGTGGGGAATTCAAATGGAAATTCGTGCTAGAATGGCGGCTTAGGATAGGAAAAGGAGCTGGGAAGGACCGGTATAGCGAGTTGTGGTAGAGGGTACAACCGATTCATGGTCGTGATGAACTGCGGCGATTGACTGCTATGCTCATAGCATTTTGCTTTTTTTCCAATGATGATGAGAATGACAATGATAATGAGGACGAGAGAAAAGATCGTGCTTCGCTCTTGCTATGCGAATCAAACGGACGCAAGCACTCTTGCAGTTAGCAATGACATTGTACTTGATTCTTCCTTTGGCAAACAACTCAAACATAGATTTGATTTTCTTCAAACCTAGTATGTTCTACCTCTTTTCTCTCCCTTCGTTTCTGCGCCTCTCGACTCCTCAGCTACCTTCACCTGCCGATTCGTGCTGCGGCGGACGATCGGTGAGCAAAGCGTGGGAGCGACAGGAAGAGTTTGACGAGAGTGACGACGGCAACAAGCTCATCGAGGAGGAAAAGCTTGTATATTATTCAGCGACAGTGTGAAATAGCGGATTCGAAGAAGATCAGTCACATTGATGGTTTGAGACGCAGAGCTTTTGCATTTTGAGGCATTCACTAATAAGCACGACCGCAGGCCAAATCCCACTCCTGCGAGCTGCGAAATGGGTTCTGTCCAGAGGTGGTGCCCCCCCCTGACTGATACATTTCCTCAGCCCAGCCTTAAGCAGTGCAACCATCCATCAGCACTTCAACTCACGTTGCCAGCCGTTCCATCGCTTCCTTCGTGGTCATCACCTCGCCAAACGCGAATTCGAACCCTCTAAGTCCAGCTTTATGTTGTCGATCATTCGCACTTCCACAAGCATCACTAATGAGCCATGTCTCATACCCACGATTGAAAGCAGCTCTAGCAGATGTATCGCAGCAACAATCCGTCATCACTCCAACGACAATTACACGCTCGATCTGTGCATGCTCCAGTATCCTTGACAAGGGGGTGTGGATGAAGCTATCATAGGTGTTCTTCGGCACGAGCTTAGGGAACTCGGGCGACGTGGGCTCTGGTAGGGACTCTCCAATTGTGACGTGCTTTGTTCTAAAGTTCTTGGGCAGAAACTTATGCAGCTCGGGCAGCATCTCTCCTTCTGGAGATCCTTCTCCGATTGAGCCTGACACGCCCCATTTCCGAACCAGCTGACTGCGTGAATTTGCGACCATTTCGTCCTTCGGATGGCCGTGTTTGGTGAATACGATGGGCGCCGAAGTTTTTGAAAAATGCTCGCACAGTTTGATGATATTCGGGAGAGCAATTGTAGTCATGGGCTCGAAGATGGCCTGCATGTCGACCACAAGGAGTGCTGTTTTGGGAGCCATTGGGGGGAGGCTGACTTGGTCGCCGGTGTCGGGGCGCAATGCTGTCCGTTCGTGCAGCTAGTAAGCGATGGTGGTGAAGGGTTTGGGAGGTGGTGTTTGGGCATACAACCACGGCTTTGTCAAATTGGAGGCGAGATATGAGTGGAAGAACAAAGGACAACAGCCAGCAGCGCCGAGGAAGGCTGTTTTGCACTGTCCGAATCGTTCTGTTCGCTCATACGATGCTCGTATGAACAGCACGAGCTGCGATGAGCATTCAGACCAATTACGTCAGAACTCGGCTTCCCCACGAGCCAGCAATTCCGAACTGTGCCGCCTCACACCACCATCTCTTTCTCATGAGCCTCACCGCTTCCAGACATCTGCGCGACAACTGTCAAGCTCTATGCGCTGGTATACTAGCCCTCACCACTTCTTCAGGCGCAGGGCTGAGGTTGAGATAAGATTGCACTGATTGGTCGCGTTAATTTAGCTTCCACTCCGGAATGATGCGAACACTGCATGAACGGTGGATCTGCGGGAGTTACCTGATTGAGAGAGGGTCCTTAAGAGCGAAGTTCAAACGAGGCATGGGCGACGACAACGCATGGTTCGGCCTGGCTAGTTCTGGTCACTTCACGCGGCTGCTGCGCAACTGAAGCCAGAAGGACGTCGCGAACAGACGAGCATTCCTCCCAACTACGACGCGTCGACCAAGAAGTTCCCACGGGTTTGATGAGGTTTCCGCCAAGGCCGACGTGGTCGGGCGTCACATATAAATCGGGCGCAGGCGCGGGAAAAAGGCGGTGTACCAACTAGGCGGCCAAACTAGTGCATGAGACTCGTTACGACGTCGTCGCCGGCACGAGGCTGAGGATTCATCACAGCCGTGCATAAAGCATGGCCCACACGAGACGAGGCTCGAGGCCCGGAACATGGTAGGAGCAAAACCGCGGAGAATGGGCGTTGTCGCACAGCCACACACAGGGCGCTACTGCGCAAATTCACCCCAAGAGATGGATGCCTACGCTAGGGAAGAAAAACTGGTACCGCTCAGTGAGAAGACGGCGACAAACACCGCCAGCATGCACCGCGGACTCGGCAGGACTCCAGTATTACTGCCGGCAATCAATCTGAATTAAAGTGCAAGAGAATGAAGGTTTGTTTGGTACTCATACAATTGGGTTGGTATTTTGTTATGGTCGGTGTATCATGGGGACCTCATTTGTTAGTGTACAGGAATTTCCTTCACTTAGGGCTTCCATCTTGTTGTCTGCTCCCTAGCCCTCTGGTCGATAGAGAAGAAAAGAAGCAGAAGAACGGTCAAGATCCTCCATCAACACTCCCACCCTCGCTTTTTTGGCTTGCTTGCCCACCCTCATACCGTCAAAGTCCTCGGTCCCACATGCCTTCGAGGGCCTGTTTGCCGAGATCTAGCAGTGAGCATGAGAGCAGGCCCCACGTGCTGATGATGATGCGGCTCGGTGGTGAAGCTGTCGTTGTTGTTGTCGTCTGGCCCAGATGCTCAAGAAGCGCGATTGCTCTCTGTTGTCATTGGCGAGAGTTGTCGTTGCACTTTGTTTGTCGTGTTGAGAGCCTTCGACTTCGGGCGGCAAATGTCTTGTTCCCGCGCGATCCGGTCGAAGAAGCACTATGCGAGCTGGTAATGTGCGAGTTCGACTGTCGACCTCCAGACAAATCGCTCGGTGACTTTCGCTGTCTTGGATGAAAGTCTGTGGGATATGTTCGGCGGAAAGGTCGATTTGGAGCTGCACGCTCTCTTTCATGGAGTATCTGGCTGTGTGTTGTAGCCGCACCGGTCCGAGATTCGCTGGTACTGAAACCGGTTCTGTCTCAAGGGGGCACTGTGTGCCGGACGATGTGATGAGGTCCATGGACATCATCGATAAAGGAGACACCGGGCGTGACAGTCGATTGCCGTGGGAACGCCTCTCTGTGCGAGAAGAACGTCTAGCCATTGCTGTGTGATTTGATTTCTAGTCAACCCCGGAGGTGGCGGTGACTCGACGATGATTTTTGATTGAGGAGTCAGGGAGAACCCGAGCCCCAGTGAACAGGAAAGGCTTGTCGCTGGAGGGCGAAAGCAGAGTGGTCCTATTGGCCATCAAGATACCCAGGTTGGGCTCAAACCCGAGTAGCGGATAGGACGTTGGATTGTGCGGTTGGTCTAAACAGCGGGTCGGTCTGTTTTTTTCTTCTTCAGGTCGAAGGACGAGAAGGGCTTTTCTTTCTTTTTGAGTGTGATTGGTGCGATCAGCAGTATTGTTTCTGTCTTTGATCTTGAAAACGGGAGGCGGAAGCAAGCCAATTCTGCCGAGCAGAGAGACCTCGGGACATTTGGTAGGCAAGAGTCCGATCCGGAGATGAAGTTCTGTAGAGAATAACTTGTCGCAGGTTCCCTGTTGAAAGAGCTACGGTCGTGTTGCATCTTTCCAGCAGAATCGACACAGCGCTGGTCAAGCGAGCTGATGTCCGCGCTTGTGGGGAAGAGCTTCGATGATATTATTAGCGGAAGACGGCCATAGGGGACCAGTCAACTTACCTGTGGCGCAATGTAAGCAAAAGACCCGAAAAGGTTCCTGTGGTTGTTACATTGTTACACTGTCCACCACCTTTGGAGAGGTCTTGGTTTCCCCAGCCGGGCTGGGTACTCACGCCCTGCACCGCGCGAAGGTGCCTCTCCTGCGCAGGACACGGTGAGAGATGGGGAAAGAGACGAAGAGATTGGGTTGAAGGGAGGAGGAAGAGATATTTATGGGCGGATCTGTGAGCGAAGTGTCCGCCAAGCTGCAGAGGGAATCAAGGTAGACTCGGAAAGGGTGCGGCAGTTGAGCGAGACGAGGTGAAAGTGAAGTGGCAAGTCCATGGTTTTGGTTGTCATGATTGTAGAAGATTGGTCATTTGTCTCCGCACAGATTGTTCTTCTCTGCCGGGTGTCGTTTAATTCTAGGAATCTCAATGTGGCAGGAAGGTTGAAGAAGCAGGATCGTGAGTCTATCCTCGGCTGGATGTCGAGGTTGTGAGGCTTTGGCAGCCGTGCTGTCAACCTACTTAAGCACCTGTAGACACGACACATGTGCCTCAATCCAACACCCGAATCGCCTACTCGCGTCGGTACCTCATGCGGAACTTTCTGCATGTACTTGAGCGGCCTGGTTGGAGCAAAGGCAAAAGGAGCTGCAGCCCTGCGGCGGACAGAGCCGCAAAGAACGAGTCTATCGCGTAACGCCCACCATCCCTTTCATTCTTTCAAAGGCCAAAGGGTGCTGGAGCAAGATCTAATCTGGGTGACTTGGGAAGCAAGTGTTATACGAGACTAGAAACGCTCGGCTCAAGCATTTTGGTCTCGAAAGATAAAGGATAAAGACCTGGTAACGGGGGACGGACAAGTCTATTTTGACGAAACCGAGGACCCCATGCCGGCGAAGTGATGAGTGTATTGGCGGGAGATCCAACACAAAGGGTCCAAGGCATAGAGTTCATAGATGGACATCACTAGGGAAATCAATCCGTCAAATCCCGTCTTGGTCACTCGCGAAGGTCGCCTTGCCATTTCTCAAGATTGTTCATCCTCGTAGCAATCGGCTAGAGCGAGACCACGCTTAAGCGAAGATTAGCGGGACAATCTCAGTATAGCCAGACATGCAGAAGACCACGTAACAAGGAGGGGAAACGACCTGACAGAATCCGCGGCCTCCCGCCAGAAAGACGAACAGGCCCGTGAACCATATGCAGCTAACTTTGTAATCGCCGGGGCTTAGTGACACCAATGGGCAAAGGCCACCCGGTATCGACGGAGAGCACGAATAAAGGATACGTGGTATCAGACGTGCTACGTGAAGATGAGCACCTGGCAACGTTTTGGACTGTTGTGGATGAAGCACAGTAGGATGCCACTTGGATGGCGTTGATATCATTTGCTCCACATGCCTAACACGCTCATGCGATTAGATAGTATAATCTAGTGTTCATAATAGATCTGGTCGGTGATGCTGGCTACTTTCGAGATCTTCTCCAATCACCATCACGGGTTCCGGCTTCGTTAGAACGGTGGGTGGCTCCTCTGACTGCGGGTAGAAAGCGTCCATATGCACACGACTGTCAGAAAGAAATTAGCTATCTTTTCCAGACAAGTACCGAGTACTCTGGGCACCACCTACCACACGGGACATGTTCCGCTGTAGCCCAGCAGCCACCTGTCAACACATCTCTGATGGTGTCGATGACCACATGGAAGGACTCGCAGAAATTCATTCTTCACAAACGGTTGTGCGCAGATGGGGCATTCTGGCTCTTCGGGTTCGAGGTAGGGGTTTTTCATGTTGCCATCCTTTGGTTGTCTGCGAGGTGCTCTGTCGATTTCGGCCATTTCTGCGTGCATTCCTTTGATGTTCTGTTGGCTCTGCTCTAAAGACCAGTTCCGAGCATCTCGGCGCAAGTGTCCCTTCTCCAAGTCCAAGCTCTTAACGCGGCGGATTTTGCCAGGGTTTCCATCGTATTTGACGATCGGTATGGTCTGGAGCAGGGAGATGCTGATACCCCTTTCCTGGTGTTTTTCTTGTTGACGCCGACGCCGCCGTAGTCCTGAGCGTTGCAGTTCGGCCTGGAGTTGTATCTCGTCGAGCCTGCGGAGAGGGCTGTGACGTCTCACCCAGATGGCCGCGAAGACGATGAGACCAAGGATCGCTACGATGACGCAGACTGTGATAACGGTCCTGTGTCCGCCTGAATTGGAGGGAGGAGGACGGGGCTGGGGAGCCGTGGCCATGGAGGAGAACCCAAGGAGCAAACTTGAAGAGAACCCACCTGAAAGAGGGAGAAAAGCATGGTAGCGGACGAGCACCCCCTCATACCGCCACAAGTACCTTCTTGTATGCTTTTTCGCTGCATCCTCCTCGTCAGGTCAGATGGGAGAAATGGCTCATGCTCACAGACATGGATAAAGGTCCCTTTTACATAACAGCAACAGTGGAGATGTCCACGCTGGCTCTCTGGCTGACTTTGTGGCTCGGGGTGGTCTTCAGGGTCGTGGGCAGGGACTCAGGGAGCTGCTCGACACGGCGGCACGGGTGAGACTGATGCAGACTGGCATCCTGATCCAGAGTGAACATAAGCTTTCCATTGCCTGTTCCGTCTCGCCGGTAGGAATGAGGTGGAATGAGACTCCACTCAACAGAAAATCTCTCATACCAATGTAAGTGCGACGGCCAATCGCCCGCAGCTGCTTAGACGGAACAGCGCAGTGTGCTGCCAAGATCGGCGCAGGCATTTCTCCCACTGCGCACAGCTCCATCAACAGCAACAAGGCCACCTCATCCCGTCCCCAGCTCCCTCCCTCGCCCTTTGCCCTTCTGACGGAAATCCCTGCGTCCGTACGAGTACTCACGGACCGTGCTTGGTTGCCTGCAGGCGGCGGCAGAAACAATGCATCTACATTCCAATTCGGGCTGCGCTCCAATGCCTGGTCCCTCCAGACTGCCCAGTGCCCACCAACCCCTGCATTCCCTTGGGAGAGCAGAGCAATATCTCCCATCGCGACCTGACTAACCTGGTTACATGACGGATGCCACCGACTTGCATACTGGCCGCTGAGAAAGCTACACCGCAGGGATTTTGCGGCGACTGGTCTGTCCTTGACCTGATAGAGCCAAGCTCCTAAGCCTATCTATCCTTCAGCACATGCTCGACCATGATCGATTCACTGGATCATTTGCCCGCCCGGTCTGGCCGAGCTTTGATGAGTCGGTGATGTGATGTCCCACCATCCATGATCCGGTTGTCCCTTTGCCTTAAAAAACCAGGCGGGCCAGCCCACTTTCTATTTCTCGCGTTCTCAGTCTCCGGCCGTGTTTTTCTCTCTTTTTCTCCCTCTGTTGCTGTCTTGCACAGTCTAAACATCAGTTCTGCTCATCGCAATGGCTACGATTCGCATTGCTGACGACGTTCATCCCAAAAATGAGGTCCAGGGAAAAGAAGGGCGGCCCGCCGATTCGACCTCGATCTACACCCACGATGATGGGATCTACAACATGCGCTCGAGGCGATCTTCCCATGACCTGAGTCTCTACCGCTCAAGGTCGCTGCAACAAGATGAAGACCCCGGGCTGCAAAAAGAAGGCGACTTCAAGGAGAAGCAGGTGCGTCTTGCTCGCCGCGCCTCTCCAGCTACTCAACTGATCCGATCATAGGTCTTCAGTGGCAAGATGCTCCTCTGGCTCGCCTATCAGTCGATTGGAGTCATTTACGGAGACATCGGTACCAGTCCTCTCTACGTCTACTCGTCGACCTTCACCTCTGCGCCGTCAAACGAGGACCTCATTGGCGTCTTGTCTCTAATCCTCTGGTCACTTATCATGATGGTCACCGTCAAATACATTATCATCATTCTGCATGCGGATAACGAGGGCGAGGGGGGGACGTTCAGCACGTACTCCCTCCTCAGTCGCTATATGAACATTACGAATCGCGACCCAAGAGAAGCCTCTCTGATTAGGATAAAGAGGCATGCCTCGGGCGACCTCGAAAGCGCTGGGCGTGTCATGCGCAAGGGCTTCGAAACAAGTCGCTTAGCACGCGGCATCCTGAAGACCATGGGCGTTTTGGCTGTTTCTATGGTCCTCTCCGATGGCGTACTCACGCCCGCCCAGTCCGTTCTCGGCGCTGTTCAAGGGGCTCGGGTGGTCAATCCTAGCATCTCGAAAGGTGCCATTATCGGAATTACTGACGCTATTCTTGTCCTCCTCTTCCTCATTCAACCTTTTGGCATCACCAAGATTACATTCGCCTTTTCTCCTATCGTTATTATCTGGCTTGGTTTCAATGCCGTCTTCGGAATTTACAACCTAGTTAATTATGACGCCTCTGTCTTTCGGGCTTTCAACCCTGGATATGCCTTCGAATTTCTGATCCATCACGGCGAACATGGATGGAGAATGCTGGGTGGTGTTTTGCTGGCCTTCACGGGGGTCGAGGCGCTGTTTGCGGACTTGGGAGCATTTAGCCGCAGAGCGATCCAGCTCAGCTGGCTATGCTATACGTTCCCATGTCTCCTTTTGGCGTATATCGGCCAAGCCGCCTATATAAGCGTCCATCCGGAAGCATACTCGAATCCATTCTTCGAGGCTGCACCTCCAGGCACCATCTATCCCTCCCTCATTATCGCCATTCTGGCGGCAATTGTAGCTTCACAAGCTATTATCACAGCCACGTTCCAGGTGAGCAGATGTATAATAGTGATGCAAGGCGACATTTGGCTAATACACTCAGCTTCTCCACCAAGTCATGAAATTGTCATATTTTCCGCAACTTACGGTGAAACATACCTCAAAGATCTTCCATGGCCAGCTTTACATCCCCCTCGCCAATTGGCTTCTCATGATTGGCACAATCCTTGTGGCCTCAATTTACAACAACACGACCTCGTTAGGAAATGCTTATGGCGTTTGCGTCATGTTCGTCACATTCTTCGACACGTGCATGGTCTCGTTGACAGCCATTTTTGTGTGGCGTTTCAGTCCATATCTCGTTTTTCTCCCTTGGCTTACGATCGCTTGCATGGACGGCACCTTTCTTTCTTCAGCCCTTACGAAAGTGCCGGATGGAGCCTGGTTTACTCTTACGCTAGCATTTGTTTTGGGCATGGTGTTTATGCTCTGGCGCTTCGGAAAGGAGCAGCAGTGGTTTGCTGAGGCTGGCGATCGGTTCCCGACCTCTCATTTCATAAAGAAAGGGCCTGATGGTCTACATCTAACCGAAAGATTCCATGGTACGGCCCTGAGCACCATCAACGGATTTGGCATCTTCTTCGACAAGGGTGGTGAGACGACTCCAATCGTCTTCAGCCAATTTGCTATCAAACTCACCGCGATGCCTGAGGTGTCGGTATTTTTCCACCTCCGCCCGTTGGAGACGCCTTCCGTGCCACCATCTGAGCGGCACACTGTCTCGAGACTGGCTATCCCGCACTGCTACCGTTTGGTGGTGAGATATGGCTATAACGACGAAGTTATCACGCCCGACCTTGCCTTTGTCATCTATGAGCAGATCCGAGCATACATACTTTCCGAACACAAATCAAAACCGCAAAGCAACGACAATTCTGTGCTCGTGGGTGACGAATGCGCTATTGAAGATGTCACCACAACAGGCAGCGAGAACAGCACGGGCACGGGCGCCGAAACCGACGACAAATTCCAATTCCCACAAAAGGCCCACCTAGGCCACCAGAACCCCGACCTGGAAAAGCGGACGGAAGCCCTTGCGCGTCTGGACCGCGCATTCGGGTACAAGGTAATGTACATTATGGGCAAGGAGCAGTTGACCATCAAACACGGCACGAATTACGCCAGAAGGACAATCTTGGCGCTGTTTCTGTGGATGAAGGACAACACAAGGACCAAGATGTCCAATCTCGCCGTGCCGACGGAGAAGCTTATTGAAGTGGGCTTTTTGAAGGAGATGTAGAGGCGAGTATTCGGCGAAATGAAAAGAAGAGGAAGGAGAAAAGGAGTTTTTGGAGCGCTCACTCCGGAAACGGGGACGATCTGGCCCCCGACCCAATCTTCGCATTCATATCAACGAGGACAAATCCAAGAGGAAAGGCGAAGAGGATACTAAGGGGAATGGGAACAAATAAAAGTTTGAGATACATGGATTTGTTGGATTGGGATGCGACGAGAGACGACAACCGTTTAGGCTTCACGAATCTCCTTCGTTTTACTTGGGTCATTGTTGATCTTCTGGTCTTTCCGACCCACGAGATGGACATAGACCCAGCCAGAGCCGGCAGATGGGAACGGGTCGGACAGCACTCACGACTGACGAACGAGAGACACTTTTGGGCGCCGCAGGACAGCTGCGGCGATGAAAAAAATCCCAGCCAAATGAATCCAGCGCCTCCAGATATTGCGCAGTCAGGAGACGAGCGGGCAGGAACTCGGCGATTTGCTAATGTATGTATGTATGTACGTCTTCATGACACGCCGGCATCTCGAACAATGGGGCATATCGATGCACGGTTCCACGTCGAATCATATCATACCATATAATAGAGATGTCATTTGTTCAAGAAATGCTAGGTACATGATCACGCCGCAATGCTGCGACGATATAACAAGCAGCTTCAAAATCCATGTACTCCGGAGTAGCATCGTGCAATCAATCCCCCAGGGCGAAAAAAGGACAGGGACGTCAGGACGGAGCAGCATTGCCGGCGGGAAAAAGTACCGGATTTCAGGGGCTGTTCAGCCTCGCATTCTGGGAGCTCGTGACCGTGGCCTTTCCTTTCGCTGTTCGCGCGCGCTCCCCCTGTTCGTCCGTGTCCCTCTCCAATGGCCCGCCAAATCCCACTGCCATCCCAAGCCTCGACGAACGCCATTCACCTGTACACGGCAACTCTCGAGACAAGGGCGTCTTGCGTGAGGAAAGGAACCCAGGCGATGCATTCGCTTGAGTCTGTGACCTCATGGTTAATGCTTCGCCTTTTCCCAATGGACACACATTATAAGGAAACGTTTGCCTTTGGCATGACACTTGGATCAGGACACCAAAAGAGCAAGAGCTTGGAGCATACGAGGGGCGTGGCGTCCTCTTCACTCCGAGAACCGTCCCGTCTGCAATCCATGCTCGACCTCTGCAAAGAAGATCCCCCTCAAGCAGAAAACGGATGTTTGAGTCTTGAGTCGTGTTTTCGAGGCGGGTCCGTCCCTAGATCCGTAGGATTCGGCGTCGAAATCATCACTTAAAGTGTGGTTGGCCGGTTGACATCGTTGTCCTCTCAGCCTGAAGCCTGTCACACGACAATTGGCAGCCTTTCGCTAGATGCGCGCTCTTATCTCCGGTCAGACCTCTTCCGAGGCGAATAATTCGAGATTGTCGATAGGTAACGTCAATGAGATGGCCTGGGCCTCGGCAAGAATGAAATCTGCATCATGCCGTGGTGAGTCCTGATTAGAGGCCAGAAGTTGGTCCATGCCTGGTCGGTTCCAGACCGATGGATAGGCACGTGCATCATGCGGCGTTTCCGGTGTCGCATATCCACTAGCCCCGGCGTTGATGTCTGAACGATCGCGTGATGGTCTGCGGTCCAGTGATTCTGTCGGTATCAAATTCGACCTTGTGCAGGGGCACAAACATTCGGCGCTCGCGACGATTTGATCAACATCAAATTGCACAGTGTGAGAGAGCTGTTTAATAACCATCTTTGGACCAGTTAGCTTCATGGGATTTGTTAGATAAATATCAAGGCCAATTACCTTGATGATCCACAAACACCTGACTGCACCGTTGTCGTAACAACGCATCGTTGCCAGAAGCTTGATGCCCAATTCTCCCTTCTTCCATGCTTCACTAGGTCGGGATGTGCCGTTGTGCGTCGCTATCAGGAACAGGAGGCACATGACCGCCAGGAAAAGTGTGTAGATGACACTCCAGGAAGCGGGAGCAAGCAAACCGCGTTGATGCATCACCTCAGCGCGACTAATTGTTGTAGCTGCGATTTTGATACAAGCTAGTGCGTGCTGTGATTGAGTCCTCGTAATGGGTGCACCGTCGGCCATCTGTATGAGGTAATGCAAGAATGGTTGGTATAAGACGAATTGGCCAAAATAGAATGCCATTTCCAGTTCGAATTTCATGCTGTGGCGTAGTCAGTGAAGTTTCGGGGATCAAGGAAGTCTGAGGTAGGGAAATAAAACGTACATTGCTGACACTTCAAGCTTGTCGGGAATCACAGGCAAGCAAGACAAAGCTCTGGCCCATTTGCGGAATGAATCCTCAGCTCCTCTCATGTTGACGGAGTCAACATTGTCAAAGACTAGGTCTTTTGTGCGCTTGCCCTTCTGGGTGCCGTGGCTAAATATGCTTCGAAGTCCTGTTGCGGTGAGGCTCAACAATTCCAAGTGCTTGGCTGATGCCAGAAGTTTCGCGTGAGTCGCCGAAACAGCCTCACGAGCACTGGCCGACCTTTTGCCAAAGTCCGTTTTCAATGAGGCCATAACACCCGGGTCGATGGAATTGGGATTGATGCGAGTTGGCAAATCCAGAACTATGCTGACTAAAGTGTCGAACTGTAGCACGGCAAGCATGATTCGGAGCCTGGCGTCTTGTTGTACTTCAGATATCGAGATATCTTTCCCGATGTCTTTATGCAAGCCAAGCCTCAAAGCCGACGTACAAGCAATGCCAAGATATGTGTATGCGGAAGTCAGACGAGATGTTGTGACCAGAAAGTAGATGAGACATAGTATTGTCTGCATGGATATGAGATCAGCACACTGAGCAACGTCGAGTTCCCTCCGAGCCAGAAGGAAATGCCTCGTGCTTGGATCATAAGGTCAGCCACCGACACGATTCGAGGGACGGGGGCAAACGTACGCTTCGTTGACAATGTCTTCGCACCCATGCTTTTTGCGGGATCGCACATCAAACAATAGTGCAATTGCAAGAATTCCATGGAACAGTGGCATGAAGTTATGGCTTGATGCCCCAAATTGAAGCGCAGATTCGCTGTACAGGCGATTGACCATGTCTCGAAAATCGGCCTCGTGGACGAACTGAATCAATGGATTACATCTGGTGAAGACAACGTCCAGAAGACTGAGCGTGATAGATAGACTCGGAAGACTCTGGAACTGCGAGGAGTACTGCGCGCCTGCTTCAGCATCCGCGACCGGTGCGTTGAACAAGGCTGTAGTGATATTCTGAGTCTCAGTCGTCAAGGCTGCACTGTCAGGCATTCTCCGGAACAGCTCTAGAGTCTTGAAGACGAAAGAATATCCGGAGTAAGATCCATAGAAGGTGGTTTGGGTGGGTGAAAGAGGCACGAACCGACCAGCTCTACCCATCATGCTGGCTAAGCGGGCTGAGGTGGCATTGTCGTCGCCGCCACTGGAGTCTCCGTCGTCCGAGGCCTCTGGGTACGAGTTATCTAGCGTGTTGAGCACCGAGTCGATATCGGTATTGGCGAGAATCTGATTCTGAGCCTTGAGCCGCACCAGCGACATTCGTGCTGCCCGTAGACATGCCTCCAGCTTCCGAATCCTCTGGGTGGGCGTCTCCCGAGGTCGAGTCCCAGGGTCGTAGGAACAGACTGGTGCCGTCAGCGCAGTGATCTCCTCCAAGCTGCGATAGAAGTGGCCGCCACTCACCATCGTCAGAAACACTGCAGGGGCCACAAGGCAGTGATCCGTCGCACTTGATCTTCCTCAGGCGGCATTCGTCGCAGGCACGAGGTGCTCTTCTATGGTAGCCCTTGCGAAAAGGCCGGGCGGGCTTTCCACTGCTCTGTTCTGAATCTCCAGCCATGAGGTTCAGAAAGTGGCATTTTGCCAACTCGGTGACGGCTGGAGAGATAGGAAAAAGAGAGTTCCGATCATGCGGACGGCAGGTGGGAGTCGCCACGAGGGTGGGTTTTGGACTGCAGCGAACTTTAAGCGATTGGCATGCCTATTAGTCAGGTGGTGTTCAGTTCTAGGTTGCTGTGGGTGTTGTCGGGGCCATGATCCAGCGTGCCAGGTGATGAGGAGGTTCGAGTCCAATTGAATCAAGGGTCTTGTAGGTTTTCAGCTCGCGGGATGGGCGAGACGGTGCCCAATCAGGGCCAAGCCGCCAGCCTTGTCGCTGCAATCTCACTCACCATGCCGCTTTTAACCAGCTCGCCGACTATCAAATTGCGGGGTGAGCATCCGAACTGCAGAACCTTGCTCCCTAGTATTTCCCTCTACGCTACGGCCTGGTACTTCCACTCGGCGCCCGCAGTATGGCACAGTCGACAGACAACAAGTTTGCCATACACGAAGCCGCCCGAGAAGGCAAGACACAAGTGGTCGAGTCTCTCCTCAATGCAAACCCCAAACTGGCGGCCCTCGGCGACCAAGACAACCGTCTTCCTCTACACTGGGCCATTGCCTTCGCTCATCTCGACATTGTCAAACTCCTCACAGCCACGCGCTCCTTTGACCCGGACGCTGAAGATGGATCGGGCTGGACACCTCTTGCCATCGCTGCCTCTCTTAAAGACAATTCCGGGCTGCCCATCATCGAGCTCCTTCTCTCCAAAGACGCCGACCCCAAGATTGCCACGAACACAGGCGTTACGCCGTTACATCTGGCCGTGTCAAAGAATAACCTGGACGTGTGCAAAACCCTTTTGAAACATGGGGCGAGTGCAAGGGTCAAGGATAAGCGAGGCCAATTACCCCTCCACCGCGCCGCCGCCGTGGGATCCGTCCCTGTCGTGAAACTGCTGCTCGAGAACAAGTCTCCCATCAACGCCACGGACATGGACGGACACACGCCTCTACATCATGCGATAAGCGAAGGACATGGAGACGTGGCTGTCGAGCTATTAAAAGCTGGGGCGGAGACGGATAAAAAGGATCATGAGGGCAGATTGGCGATTGACTGTGCGCCGGATGGCAAGGTCAGGTCGCATATCTTGAAAGCGGCAGAGAGGGAAGGGATTGAATTTGCCTGAACCACACCAGCCCCAGCATGGAAGAAAAACAGATCTCCACAACAAACGATGCGGGAAAAGGATGCATTTGAGATGGTCAAATAAAATTCTTTCAGAATTGGCCTCATTTCATCGTATCCGCCAACTGTCGATACATCTGCTTCACATCAACAATATCGGCCTTCAGCTCTTCTACCTGCTCGCTCTTCTCCCCCAACAATTCTAGCGTGGTCTGGTGTCTTGTACTGAGACTGGCATGCTCCTTCTCGAGCGCCTCCAACCGTTCCTCGATCTTCCGCTTCGCCTCGACCTCGCGCATCAGGCTGACGACTTCCTGCCTTGCTTCGTCACGCTGGGCAGTGAGGCGGGCGAGCTCGTCTTTGGAAGCAGCTTTTTCACTTTCGAGGCGACGAACATTGGCCGACATTCGCTCGACCAATTGCACAGAAGGGCCAGCACCAATGGTGGAGGTGGAGACTAGATCGTTCAAGCCTCCACGCTGGGAGTGGTGGCTTGTGGTCATAGGCGTGGGTGGAACATTGGCAAAATACTCATCTGGATCCATGGACGTCACCACAGACGGTGTTTCTGCAATGGAGCCGTTTGCCAGACCACGGAAGGACGTGGTGGAGTGTTGACGAGGCGGGGTATTCGAGTCGTATGTGTTGGGCATAATAGAGGGCCGTCGACTGCTGCCCCGTTCATACTGCGTTGGGCTCATGAGATGATTGATGTCGAATCCCAGGCCCGAGTTTTTGCGGATCGACGTCGCTGGAGAATCTGTGCGTTGGATATGCAAAGCGGCAGTCCATTTTGATTTTTCCTCGTCGATCCTCCGTTGCAGCTCCCTCTCCGAATTCCCCTTCTGCTCCTCAAGGTCCCTCAAAGCATTTGCCAGGTCCGTCTCAAGCTGACTCACTTTTCGCTGTAGCCGCCTTGTTTCCTCATTCGTATCTGCCAATGACTTATCCATGTCCGCATAGTTACTTTGAGTGTTAGCCAGCTCCCTTTCCGCGTTCTTCAACTTCAGCGTGGCATCTCGCAACTTCTTCCGCAGCTCTGCCTCTCTTCCCACGACCTCATCACGCTCTTTTTCCAGGTTCGTGATCCGGCCAAGAAGCGAACTCTCGATTCCTTGCCAATTCTGACTCGCGGTGGTATATTGAGTCTGTAATATCTCGATCTGTCGAAGGAGTTTGGCTTGTGTGTGACCGTGATCTGTTGAGGAAGCTTCCTCAGCTCGGACACGGAAAGACTCGAGCTTGCTTTCCAGGGCGGCTTGCTCATTCAACATTTCGCTCTCCATATTGCGCGCATGCTCCTTCTGCTTTTCGAGTTCACTTCGTACGTCCTGGATCTCCTTCCGCAGTTTCTGCTCAGATAGTTCACGCTCGACTTTCGCAACGGTTAAATCATCTTGAAGCTCGACAATTTTCCGCCTTTCCTTCTCCAATTGCTCGGATTGCACTTTGCTCTCTGCGGCTTCAGCCCGCGAATTGGCTTTGGAAAGTTGCGATTTCATTTCCGCTAGGGTAGCATTTAATGCATCTCGCTCCTTTCGCATTGCTTCAACGTCCTTTGCCGCCACGGCATTTGCGGCGATAATTTGCTCCGCACGCTTGCTTGCAGCTTCAGCTTTCCTAGCACGGTCCTCCATGGCTCTCAGAGCACGTTCAGCCCGGTCTGCGCGTAGTCTTGCAGCTTCCTGTTCTTTGGCAGTGGTCAATGCTTGAGCTCGAACTTTCTTCAACGTGCTTCGCAGATCCATTTCGGTCTTTGACCATCTGGTGCCTTCTTCTATCAGGACAGCTATTTCCTCATCCTTTTGAGAAATTTTCTGCTCCAAGCTTCCTGCTTCCGCAGAAGCAGCTGCTTGCTTAGCAGTGTCGGCAGCCTTTTGAGCCGATTCGGCGACTTCTTGGCCCAGTCTTTCAAGGTTTCTTCGGAGCGCATCGATGCGTTCGAGATAGGTATTCATTTCTTCTTGCATTTCCATTGTCTCGTCCTTATCAGGCTTCGATCCATCGCTTTCGCTGGTTCTCTGCGCATCTTCAGACATCCTGCTCGACACGGTCTGACCGTCTCTCAGGAGCTCTGCTGAAGGCCGTGCTGAGTCCAGATCTGGCTGTTCCACGACTATTGCTGCCATTCTATGTCGTTCTGTCTCAACCATCGCCGTGGTCACTGGTGGTGATTTGTCACTCCCCACATTCTGCTTCGCACTCTCGCCCACGTCACCGGAAATCCGTAGCTCAATATCTGTCTCCTCGCAATTCGAAAGGGACGGATCCTCCACTTTGGCGATTTCTGAAAGGAGAGTCGAGGCATCTCCTCCTCGTGAAGCTGGCCTCGAAGATTGTTCCTGGGAAGGGACTGGACTTTCGGTACGACTAGCATTTTTCTTTGCCATCGCCCGTGCGAGGCGTTCCTGGAGCCGATCATTGGAGGCAGAGGCAGTGCTGCTGCTTCTAGACAAGTCGGAAGAGGCTACAAATACATTAGTCATTCGAAGGGGGATTCGGTGAGGATTTCTTACGTTTCTTGTTGTGGGCAGGAGTGTGCGTCCGTTTTGGACGATCGCCCTCTTCAGCGAGGATGTCATCCAGTCTCGATTCGACAGAGGCGACAGCCTGCTGTAAGAAATTCCATCTCGAACCCGATCTGGAGGTCATGTTCCACAGCCGAGCACCTGGTGGACGACTGCAGTGGCTAGAACGACTATAATGCAGAGTCTAAGAGCACGTATAGTATCGCCGAAGAGCAAGGAGATAACATGGCCGCGGAACAGGAAATGTGGCCCAGTAACACCACTGTCGAATGTTGAACAAAGTTGACGCGTCCACGGTGTGGACAACGTTCTCGGACTGCGAGCCACGAACGGGGAAAGAAATAGGCGAACGCAGTCCCGCAGCGCGGCATGTCATGCCCCAGGGTCCCGCTAGCAGCCTGGAGAGAAAGAGCTTCCCGCAACCTGAAATCTGAGCTTCAACATCGAATTGACGCAATAGCTGGCAATAATCTTCTCCCAACTTTACCTTCGAGATCAACAGTCATCGTACGAAGATTCATGGACCTTGTTGGTTGACCCGAAACTCCTAGATTATCTCCCAGAAGACACAACTACGCTTGTGCCCGTCGGCAAGATGTCACTGAGTCCGCCAGGCTATCTCGGCACCCTCCAGAGCAATATCAGAGCTCGTCCTGTGAGCGCATTGCCCTCTACCCTCGAGGCTGATTACTAACGATACAACAGATACCCTGGGACGGTGCCGTTCGAGCGGGAAACCTAACAGAAGACCAGCTCAAGAGAATCAGATCGGTTGACAAGGTCAGGAAAGAGCAGCGGAAACAGACAATCGAGAAAGATGTGAACAGCTACAGTGCTCTGCTTATCGGCGGCACAGACGGTGGCAGTGTGCTTGAAAAAGCCTCGAAGCGTAGCGACATCATCCAATACAGTCTAGTACTGGCAACGGACCTCATCAATGGTACGATATCGCAGTCTCTACCAGGGCGCGCAGCAACTTTGACTGACGCCGACTAGATGCTCCAGATCTCGCAAAAGCTATTCTAGAGCACCCTGAACCCTATAGGAGCTTCCTGTCCTTTCTCAACCAGGGAAACGACCCTAAGGACCCCATCCCCCTCCTCTCCGCCACATTTCTAGTCAATCTTATCGCCATTTCTATAACGACCTCCTCACGCCCAGCTAGGCGAGATGACGAGGCGCTCCCGCAGGTCTACTCGTACCTGGCCACATTGGTCAAGGATCAAGACAGTGGATTACAGGATATCGGGGTACAGCACATGTCACAATTACTGCGGACGAAGCGATCAAAAGAACTATTCTGGAGCCAGAGACAGGATACGGTCGATCCTTTGTTCGACATCTTGAGAAAAGCCGCTGGAGCTGCAAAAGACAATGACTCTACGCTGTGGAGTGGCAACGCTAGTATACGGAGCAATGACACGAGATTTGGTGAAGGGGTAGGCCTGCAATTGATGTACCATGTGTTACTGGTAATATGGCAGCTCAGCTTCGAGGGTGAGCTAGTGGGCGAAGGTCTTGAAAAGTGAGGATGAGCAATTCCCATGGCGTGGTCGAGGCAGAGTTCGGGCTAACGTTTACCCAGGGACGAGGAGATTGTGCCGCTGTACACACAGCTTCTGCGGATGTCACCCAAGGAGAAGACTACCCGACTCCTGTTGGCAACACTGAACAACCTTCTTGCAACCAATAAGGAGACGCTGATTGCGACTGCAACAACTGCCAGGCTTCCTACCCTGCTGAGCAATCTGAGCAGTCGTCATCTGACTGATCCCGATTTATTGGAGGATTTGGAGGCGTTGAAGACGATGCTTGAAGAATACACAAAGAATCAGACAACATTTGACGAGTACGCTGATGAGGTAAATTCTGGCCATCTACGCTGGTCACCACCCCATCGTAATCCGACTTTCTGGCGTGAAAACGCACGCAGGATCCTGGAGGACAAAAGCGGCGAACTCCCCAAGAAACTGGCCGAGATCCTGTCTAAGAGCTGGGAGTCGGACAAGCAAGTGTTGGCCGTCGGGTGCAATGACGTGGGGAACTTGGTGAAGCATGTTCCGGAGCAACGGACTGCGCTCGAGAAACTGGGCCTCAAGGCTCGGCTTCTGGAGTTGATGGGCGATCCCGACGAGAATGTGAGGTGGGAGAGTCTCAAGGCCGTAGGTGACTGGATGAGGTACACGTTCGATAAGTGAGTGGCTGGGCTTTTGGCACGAAGTTCGGCGCTGATTGAGGCCATGAAACGGGTTGATCATGGCCGAGACATTGATTCCTCTAGAGTCGTGGTTTGTGGCGGCAAAGACGCATTGCTTTTGGTTGCTGTATAAGAGAGAAAGGAAAGAACGCTCCACAGGTCTTTTAGAAGCAATGGCCCCTTAATTATACTCCGAACTCCGTGCTCCGTGCTCCGTATAGGGCCGACTACATGCTTCCATCTTGCGCTTGGGGAGAAATCTTCCACGCGTCAAAGGCCTGCGGGTGTCGTTCGTGCACTTATTATCCCATTTCCTGCCCGTGTGATCGACTCGAATACTCCTCAGGCCGATCCCAAGCTGGTATTCCGACCACCACAGCCGAAACCATATTTTGACCTTGCAAAAGGGTTTTGGGGGAAAAGAAAGGACAGCGAGACACTACGATACCCAGAAAAGCTAGGCTGGCATGTCTGGCACGAGAAGGGTAATCCCCCCCTGCCAAGGATCGCGTCTCTCGCCAGAAAAGTCTCCCACTGGTCGGTCCTCGAGATCTCCGGGCGGTGGGTGTCCCCAGTCATGCATGCACTCCAAGATGGGATCGACAGATTTGCGGGCAACTGACGCGAGGTATAAAATATCCATGAAGTATCCCCTACTCTTAATCCGAAGGAAGTTTCCAGCGCGAATTCGCGAGCAAAGGCAAGACGCGGGCGGTGGGCAGTATGTGGAGAGTGCTTCGCGGCATAGTTGTGCTCCATACAGGATGGAATAAGACGAAGAGCTGGTCTCGGTCCGAAGAAGGGGCGGCAGGATGGGAGCTGGACTGGAGCTGAGCTGAAGCTGAAGCTGAAGGGTGCGGTAGACCAAGGTCTCTCTCTATTATTCGACCAAGGATGAAAAGAGAGGCAAATTGATAGGTGGACAGGTTCCGGCGTAGATTTCGGGAGGTGGGAGAGCCTTGAAGCGTCACAGATCCTGGAGAGTTACTTCGTGCGAGTAGCTTAGAGTAGGGTCGAGAGGATGCAGGCCGTGAGACTGCGAGTTGGATGGAATTGTATGTGCTTACCGAGCTGCACTTTCCCGCGCAAACAATCAATGCTCAAGCATCGCAGCCACTTGCTCAACCGCTTCAATGAAAAGCGAGAGTCAACAATCTCGCTTTGCTCTCCCTCATCAAGCACAGAACCAGGAGACGCTCGAGACGGTGTGCCAGACAGTAGCCGCTTGTCGAGAATTAGCTGAGGCAATCTGCGGCGGATCCAATGAGGAGGCGATCAGCAACGCAGGGCTATTCCGCTTCTGAAAACACCTGAGAGCACCATCCACCTCCATCAACCACGCGGATCCTCTCCTAGACCATCCTCTCACTTCTTCTTTCTCTCCACCGGCGCGCTATCACTGCCATTCTAGGATTGCTATTTGCATGTGGCTGATCTACATGCTCGAACGACGACCCTAACTATGTCGCTACTCTAGACGGGCGTCAAAGCGTCTGAGAGTCCGCCCTTCCCTTTCTCTACCGCCCGTCCGCAACCGGCAGCTGGAACATCCACCACCACCTCCCCCCAATCACCTCCATGAAGACTATCGACCATGGACGACAATAATGCGCAAAGCTTCGCTTCTGCGTCTCCTCCTCCTCCTCCACCTCCAAAAGAATATCCTCCCCTTCAGCGGCTGCCCTCCCTTTCCAACACCATCTCCGCCGCTCTGAAACCTTTCTCTTCAGCCTCCCCCGTCCGCCGAAAACCTCTCCCTTCTAACGTCTCACCTGTTCTCACATCACCCGAGGCACAGAAGACTCAGACGCGGATAGAGTCACCCTCGAAAACCATACGGAGAAAGAGAGTTCCCTCTGATGTTGTAAGGCAGACGTACGTTTTCGCCGTGTCGTACAAACGCCCAGGTTCCCAGCTGACCCGAACAGGAATCCTGATATCACCTCACCCGTCCTCAATCAGAGGGAGACAAGCGATAACAACCCGGACAAGATAACCACAGACGCTTCCCTCCCCCGACCTGCCGGTGACGCCGTCACAGGTTCGCCAAAGCGCAGGCAAGGCTCACAACGATCAAATGGTTACTCGGTAGACAACGTCATTGTAGAGGAGGACATGGGACTGAAACCTGGGTCGAGGCCTCCGCCTCTGCGGACGGACTCGACCTCATCCACGAAATCACTCACGGTGATCGACGCGAAGAAACCTCAGACTCCAGGTAGCAAGTTTACCTCATTCTTCAGCCGCAAACCCGCCGCCTCACCAAGCACCGAATCCTCAGTCACAGACATTTCGGATAGGAAGTCCCCTCTGCCATCACCCTATGGCCCTTCGCCGCACGCTTCAGCACATTCCTCACAAGGATACCCATTCCCTTCGGCTGTCCCGAGGCCTTCAACATCACAGCCCTCTTCTCAAGACTCGATTGACTTTGATGGAAGCACGTACGCTCAGACGTTGGTCAACAACGATGGCAACCGAATCTCCAAGCTCGAGGCCGAACTCCGCGACATTAGCACAGAACTTGCTAATTCTATCAAAAGAGAGATGGATCTAGAGGACCTGGTCGAACAGCTCCAGACAGAGGGCGCTAATATCAACAGGGAAACTGATCGCACCAGTGATTATTTTTCAGATTCTGGCACGAGTTCAATAAGGCCGTCGACGAGTGAAGGAAACCCGAAGGAAGAGATCCAGAGGATCAAAAGAGAGTCGGAGCAGCTTCGAGCGCAGCTCAAGGTCGAAATGTCGCAAAAATGGCAAAACGAAAGGTCAAGCCGGCAGGCATTGGAATCCCATATACAGATCCTGGAGCAGAAGCTCTCCCTGTCCCGTCGAGACAACAACGAATCTGCGGACATTACCGCGAGGGCCAAGGAGTTGGAAGTGGCGCTCGAAGACGCCAGAAGGCGGCTGATGGAAGAAAGGCAGATCAAGGAGAATTTTGAAGACTTGCTGACGGCTCTTCGCGTCGATTTGGAACACCACCGGAACGAAAGAGACAACCTGCGGGATGAGGTAGTACCTCAACTTCGCTCACAGATCGAGGGACTCGAAACGAGCTTGTCCGAATCACAGAAATCAGACTACGATTTTACACGGATGCAGCAGGAACTGCAGAGTCTCCGAGACGAAAACAATGCCCTTCAGAGTGCCCGTGCGATGAACATGCAGTTTCAGTCGATTGCGGAAGAAGGCGAGATCGTTGAATCACCAAGAACTTCCACGCTTCCAGGTCGTGGGAACGGCCTACAAAGGTCAAATACCATTTTGAATAGGTCAAACTCTAGAGCTACGCCAAACCGATCGAATTCGCTATCAAGGTCAAACTCTGTGGTTAATCGCACTGCTCCAGAGAGTCAGCAATCACTTGCCGATCAGCTGAAGGATGTCACAGAACAAAGAAACGCCTTGCACTCAACTGTGAAGTATTTGTTAAGAAGACAAGAGGCACAAAGGCGACTGTTTGAGAAGCGTCTCAATCTCACCGAAGCCGAACGCGATCGAGCTGCTTCCTTACACGGGCCCAAAAAGGGAGGTTATGAACGGGAAGTTCGGACCCTGCGTTCGGAGATCAATCTCCTTCGTAAAAGGGCGGACGACGCTCTTGAACAAAAGTGGCAGTGTGAGAAAGGACTGTCGGGATTGAAAATGGACCTCGACCGGAGCAAGCAGGAAACCGCTAGTTTACAGACGCTCTTACAAGCCCGTGACGAGAGCGCACCAGAGGTCCTCTCCTCTACACTTGAGCAGGCCTTGCGTCAACTGGAACAACAGCGAGACCAAGCCCGACAGCAGGAATCGCTTGGCTCATTGAAGCACGAGCAGGATCTTGCCACCGAATTGGAAATGTCTGCACAAAGGTCTGAGTCGTTGGCCGCGCAAGTCAGAAAGCAAATGCAAGCCAATGGCGCATTGAGGAACCGACTTAAAACCGCCGTGGAGAAGGGTGAACAGAATCAACAAGCATCGGCTGAACAAATCAACGAACTCCAAACCAAGCTTCGCAAATTAGAAGACGTTATCACCGTCGCTCAAATGCAATCGGAGACCGCCGTCATGAAGCACGAGGAGGAAGTGCGTGTGCTCAGAGCGAGCCACAATATCCAGCTGATGCGCACGAAATCTGGGCACAAGACACCAGGATACTTGAGCCCAGCGCCCCGGTCCCCAATGTCGCCAATGTTTGCAAACTCTAAAAAGAGCCCCCGTATCAACCAGACGACTTCAGGCCCTGGCATTGCATTGCAACAGGCACTGAAGACTGAATATCTGGAAAATAAGGTGGCTGAGCTGGAGAAAGCCCTCTCGGAAGCAGAAAAGGAGATGGGAGAAGTAGTTGGACGTATGAACACGGCTCAGATGGGAGTTGCTGAGCTGGAATCGGAAAGGTGAGACCCATCAAATCGAAAGTTTAGGGTTGTTTGCTGATTCATATCAACAGGGACGAAGCACTTCGCCAAACGCGACGGCTCGAAGCTGCCATCGCCGCGGAACGAGAGAAAGTACAGACGCTTCTCAACGACGACTTTAACTACGCCTCGGATTATTAATGGCCTGTCTCCCATGCATCCTCACCAGAAGAGTCGCATAGAGATGGCTAAGCAGCTGTTTTCTTTTTTGTTCCCCATCGTATTGCATATTAATGGGACGAATCACATATTGAGCGAAGGGTTGGGGGCCATGTGCATTATTGTCCTTTTGGTTTGATGAATTTGATGTCCTTTGGTTGCACAGTGAACATTTGGCCGGTTCGGGAGCTCCAGTCATTAGACGTTGGGTTCTGGGTGTTGCCTGGAGTTGAGATGGCAGTTGAAGTCGCTGCTGAGACGGAGCGCCTTGTACAAAAGCACAAAAGTATACTAATTACAGCTCCACGAGATGGAGAAAGAGCATTGGGCTTGGATAGCGAGATCTTGGACGTTTGTTGCCTGAAACCCGTGGGATGTTCAGTCGGACCATGAGGCAAGGGACGTACATATAAGAACAAGGCAAATGAATGTCGATATCTCTGTTCTGTTCGAACCTTCGAGTCGTTTATTGATCACGATAAATGTCCAAGTTGCCGGAATATCAATTGAGGTATATTAATACGGAGTAAATAGCAACCTGCGGGCGGAGACGTCGAAAGGCTGCTCCAGCCACGCAACGACCTTCCCCGCGATTGTCCAAGCCTCCTTCACATGCCCGTTGCTGATATTCTTTGGCCTCATTCAATCCTCCTCTCCACACATCCTCGACATTGTGGCCACGGATCTGTCTTCGCCGAAGGAACCCATGAGACTTGTCTGCAGCCATCGACACAAGCAGGAATTCAAATCCTAATGTCTTAACATGACAACTGGCTTCAACCACCTACCATGAGTGATACAAATACAGACGCGGTATTCGGCGCTTGAGAGACATACGAGACTCACCAATCTAAATATCAGAAACCTGCCTTCTCACTACTACTACCCTTGGTATAAAAGATACGGCGTGGTCCGTCTGCCTCTCCTACCCACCTCACCTGCGCCCTCAGAACTCGCCCACTGAACGAACATTTCCAAAGCCGCTTCCAACATCAACCTGCCAAAGCTGTGCGATGCCCTCGGCCCCGCCATCACCGCCTCCTCCCTTGCCATCCTTCATCTGGCACCTCGCGGACCTCTACAGCGCGTACATCCTCCCGCGCCTGCCTGAACCCGTGCAGTCGCTGTCCAACCACCTGTCGCCCGTGGCCATGTCGGTCGCCTCGGCCGCGTCCAATGGCGACATCGTGTCGCTGGCCGCCTTCCTCCTCGCCGTCTACCTCGCGCTGAAGATCGCCGACTACATCCGCCGCTCGGTCATCGGCTGGGCGATCCTGCTGGTGAAGCTCGCCCTGGTGCTCGTGCTGCTCAACTGCGTCTTCTACGTCAACCGGTACGGGTGGCACAAGGCCCTGGCCGACGCCGAGTGGCTCGTCGGCCTGGTCTGGGGGTTCGTCGAGGATAAAGTCATGAACGCCGCGGGCGACGGGACCGACAACCGGACGGGGTGGTATGCGGGGGGCGGGTCACAACATGGATACGGCGCACGGGGTCAGGGTCAGAATCAGAACCCCTGGGGTGCGTATGGAGGTGGAAGACAACAAGTCCCTGTCGGGCGAGGCAAGCCGAAGGGGAAAAGTAGCTATGGGTGGACATGAGCATGAAGTTCGATTTCCTCACGGGTTGTATATTGGGGAAAAAGGTCTTGTTTGAAAACAGCATTGGTGTAATGGAGGGGAATCCACTTCGCGATGGTACAAAATTCATTTCTGGGTATCTGTTCTACTCTTCCCGATCGTGACCTTGACATGCACAACCAGCCCCAAGCCGACCAGCCAACGCCGACGCTGAAAAGATGCTTTTAGTTTCTTCGTTGTAATGGACCCCTCCTCCGAGAAACCCGACTGGGGTGAGTAGTGCCTCATTCATGCTCACAACCCGTTTCCGGGCACATTCTCCAATCAGTCCTCCCAGGGGGCGTCCTCCAACTCGGGTTCCTTGGGGTCTCTCGGTTCCTGCGCCTCGTGGAACTGAATGGCGTCGTCAATGTAGCTCAACACATCACCGACGTTTTCCTCATCGTTGACATCCAGCTGCAGAAAGGACACCATGCTGAAATCGTCGATCAGGCGGGCGACGGCGCGGTTGAGCTGCTTGAACGATCCTCCAGACATAATGTTGTCGACTTCGTGCGGATTGCCGACGTCCAATGCGGTGTACTCTGGCGCTCCTATTCCCGTCGGGCCGCCGAAGCCGGAGCCGGCGCTGGCGCTGGCGCTGGGCAGGAGTTCGCGGCCGGTGTCCTCCTGGTCGAGGAGGTTGGCGTCCGGGTCGATGAAGCGGCGCAGCTCGCGCTTGGGGACTTGGTCCTTGACCAGGTCCATCTTGGAGAGGATGTTGACGTGGGGCAGTTCCAGCATGACCATGGCGCTCATGGCGGAGAGGGTGCCGGCGAAGAACTTGGCCTTGTCGACCACAAAGGTCGCCTCGAGGAGATACGCCGCGCACAGCGAGATGTTCAGCGGACCCATGCGCGAGAGGTACCGGACCAGCTCCGGCAACAGGGGGATGTGGGTGTACAGTTCGATCTGGCCCGGGAGGTCGAAAATGATCAGGTACTCTTCTGTCAGGGGGTCGATGGCCTCGGCCAGCCAGTCGAGATTCTGCAGGAGGAATTCAAAGCAGTAGATCAACCCGCCGTTGGGGCCTAGGGAGAGCGGCTCTTCCATGACGTCCTCAAGCGAGATCAGGTCCCGGATGTCCAGGTCGGGAGTGTAGCTGAGGTCGGTGGCCGCCGGATCCAGATTCACGTAGAAGGCGGAACGGCGGCTGTGGTGGAGATGGGTGATGAGGGCGGTACAGAAGGTTGTTTTGCCGGCCCCAGCGGGACCGGTGACGAGGACACCGAATTTCGACATGTCTTCTTAGCTTTCCTTGTGCTTTTCGGAGTCTGTCGGTTTGTGATGGTGGATGAGCTGAACTCGAGGGGCAATTGGCGCAGAAGATGAGACAAGAGTTCTGTGTGAAAAAGAAGAGATTCACGATGTTGGCGCGGGGCGATTGCACGTATATGCGTTCCCAGATTCAACAGTGCTCAGTCGGGCCTTTCGCGTTGATGGATGTAGAACCGTTCGTGGACGTTGATGAAGTCCTCCTGCCTTTCACCACTAGGTGTCTCTTCCCCTTTGTCTACTCCTCCTTCTCCTCCTCTCTCGACGTGATGGAACTAGGAGAGGATTCGGTAGTGACGTAGCAAGGTCAAGAGTGTGAATCTCTGTGCAGAGCCTGTCTCACTGGATGGCTTTCTGTCGGACCTCATGCCACTCTCATACCACAGATGTTTCCCAAAGGCGTTAGCGTCCCGCAGGCTGGAGTGACAATCTTCGAGTTTGCAGTCTTAAGACAGACAGAGAACTTGGGGCTGTTGAACTCGTTGTTGTGTTTTGGTTCTCTTTTCCTTCTTCCGTGTTGCTTCATCATCTCCGTCGTCACGTATACGAGGGAAAAGGCCGCAAAAATTATAGACGACGATATTTCTGCCACCGCCTTTCAGCCTGTACGGGCCCTTGCAGTCGTCCAGTCGGAAACTTTTTCTCGGGACGAGTAATAGGATACCTATCCACAGTCAGTTTAGTGAGGGGGAGAACAGAAAGAGACTGACCTTTGAAGTCGGGGACGATTGCGCAATTCTCCCTCCCCAAGTCCACTCGAACGCCGACGAGACGAGAGGCGAATCAAATCTCCCAAAGGCCTCGAGAGCCAGGAAAGAAAGCGTTGCTCACCGCCCGAGAAGAGAGAAAGGATGCCGTCCCAGCAACAGCAGCAACCAGCGCAGAGGAGAAGGGGAAACAGAGTGCCGGCATGGGGCCACCTGGGACTGTCGTTGGCTGTGTGCCTAGTGGGCTTTGTGCTGTACCTAGTGCCCCGAGAGCGACTATTGGGACTGCCGGGGCTGCTGGGGCTGCAGCTGGAGCCCATAGCCACGTCCAGGGACATGATTTCCAGGCCAAACTCTGCCGATGCCGGTCAAGGTGGGTTGGTCCCTTGGCTTAACCTCTGGCTTGTGGGTGGATTCCGTTTGGTGTGATAACGACATCGCCCTGCTGGATTTTTTTTCTCCTCACCGTTTCTCCGTCTCAGGCTCGCCGGAAACGCATCCATCCCCCACTCCCAAGTTTTTCCCTTTTGCCTATGATTTAATACTAGTCCTCCCTTCTACCATTCCCTCGATCTCATCTCCTTAACCGACACTCTCACACTCTCTCCCTCGACCGGGCTACCCTTCCTCTTTGCTCCCCCAAGCACATATCCTCCCAAAAGCCAAAGGAAAAGGACTCGGCGTGCCGTCCTTTACTTATCCTCCCTCCGCATTCTTTCGAGACAATCTGTCACTACACCCGCACACAAACGCACTCTCTTTCTCTGACCTTTGCCTAACCCCCGCTCTCTCCAGTCACGACGACTACCGCCACAATGACCGGTCTTGCCAACGGAGTGTCCAAGGGCGACACCTTCCTCTTCACCTCCGAGTCTGTCGGTGAGGGTCATCCTGACAAGATTGCGTACGGCCCTCCTTGTTCTCTGTCCGCAACGGGTCGAGACTGACATGAATTCACAGCGACCAAGTTTCAGATGCGATCCTCGATGCCTGCCTCGCAGTCGACCCTCTGTCGAAGGTGGCTTGCGAGACTGCCACGAAGACTGGTGCGCCATCTCTTCTCCCACCAAACCGCGCTTCCTATTCCCCTAACATTTTACAGGCATGATCATGGTCTTTGGTGAGATCACGAGCAAGGCCCACCTCGACTATCAAAAGATTGTCCGTAATGCCATCAAGGAGATTGGATACGACAGCTCAGACAAAGGATTCGATTACAAGACCTGCAACGTTCTCGTCGCCATCGAAGAGCAATCTCCCGACATTGCCCAGGGTCTGCACTATGACGAGGCACTAGAAAAGTTGGGTGCCGGTGACCAGGGCATTATGTTTGGCTATGCCACCGACGAGACGCCTGAGCTCTTGCCGCTGACCATTCAGCTCGCTCACAAACTCAACGCCGCCATGACCAATGCCCGCAAGTCTGGTGAACTTCCCTGGCTACGACCAGACACCAAGACTCAAGTCACGGTGGAATATGCTCATGATGGAGGTGCTGTCAAGCCCTTGAGAGTTGATACTGTCGTCATTTCGGCTCAACACTCTGAGGACATCTCCACCGAAGACCTCCGAAAGGAGATTCTGGAGAAGATCATCAAGAAAGTCATCCCCGCCAAATACCTCGACGACAAGACCATCTACCATATCCAACCATCCGGTCTCTTCATTATCGGCGGTCCCCAGGGCGACGCTGGCCTCACCGGCCGCAAGATCATCGTCGATACCTACGGTGGCTGGGGAGCTCACGGTGGTGGTGCCTTTTCCGGCAAGGACTATAGCAAAGTCGACCGCTCGGCCGCCTACCTCGCCCGCTGGATCGCCAAATCGCTCGTTGCCGCAGGTCTCGCCCGTCGTTGCTTGGTCCAACTCTCCTATGCCATTGGTGTTGCTGAGCCACTCTCCCTATTTGTCGAGACCTACGGCACCAGCACCAAATCCAGTGCTGAGCTTGTTGACATTATCCACAAGAACTTTGACCTCAGACCAGGTGTCATCGTCAAGGAGCTCAACCTTACCAACCCCATTTACTTCCGAACTGCCAAGAACGGTCATTTCACCGACCAGACCTTTACCTGGGAACAGGCCAAGCCCCTGAAGTTCTAGATTTCCTTGTTTGTTTTTCCGTGCCAACCACTGAAAATCATGGCAAGAATCACGAAACATCGGCGTTCCATCTAATCGCATTGGGTTTTTCTGTTGGAGTAAATATCCACGGGAGAGAGCAGGTGTCACTTTTTTCTCCCGAGCTAGAGGGACGGCGAAGGATTTTTTTCGATTTCCTGGTTTTCAACAGACTCAGGGTCGAAAATCTTCTTCGGCTGTCTTTGTTCTTTGACTACATTTGAAGAGGATGGCAATTTCTGGGGCAAAACCGATTGCCCCAAATAGCCGGCTATGTGGTGCTCACAGAAAGCGAAAGACTTGTCTGCTTTTCCTTTTCCTTGTCTCTTACCAAAAAAGAATTCATGACGGCGCGGGTTACGTCTTGACGATATTCAACATGTTTCGATGATACCCCCTGCTGCGCGCAAGAAAGACTATGTTTTGCGTTATTGATTTATGTCTCTAAGGGCATTTTGATGATGGGGATTGGCGTTCAACTCGCTAAACGGGCACGGCTGCGGATGAGGGTTAAGATAGGAGGACATTTAGCATGCCCCCTGATGAGTGAAATGGTTTGGCTCGGACTGGCGAGGCTCGAGATCGAGACCTTGGGCACGCGATTACGCCTTTTCTTCCCAACAAGGAACCCTTTGTCGAAACTGGGCAGAAGAATTTTACGGTTGGAGCAGCCAACGGCCTTGCTTTGATCGATGGATGAATACACGGCGGGATCGAACCGATCAAAGAATGAGGTGGAATTATGGGCATACTTGGGTTCGCCTCACTCAGTCAACCAGTCAGATATTAGGTCAAGTGCAGGAAAGCTCTCGATATCGAAAAGGGCAAAACAAATGGCAGGCATCAACTAACTGCCAGCAAACGGAAGAAGAATCTTCATTCCTTGCACTTTTGCCGCAACCTGCCAAAGAAGGACGAGCGAAGAAGCCGGCAGGATCTTCTTTTGTTCAGCTGTCCCTTCTTCCCTTGCCTCCTTCTTCCCTCAACTCGTCCACGTCCTAACAACCCGTGTCTAATAACCCTTCCCTCTCTCCTGCGTTCCCCGACTCGAATAGCCACGAGCTGCTTTGGAGTTTTTGCTAGGTCCATTTGCATGACTTGTTGGGAGAAACTGCATATGTTCAGGTTTGGTTCAACATTCACATTCTCGTTCTCGTTCTTTCTTTCTATGTGCGGTACTGTGCGGTGCTATGCTGTATGTACTGCGCTGCGCTGCGCTGCTCTACTCTGCTCTGCTCTATGTCCTTCACGCCATGACCCCCAGCCCAGCCCTCCCGCCCGCTGGCCTGACAGGGAAACCTTCTCATTCTGGTGGGCAGGGCAGAAAAAAGCAAACATCTCCTGAGCTCATCATTATGTGTACATACCATATTGACAATGGGTTGGTTGGTTGATTGGTTGGTTGATTGGTTGGCGGCAAGCAGCCAGCGAGAATCCAACAATCAAATAAACACAAGGAAAATCAAAAGTCGAGTGAATGGATGGATGGATGGGCGGATGGGCGTGGAGCATCGCATCTCCCAACGACAAATACTCTCCCTCTCCCTCCCTCTCCCTCCCTCTCTCTCTCTCTTTCATCCTTCATCTCTTGCCGGATTCCCCTTTTGCGAACCCCCCGTCCCCAAAAACATTACTCCATTCGCCCAGCTGAACTCGCTTAGTTTTCAGATTGCTCGAGCATATCCGACCCAACAAAAGGGAAGAAAAATGAGGGAGAGAATGCCTCGCGTAACACATCAAAACTTGCCACCAGCCAGCCAGCTTCATCGGGCCCAATTCGCCAAACAAAATCAAAATTCCTCAAAGATGTGTGTGTGATGCTGACCCCCATCTAATGCTCGCTCGCTCCAGCTTAGAAACAATTCAACGAACTTCCTTTTCGTTTCTTCGTCTTTCCGTCCTTGCCCACCGTCAACAGCCTCATTCTCTCCTCGAGTTGCGCCCTAGCCGCCTCGGCCTCTCTCCTCTTCTTGACCTCTTCCTCCACCGCCTGCACACTCAGTCTCTCGGATCTCCTCTCCTTTTTGAGCCCGGAAAGTTCTTCTTCCATTGCCCACGCCTTCTTCTTCCAGGACTCGGCGTCAACCCGTAATTTGTTGGATTGCGTCTCAAGATCCACAAGCGCTTCTTCCAATGTCGCCGTCAGTTGTTTCTCCGCGTGGAGGTGTTTCTCAATAGTCCTCAACCGGTTTTCTTGTTCCTCAATCAGCGCAGACTGGCGTCGATCCCGGGAATTGGTCGACACTACAGTGCCAGACACGGGGGTTACGGGGAGCGCAACTTCCTTGGACGCATGGCGAGATTGAGGTGGTGAGGGGTTGCTAGAAGCCGGTGTCGGAGATGTGACTTGAAGGTTTCCAGGAATAGCGGGTAGAGGAGGAAGGGGAATGGCCGGAGGTGGTGACGGTAAGGATGCAATGGACGCGGATTTCCTCAGATTCGAAGTCATTGAGTTGGAGCGGGGGACCCCTTCACCTGGCGGCGACTGAGGACGATGTTGTGACTTCATTGTGTTGGTGCGGGAGCCGTTGTCGGATCCAGCCTCGTTGACGGAGATGCGTTGATTGAGATCCTTCTCCAGACTAGCAATACGTTGCTGGGCTTCAATCAGAGCTTGATTGCCTTGTGCCTGGATGACGGAGAGTCGGTTGTGATGTTGGTCAAAGCTATTCTGCAACTGCTGCTCAAGTTCTTCGATAATCACCAACTTCTTCGCCTTTTCCGATTCGACTGCCTGGAGATTTGCTTCTGCCTTCTTTAGCAGGTTCTCCTTCTCGCGGATCGTTTCTTCGTGATTTCCGACCTCGTTCGCAAGGCTTCGGATGGTATCCTGGTAATTGCTGATCTTGAGATTGGCATTTGCGAGCTCCTCTTCTAACTCGAGCAAGCTCTGTCTGCCGTCTAGCTGCCGTTCAAGTTCCGCGTTGGTGCCAGTCAGTCGAACATTGGCCTCCGCGACATGACGTTTCTCCTCTACCAGATCTTGAATATGACTTGCAAGCATATCTGCGGTAGTTGGGTGGCCAAGTGCTGCTTGAGCATTGGAAACGATTTTCTGTACGGTTGATAAGGCATGCTCAAGATCTGCCTTGTAGGTCGCTTCGAGCTTCGCATGCTTCGTCGTTATGTCAGAGATTTGATCATCGTAGCCGGCCAGTGCACCAGCATGAGCCAACTTCATCTCCTCAACCTCATTGCCATGAGCTTCGCGAAGAGTCTTCAGATTCTGCTTGGTCGTTTCAACTTGCGCTTCTGCGAACTTGACCTTTCGTTCGAGCTCTGTAATCTCTGCCTTCAGCGTGGCGATTTCTTGCTGCTGAGATCTCACCATATCAGCATGGGCGTCGTAATCCTTGCTGAGAGCGGCATGGAGTTGACGAAGTTCCGAGTTCTTCGCTGAGTGTTCCGCATTGAGTTTTTGTTGTTCTTCCAGTTGCTGCTTCAGGCTGTTGATAAGTTCTTCGTAGTTATCACGCTCAGTCTGCATTGCGCTGGCAGCAGCAGCCCGGCTAGAAGCATCATCCCCTTCTCCGGCTGCTTGCTGAGCTTTCAGAGTGGCAATGCTTGCCAAAGCCACTTCCAATTCAGACTTCGTCCGCGTATAGTTTCTTTCGGACTCCTCAACCGCTTGCTGCGCTGCCTCGAGCTTCGACTTTAATTCCTCTATTTGCTGATTCAGAGCATTGATCTTCTCCTCGTTTTCGGTCGTCGATGGAGCTGACTGCAGGTTGACCTTTTCATCATGCAATCTCTGGATTTCTTCTTGAAGGTCTTGTTCACGGCGAGCATAGCCCTCATGTAGGGATTTTAACTCTGTCTCTTTTTGGATGATCTGATCTCTCAATTGAGACACCATATTAAGGTCGACAGGAGATCCCGCTTTGATGCTGGTCCTTTCTCTGGTTAAGCCGGAAATTATGGTCGACTTTACTTCCATTTCTTTCTTTGCAGTCTTGACTTCCGCTTCCAGGGCTTGGATTCGTTCCAAGCGTGCTTGAAGTTCGGTGTTCGCAGAGGAGAGATGCACTTCCGCGGTTTCCATACGATCAGGCTTCGACTCGAACTCTTCGGCTAGCAGCGTTCGAAGAGAGGTAACTGATCGCTGGCCTCGATCTACCCCAGTTCCGGTTTGTGAAGTCATGCGTCTCAGCATTCCCGGAGTACCAGGCGATGCAGGCCTGGTCTGCTTGATCTGCGACTTCAGGCGTTCCACAGTGGTCAAAGCTTCCTTGTGATCGGCCTGGAGTTGGTGATACTGATCAGTAACATCTTTCATGTTCCGTTCGTGTTCCGCCAGAAGATTTTGCAACCTTTCAACCTCTTGCAATTGGACCTCCACAGACTGAGTGGTCTTAGAGACCGGCGTGATGTCGGTATCGGTTGAAGTCGATGATTCCCCAGCCATGGACAATTCCGAGGAGAGCGATCGCGAGGATGGCAAATGCTGACCATCCTCGTCTTCCTGCGTCTCCTCGACCTCCTCCAAAAAAGATTGATCTTGAGTGCTTTCATTAGCGCCATCTTCCTGCGGAGACATTGTACTTTGGCGTTCCTGATCAATTGACTCATGCATCTCCGCCAGAGCTCGAAGTGCTTCTTGGTATTTGGCCGAAAGTAGATCCAATTCATTAACCGTTGATTCATGCTCCAGTCGGAGGTCAAACAACTCTTGACTGACAGCCTCAAACTTCTCAGTGACGAACTTCGACTGCGCGGGACTTGGAAGAGGCTCCTGATCAGGCTCAGCTTTGAGACCCTCCTGTTGAGCGACGGCCGTCTCGAGCTTTTCGAGACCCGCTTGGTCACTTTCCGCAGGCAATTCTTCCGGCAGATCTTCCACGCGCTCATCCAGTTCCCCGTCTTCTTGGGTCGGTAGTTCGGTCGCCTCGGCCGTTTGGAGGTCTTTCTCATGCTCCTCGACGACTCCATTTGTATGTGGATTTGCAGCTTTGGCCTTTCCGTCTTTGTCTTGGATATGGTCGAGCTCGTACAACAGATTGTCCAGTTTGCCGAGACTGCGTTGACGTTCAACCAGGTGTTGGAGTTTCTCAATCTCGCGTTGCATAATCTCCATGTCTTGATCCGCCTCGGCTAGCCGCTCCTCCAGAGTACAGATATAATCTTCAGCGTTTGTCTCGCTTTCTCTAATCCGCGAAATCTCCTTCCGCAGATCTGTGATGATAGCATCATTCTTTTCGCCTCCTGAACTTTGGTCATCGAGCCTTGCCTCTAGGTCATGGAGATATTGTTCGGTATTCGACTCTCGGTCCATCAGTTTCTGGACTCTAGCATTTAATTGCTGATTGACTGTCTCAACGAAAGCACATTTCGTCTCTTTTTCGAGTAGATTGCTTTCGGTGTTGGCGAGGGACGACCGTGTGTTTGAAAGATTGTTCTCGAGACTTTGGATTGTCTTTTCGTATTCCATGACCACTTGCTCAATCATTGCTTGATTGGCCTGCGACCGTTTCAAGCGATCCACTGCACTTTCTCCGACAATACTGACTTGATCAACAGGCTCGGTGCTTTTGGTCAACTCCGAGACCAATTTCGCGTGTCTCTGACTGAGGGCATTGTAGCTTTCCTGGATGTCCAGTAACTGATTCTGTAATTCGTTTTCGCGTTCGTTGGGTCGATCTCCACGCTCAGACATCATACCCGGTCGGCGGTCGTTGGATTCGGCGCTTCGGATCTGCTGCCTTAGGAACGCAATTTCGGTGCGCAGTCGTTCAATCACAGCTTGCTTGTCTGCTCCATCATCAACTTGTTGGATCTTGGGTTTGCTTTGAATGTTTCTAGCCCGCTGAGCATACTGCACCGTGTTCAGTGTCTCGCTGAGGTGGAATTCCGCGGGCGTCACGCAGGCAATCATATATGTAATTGCATTCCCGCCTAGCGAGTCTTGCAGCATCCGTGTCAATTTGGAATCTCTGTACGACACATACGTCCCTGGTGTTCTTGATGACAGCTGAGAAATCACTTTGCCTAGACTCGCCAGTCCAGCATTGATTGAAATCCCTTCCCTCGCACGGTCGCCAGTGGCTCCAGTATTCTTAAGTCGTTCACTACCTGCCAAGTCGACAAAATGGAGCTTGCTCTCGACCGTCATAGGTGCATCACCTCCGGATAATTGATCAACTGGCACTGATATTCGTTTGTCTTTTGCCGGAGGGAAACCATGTGCTTTTGTTTGTCGCAGGTTAATTGTGAAGACGGCGTGAGAACGAGAAGAACGTGCGTTGATGGCCGTTGCGTCAGTCTGCCGAATAGCAGATCCATGGTTTAAAACTCGCATGAGTTCCTCCATAGAGGACACGCGGACTGAATTGAGGCCTTCTACAAATATCCGGCCACGAGGATCCTCGCGAATCTGCACATTGGCTCTCTCGGTAAAAGGCGCGTCTTCTGGGAGGAGCAAATCTCGCGGTTGTTCGTTGTAAATCTCAACATATGTCACCGACATATCCCATCCTCTGTCAATGAATGATTTGGATGTTTGCATAACCTGATTCAAGCTTGTGACTGAATATCTGGTTGGAGTTTTGAGACCGGAATTGTGTCTGCTGTGGGCAGGACCGCCGTTGAGACTTTCAAATAAGTGATGCGCTGCGCGAGGAATAACGCCTATCACAATGTGTTAAGCGAGTTCAGCGCTGGCTAGAGAGTTCTCACCTTTCAAAGAGTTATCGAACTGTTCTGCAGGACCTGATGTGCCCATAGTATAACTTTTGCCGGCACCAGACTGGCCGTAGGCGAGCAAAGACACGTTGTAGCCCTGCAAGAACGAATCGACGCTGTCTTGCAAGTATTCCCACACGGCATTCTGAGTGGTATCCTCACCAAACACACGGTCGAAAATGAAAATCTTCCGTCCCTGGGGTGACTCAACGGCAAGGCTGGTATTTGTATTAACTTGGACCATCGACCGCTGGAACCTTTGTGGAATAAGGTCGAATCCGGGATCTGAAGGGCCTAGAGGGGGGCGAACTCGGACCACTTCGCAGCGTTATTAGTCTCCTTCTCTGCATTCATTTTGTATCAGCAATGGTAGACTTACCAACTTTGACCGAAGTTTTGACATCCTCATCCGAGGCTCTGCTTCCAATGTGATTGCTGCTCTGGCTCATACGACTATTGCTTCTGGGAGGGCGACCAGCCACGCTCTGGGGCCGATTTTTCTGGAGAGGATCCGGCGACGATGCAGAGTATATGCTCTGAGGTCGCATCTGACGCGCGCCGTCAGGAGAGGCTGGAGGGGAAGAGACCATTCTGGTATGCGCTTCTCTTGTGATATTGGGCAAACGGCGCGATCGTTCCTACCCCGGCAACGGGACCGAACAACGTGTGTCAAAGAACCCAACACCTTGAGATTTCTGGCCGACGGGGACGCGTTGTTGTCACCATTAAGCTCCGATTTTCAGGGTTCCAGAACCAAAATATTCCACACGGAAGAAGTCGTAGGAGGGTGTCGGTGAAAGCTTAACAATCTTTCACCTCAGGACTCGACAGGCTGTGGCAGGTATGGGTGGGCTCAAGGTTAGGCGGGTCAACGGTCTGTTTTTTTGGACGGTCGAAGGTAGCCAGGAGTGACAGTCGGAGAGGGCCGGGCGGATAGATCAGGCCTGATAGCCACACTTTTTTCTCGAGTTGTCGGTCAACCAGGTTCAACAATGTTGGCCGGACAGTGTCAAGAGCAACCGCAGATGCGATACAGCTGGGGAGAGGGAACCATTCGAGTAAACAGAGAGGGAAAAGGTCGCACTCGCGTGTGAAAAGAGCAGTCAGGAGTTGTCAAAAAAGTCGAGGCGAGGAGGGTTCATGCGCGGCCATCTCGCGTTGTGGGATCCCCTAACTGGTTAAGCCGGCTCCTACCCAGGCAAGGCTTCAGGTACCTAGTTTACCCAAAAAGTGGCAGCAATTGGCAGACTTAATCTCCGGCCAGCGCGGAAGCCAGCTAGTGGATGAGGCTAGAGTGGGCGCGGTTTATTTAGCAACGGCCTTGGGAGGGTGTGGAGTTTCTAGCTATGCCCATTGGGCAGGTGGCTCGTGGGAAGCCCGCACGTCCACCCCAGCTGGTCATAGGCTGTCACGACCCTGGAGCAGTGCCTGGGGCTATGCTTCCTTGTGCCTAGGACGAGGTGCTTGGGGGCTTATTCGCGGGTTTCTGGATTAAAGCTTGTTCATGCTGGTTTGTTACTCCCAGGTCTGGCTCCAACGCCCCGACCGGGGCTAAGTTGTGGTCCTATGCCCTTCTCAGAGAGATGCACATTTGGCCGTCTTCCCGAGCCAGCCACCTGACCAGGGTCTGCGTTTCACACATGCCTTCTCCTATCCTAACTCAGGGGGCGATTCAAGACGGTGCTGTCACTACTGCAGGGGACCTCTTGTTACCATCCTCGCTTAAAGCACATCTCTCGCCCTCTTTCACAAACGCTCGTGTCTGCCACTTGATTTTTAAGTTCTCAGAAGGCCAGCCCAGGTGAAGCCATGTTTTTTGCTTATGGAGCAATCCGTTGTTGATGTCTCCTGCCCGCCCGTTTCATGGTTCATCGCAGCGAGCTCAACGGGACAGATGTGGAAGTATCTGGACAAAGCCTCGGCTAAGGCACAGCTGTGTGCATTCCACGGTCCAGACAATGCTCAGACCGGGAATTCCCTCGCCTGTGGAATCCTTCGAGTAAGATGCCTCAAAGTGGACTGATCTTTTGCACAGCTAGTAATAACAAGTGGTTGACGCTTCGCTTTCACCACTTCGGCTGCAGCAGTCCATAGTATCCAAAGCAACAAAGGCTTCCTGCAGTTGCCCATGGCGAGCAACAGTGGCACGATAGGTCTGGCACGATAGCTGACTTTTTGGCTCCGCAAAAGTCTCCTGGTTCATCTACACTAGCAGATGTCAACTTCTCTGCAGTAGTAAATTCAAGTGAGACAAGTGGTCTCGCACGTGGAGAAGTCCGACTTCAACACTTACGAGTTGAGTTGAGGCAGGATAGAGTTTGGAGAAGTCGCGGACACTCGACCATGGTGGTTTGTGATTCGATACAGCGACAGCCATCAAGGGAGCGGATCGATAATGATGCAGCAGGGATGCTCTTTGTCACGAACCTTAGAAATGGCTCTATTGCTTGGGGGGTGTTGTTGTTGTTGTTGACGACCTAGGTGGTGATAAGATGCGGGGTTCAGGATGTGAGCGACTTCGCTTGCGAGTGATGTTTCACTTTCGTCGCAGTTTCGAGGCTTGAGCAGCACGCTCCGATAGTCTCTGTGCATGCACCAAAGATCGTGCCTCTTCTCAAAGAGGTTGGCTAAGCGGGACGGAACGGGGATGGCAGATACCCCAGCAGATCATCTCGTTGCCCTGGTCTTCGACCCTAGCTTGAGTGCTCCGTGCTCCTTGCACCTTAGGTTCTCGTAGTAGAACTTGATCCTGGAACCAACGCGGGGCACCTTGTATCGTCGCGCATGATCTTCAATAGCGTGAATCCTTTCACTATCAGGTTGTGTCGGAGGCACCGTTGTCAGCGGGGTTATCGCTATCTTCGCCTTGGTCACTATCGTGCTCTTCGTCCTCGGAACCGCTTGGATCAACCTCGTTCGCCCCTTCTCCTTTGGCGTCACCGTCCACGCCGTGCTCTTTCATGTAGGCTTCAAGCTCTCTGGCCATTTTCCGCGAGAACCCGGAAGCTTCGACTTCAACATCAAGCCGTCTGAGCCCATCCTTGCCGACCAACTGCCTCGCATCCTTGAAGAGTGGGCCGTTATCCGTGCTGATAAATCCAAACCGTCTTGCAAAGAAACGCTTCAAGCATTCCACGTCCCTGTCGAAATAGAACTCCGCGTTTGGATGATCCACACTGACCATCTGAGGAAAGTCTATCAAGACTGGCACAAGCTTGATCTCGTCCCCTTGCTCCTCTTCTTTTATTAGGATGTTGAACTCGTTGAAATCGCCATGTATCAGCCCGAGAGAGCACAGGCGCACTATCATTTCGATCAGTTCCGCGTACAGTCCTGCTGGGTCTGGAACCTTTTCGATCTGTCGCAATGGAAACCCGTCAATCAATGACATGATCAGCTGGTGTCGATTCTGGCCGAGTGGAGTTGGGACACTCAGACCCGCGTTGTGCAGGGCTTGCAGAAAGGCAAACTCTTTGACGGCCGCTAGGCGTGACATATACATCCAACTGCCAGCACCTCTCTCTTTCTGAGCCTTCGTTCTGGCATAGTCCCGTTTGTTCCGCACCCCTTTCTTGAAGCTCACTCTACCCAGACGATGGATTTTCAGTACCCGCTGTTCTCCCTTCTCATCGCTGACAACAAATATGTCGCTCTCTTTGCCAACCCCAATCTGGTTGCCCACACCATACACAGTGTTGCTCTTTTGCAAGGAATGAAGCGCCAGATAGTCGAGCCCACCGTATGTCAGTCGGTAACCGTCGTATTTCGCGTTTTTGACCTTGGCAATCAGATTGGCTTTGGCAAGCAAGGAGATGCTTCGTTGCACGTCACCCAGACTAGATTTAGAGAGGTTGGCGATAAGTGGGGTTGGGACGACTTCGTGATTTCGGCTTCCCGTCTCAACGGCTGTGAGGGTGCGCCAGTCGGTAGGGTTGAGGTATCGGAGGGACTTGGTGTCTAGCTTCATGATTTCTTGAGGGTTGGATGTCTAATTGCCATAACTGGAATGGTGAAGGAGGTCTGGTCTGGTCTGGTCTGCGCTGTGTTAGAGGTCACGAACAAAATTCAGCGGGTGCGAATTTGCTGCATCTAATCTAATCTCGAGTGGGGGCGAAAAGGGCATTGTGTGTCCGGAATCTGCAGGAGGAGAGCCACAGGACGGCCCCCACGCCTGAGGTGTTTTATTTTCACCCAAGCAATACGCTGGCATCCTCTGATTGACCTTACTTCCTGCCAACGCTTCGTTCACCAATTAATCGAGGCACCCGTGTGCTGTGACTCCGGCAAGACTCCGGGTCCTCGCCGAAGCGGGCACATCGGCGTGTTCCCGTGGTGCTGCCCACCTCCTGGCAGGCGGCATAACCGGTTGATCTGGCCGACGTTGGCCCTGAGGACGTGCTACTATGTTCACCCGTCGTTGATGACTGGACACAGCTCCGGATGTTCGAAGGGGCACCGTCGAGCTCAAGCGGAAAACTCAGGACAATACAATCCACAAGCGTCCCGAACACTTTCACGGGATGTCCAAAAGAAGAAACCCGAAGCTGGAGATGCGAAGGGTGACATAGGCCGAAGCTACCTGGTATCTAGGTACCCACGAGAAGTCCCAGCGACATCGCTGCGGCCAAGCGCTCCAGAAAACCCCACGCGGTGGAAAGCATTAGAAGAATAATGTGACCTGCGGGTATTCTAGGCTTTCTGTTCTCCTGTCGGCCCTACTCGCACCGAAGTGCATGTGTGGGAGGGTGTGTGTCTCATCTCACGATGGCCCCTCGAGACACAAGCGGCAAATGGCTGAATGGAAAAAGCCATACTGGCCCAATGAAGCCCAGTCTCTCCACGAGTTCATCAGCTAAGCCCCACCTAAACAAAGCTTTGAGAGCGGTCATTTCCCCGCATTGATTCTTGAAGAAGCGAGGGAGAGGCAGGCGGCAGACACAAGGACTCCCCCAGGTCTTATATATCCCACTTTTCCCCTACCACGCTCCCTCTGAAGGTCTCAGGTCTCATATCCTGTCTAGAAACTATACGACGAGCCATTCAAGATGTCTGCAAAGCATTTCATCGACGACCCGACTCACCTCGTCCAGACTTCTCTCCACAGCTTGACCCTCACAAATCCTTCCGTCGCCTTCGACGCGCAAAATCGAATCGTATATCGGCGGCCGACAAAGGAGTTGACAGACAATCCAAAAGTTTCCATCATCACTGGTGGAGGCTCTGGCCATGAACCGGTAAGTCTATCGTAGGGATTGAACTCCCGACCCGGGGCCTAGGGCGATCCCAACTCTCGGAGAGCGCTCTCTGTGTGAACCCTGAATTCTTAGAATGATGATGATACTAACTGTGCGATTCACCCATTCGATAGGCATTTGCAGGGTTTGTAGGAAAGGGCTTCGTTACGGCCGCTGTCGCAGGCACTATTTTCGCGAGTCCTTCCGCCGAGCAAGTTCGCCGTGCTGCTCTTACAAGAGTTCCTACGGAGAAAGGAGTGGCGATAGTCACTTTCAATTATACCGGAGATGTTTTGAATTTTGGCATGGCTGCCGAGAAGGCAAAGGCCGCCGGAGTTGACACCGAGTTCTATGCAATTGGCGACGATGTGGGCGTTGGCCGGGCAAAAGGAGGCAAAGTCGGAAGGAGAGGCATTGGTGGCTCTATCTTGGTTCTAAAGATAATAGGAGCTCTCGCCGAAGCCGGTGGAAGTTTGAAAGAGGTCTACAGCCTTACCAAACAAGTTGCCGGAAACCTGGTCTCTGTCGGAGCGTCGATGGAACATGTCCACGTTCCTGGACGAGAGAAACCTGACCCAAACTCTGATGAGATCATACCAACAGAGGAGATCGAAATCGGCATGGGCATTCACAACGAACCGGGCAGTCATCGTGTCTCCGCAACACTACCTGAGCTCATCAAGACTATGCTGGCGCAGATGCTGGATCCCAATGACAAGGACAGACACTATGTTGACATTACGAAGAACGACAAGACCGTCCTGCTAATAAATAACCTGGGTGGTGTCAGCAATCTAGAAATAGGTGGCATCTTAGCTGAGGTGCACAAACAACTGAAAGAAGACTGGGGCATTGTTCCTGTCCGAGTCATTGCTGGTACCTTCATCACCTCGCTTAACGGCTTGGGATTCTCGGCCTCCATACTAAAGCTGGAGGACACCGGTCTCGGACCAGGCAAGTCAATGCTCGAACTTCTCGACGCCCCAGCGGAGGCCTTCGGATGGGCCGCCGCTACTCGGACGTCGACTTGGGAAGCTGATAACAGTGCAACTATGGAGGGTCACGCTGCGGTCACGGCAGAAGGCAAATCTTCCAATCTGAAACTCGACCCCAAGAAAGCACATGCAACCCTCAAGTCCGGTCTGGACAAGATGATCGCGGCAGAGGCTGAAGTCACCAAGTACGACACGATCATTGGAGACGGCGACTGCGGAATCGGTCTGAAGCGAGGAGCTGAAGCTGTTCTCAAGGAGCTCTCATCTGGTGAGCTACCTGCCGACGCTGTTGCCTTCGTCAATAAAATTACACCCGTGGTTGAAAACACTATGGACGGCACGTCGGGTGCCATCTACGCCATCTTCCTCAACGCGTTGGCTCACGGACTCCGAGAACAAGATACTGGATCTTCAACGACGGTGGATGCGAAGGTCTGGGCCGCAGCCCTCAAGTCCAGCCTTCAAGCGCTGAGTAAATATACGCCAGCAGTGCCCGGTGACAGGACGCTGATGGACGCGCTTGTGCCTTTTGTTGACACGCTGAGCAGCACAGGAGATGTGAATAAGGCGGCCGAGGCGGCCAAAGAAGGCGCCGAGAAGACCAAGAGCATGAAGGCGAGCTTAGGAAGAGCTGTGTACGTCGGTGCAGAGGATGAGTGGATGGGCAAGATCCCAGATCCAGGAGCGTGGGGTTTGCAAGAATTTTTGATCGGGCTGGCTGGTGCCTGTTAGATGGTGTTGCTGCACATACACAGGCCTCGTCGTCCGCGCCATAGTGCGTTGACGTCCTTCCTCTATCAGACCTTCCAAAAGAAAAAAACCAAATCGCAATTTCCACGTAGGCAGCTATTTGGGACCAAATAGCGCGAAAAAAAATAAACCATTTTCTTGCTCGTCTGATGCTGGGTTATCGATGATTTGCCACTCGCGCTTTGCCCCGTTTGCTGCCTGCGCTGGACATCGCATTCCTTCAATGCCGTATCAGTGTCGGATTGGAATGAGGCTCATTGCGAGTCTTCGGTCCCTGCCCTATCTCAGAAATCATGGTTTGTGTTGAGCGACCCTCGGTCTAGCCAAACTTTTCTGTAGTCGTGAATGCGTACGTAGGAGCCATGCCCATGCGCCCCCCTCCCGTGTCAAAGCAGATTCAGCTCAACAACACCAAAATAACACTATCTCCCCTCAGAAACATTTTGCTGATGAATCGGTCCTTGTTGACTCCTTTGGCGCCTCCTTTACCCTTTTCGGTCCACATTTCCTTGACGTTCTCCAGCACCATGTTGCAGTGGCGGTCAAAGGCTTTGACTCGCGCGAGCAGCTTGCGGTTGTTCCGACACGAGATTAATACTTGGGTGTGTGTGCGGGTAGCGGTCATGAGGATGGAGAGCGGGCCCGTTGAGAGTTCGTGGGCCTCGACGAGGGAGACTTCATATTCTCTAGAACTGCGGTGTTAGCACAGTTGACGAGAATGGAGTTGTCCCCCCATGCGTGTTAACGCGTGAGGAGGAAGTTTAGAATTAGAGAGGATAGGGTTGATGAATGCGTGCATCAAATTGATGATGTATCCGAAGATGCGTTGTACATGGCGCAATGGCCGATGGCCAGGGATGGAAGTGGAAACGGAGGGCGGAGCGGAATCCACCTCGAAGGGGGTGGGCGGAGGTTGGGGAGTGCAGGAGGAGGTAAAACATGGGTAAACAGGCAGAAAGGGGGTTAGCGGGAGATTCCACGTACGTCAATTCATTCCTCGGCTTGTTCAGCAGATCCCTAATTGAAAAGAACATCAAAAGGTCAGTAGATGTTCCTCAGCCACTAGCACGAAGACGCGAGCAGGTCGCTCCGGAGATAAGCTTGGGCCAGGGACAGGGGTATGAGTCAGAAGGGACACACTGGATCTTGGAGGCGTCGGCCATGGTCGCGATGCAGAATACTTAAAGAGTCTCGATTCCCATGCCATGTAAAGCGAGGAAATTTCTTTACATTCCTCTCGGGCAGAGGAATTATGCTCGGTTAAGTTGCCTTGTTTGCTGGTGCTTCTGGAAGTGGCCGAAAGAGGCATAGTCTTGGCGGCCTCTCAGGGCTAGCTCCAATTGACATCATCCTCCGCCTGCATTATTCCGAGCCCCGAGGCCGATGCAGGTCGCGCCCTCAGAGCTAAAAAGCCACCTGCAAACACGCGACCTAATCGCGCTACAGGCTTCGATAGTCGACCCTCACCCAGACCTACCTCTTGCACCTCTTCATCAAGCTCTCAATTGAGCCTTTCTTTCCTTTTGTTCTTTTTGTAGCGTTTTCACATGAATGACGCTCTTGTTTGTTCTAAAGCTTGGATTGCTTCGGAGTTTGATCCACTACATCACCACCTTCTACCAGTCCGGGCAACTTGTTCAACCTAATCGTGGACGCACCACCTCACATCCTCTTTCCTCTTGATACCCTCCACGCGTTCCGATCCTCTGCTTCACAGTTTCACCGCTCGCTATAGCAGCTCCTCGAGGCCTGGATTGGCTTCTCCTCCGACGCGGTCTCTACCGCCATGGCCACTTCTCCCGCAGATGGCGTCTCCCTGCGGACGGTCAGACTCAAAGTCCTCTACACGTTTGATTCCGAGCAAAAAGACAACCACCTTGCACGGTGGCCCCAATCTTTGGAAGTGCAGACTGCCTTCATCGACGACGTAAATCAGATCGGTGTGATCGATCTGCGGACCTGTTTGGAAGCTGTCACGACTGCCAGCCCTGAGCTCACCACTCTCGTCGACAACGACTACACCATTTACGCATATGATTACTCAGAACCTGATACACCATTGGTTGGACAAGGGATGTTGTCAAAAGCACTAGCTGGCCAAGCTCAAAGCACGAGCTCTGATGGTGAAGCCATGATCACGGGCAAGATCTCAAAGAATATTATGGGTTTGTTCTCTAAAAACGCCCAAGAGACGCTGGAGGTGAAACTTCGATTCACACCGGTCAACACGTTTGCACAGGCCAGATACCGCTCAGGAAGTGTCAGCTCACAAGATGGGATGCGACCTCAGTGGAACAACGGCCCTTGCCTACAGACATTACAGCGATCAGCTTCGCCAATTGATACTTCAGGACTAGAAACGATGCAGCGAATGTTGAGTGGCGAGACACTACATGGATCAGGATCAGGCAGCAGACCTGGAACGCCGACTGCAACACAGAACCTTAGTCACCCCATGCGTCAGCCTGGCCATCCATCCCGGCCTAGTTCACGAGCGGGAATGCGTCAGCTTCCTGAAGGGAGGCGTGAATCATTTCAATCTGGATACTTCAGTGGCGATGATATCGGGGAAGAAGGTCCGGCAAGAAAGAGAGCGAAGACGACCAAGGTTGATTTGCCAACAAAGTCTAATTTCAATATTGAACGACAACCAGAGTCGCTAAGGGTCGTTGCAAGTGCTGCATCAAGCCTCCGGCTTCATCGGCCCATCGCTGTGAACCCAGCTGCGGCAGTTCAGCCAAACTCTCATAATGAGGAAGCTGCAAGGCCACCAACTCCGATTCCTGCTTCGAAAACGGCCAAACCACGAGGAAGACCAGGAAGACCACGAAAGAACCCTCCTAGCAGTTTGGCCCAGGGATCCCAAGTTAGGGAATCGTCTCCAGCGACGGACGTGGGCCTTCAGCCTGAACTCCTTGCTGTGCCTATTGCGTCACCTGAGGACACTCGAGGTCAAAGTGTCGGCAGTACACCTGCAAATATTCCGTCCTCACCACCTGTTATGCCAGAATTTCGACAGCCAGCGATTACTAGTCCTGTACTTCCGCCTGTGATCGGTTCCTCCGGACATGACTCAGGGTTTATGAGTGGCAATCTTGAAGATCTCTTTGGAGACGATCACTTGTTGCAATTCGATGATTTTATCGTGGACAAACCAGAAGATCAAGATGCGAATGAGGGTTGTCAAGAAAAGCACCGTCCGATCGACCAATATCCTGCGGTCTTTGAAGAAGGCAACGATATCGAGGAAGCACAATCCGCACAACCGGGGTATAATATAATGCCCCCGCCGCTTCCTCTTGCACCAAAGCCGCTGTCTAGAGCACAATCATACACTCCAGTGCCAACACCACGAATCAGCATGTCATCTCCACGACTAGCTCCGGCCCCTATTCCAAGAGCTCGGCAGATTATGGAAGAGCAGCGTGAGCAACAACGGAAAATAGCTCTTGCGCCCCTCGTACCGAAGAGTGATCCCGCGCCAAGAGCGCTACACCGTGCGCAAACTTGGGCACCTGATAGCGACATTCCTATGTCCGATGTGCCTGGAGGTGAGGAGGCAAAAGCAAAGGCTGCATCCAAGAAGAAGGTTGGCAAGGAGCAGACCAAGGCAAGATTGGAGAATGCTATCGCAAATGGAATAATGCCGCCTTTCTGTGACAATTGCGGCGCAATAGAGACACCAGCGTGGAGAAGAGCCTATGTCAAGGTTTTTGATTGCCCTTGGGATGATGTTGAGACATCACTGAACCATGGTGAATGCTGCTTCAAGGAACCCATCAACCACAACCCCGATGGATCTGTGAAAACCTTCCGAGGCTACAAAGTGGACAAGCGACAAGGTGACGAAGCAGATGACTGGGAGGCGATAACGTTATGCAATCGTAAGTCAAATGCGACGATGTGAAGCGTTGCTAACATTCTTCAGCCTGCGGCTTATGGTTCCATAAGCAGAAATGCCCTCGGCCTGCGTCAAAATGGCAAAAGAAAGATCCCAAGGAGAAGGGCAAGCGCAAACGAAACCCACCGAAACCCTTTGGGAAGACCAACGGAAATTCTAACCTCAGGAGTGATGCCCAGAGTCCTGCTAGCGACGACTCTTCTCCGGGTGACTCAGCTACGGAAGCGCCTGATGCGGAAGAAAACGACACCGAAGTATCTCACACTGACAATGTTGCTGCTGATAATGGCGAACCGGAACTGCCCCCGATCCCGCGCTCATTACGGGCAAACAGCGCAGGTCCGAGAGCCAGAGGTCTACAGGCGAGGACTCGTCACCAGTCAGGTGGCAGACAGGTGCAATCAAGTCCTGCACGTGCTCCTGGATCAGAAGATATTCCTATCGAGATTGATCTAACACCGAAACCCGTCCGGAGGCAATTGTTCCCTTCGCCGGACAAACCGCAAATACCGTCTGATTCTGGACCAACAAGCAAAGCTACTGACAGTTCTCTGCCGGCTTTTGTGAGACGAAGTCCCAGGCTCAATAAAACCAGGAATGTCTTTGCAGTACCGGCAGCGGCAATTGAATTGGGAGTCGACGGAAAGGAGAACGTGCCGCCTGTCTCAGCAGTGATTGACGATGGCCTTGCGGAGTTGTTTGAGGAGACACCCGCCGATATTCAGATACCGCCCATGACTCCGACGCCCAAGAGACGATCAGAGCGGATTCTACTCAAAACGCCCTCAAAGACACCCCAACGTCAGTTCGGTGCCCAATTGTCTCCCAACGCCGAGCAGACTCCTCATTTCCGGACACCGAAAGTCAAGCATGATCTCCATCCTGCTCTCACTGCGTTGCTTGGCACTGTGCAGAAAGACGTGCAGCAGATGACCCCTTTCTCGCGCTCGATTCATGAGGCTTTGACCAGTGATTGTCCACTGGACCTGAATCTGACGGAGGAAGACAAGGCCCTCTTGCGGGACAATGGGAAAAGGGAAACACCTAAGAAGGCCATATCATTTGACTTTCCTGATTTGCCGTCTCTCAAAAATTCTTCCCCCATATCCGGTGACCAGCTCATGAATTTCGCCTTCTCGGAAATGACAACGGATCAATTGACAAGTGACCTGATTGATCCTTTCACCAACACTGCAATGACCAGCTCACCTCCCGGGGGATTTTTCGGATATCTTGACACCACGGACATGGAGAACGGCATCAACTCGATGTGGGAGAGTCTGGTTGATGTGAATGCAGCTTATCATTCCAGCCAATCTGCATATCCTGACCCTGAAGCGTTGACTGTTCCAGGGACTGCGGCTCAAGGGGTACGGAGAAGCCCAAGAAAACAGAACGCAAAATGAGATAGTGGCACGACTTGATTCCTGCAGTGGTGGTGACTGAGATGGGTTTGTTTGTTAAAAAGCAAGGCTACGATCATTCAGCATTTGCCCCATCCGCCTAGAGTGGCTAGTGTACAGCAGGTGCTAATGATGTGTATGATATTCATCAGGCAGAGTTTCATTGAAGATATTGGTGATGTTGTCGTTGTGGTAGCCTCAATACACTGAGTCGAAGGCCAGAGTCGGCAGATGGATACCGTGAGCAAAGTGCAATCCAGCTTTTCAAAGGCCCATGCCGTGCTTAAACAGACTTGACATCCGATACTTCTATTCACTGTGTCCCATGGTCTTGCGCATTGCCGTGCGAAACCCAAGCCGCTGTAGAAGCCGAGAGCGCTCGATACCATCATGACTTGTGCGCCTGTCGTGGGGAAATTTCAGTCATACGGCCAACTGAATGTAGCTTTCGATCCTAATGATCCAATGCCGTGTTTCCAGGGTTGTTTCAATATCCACCATCCATGCCAGCCTCGGGATCACCGTAGAAGATATTCTTGTAACGATGGGTCACGTCCACTACTGCCTCGAACAGCTTCAAGTCCGGAAGTTGTCCATTCTCGTTTCGAGGCCATTCCGTGCTGCTGAGAACTCGTAGACCCAAGCCGTGCCCGCCGTCTGTGTTGGTGACTTTGCCCACGATTTCATACATTGAACCGACCGAGAGGTGGGAATCTCTGCATAGATTTCGTCAGCTTTCAGGGACTCACTAGCTGAGATACGCTTCAGGGCGCGCAATCCATACCTCGCCAAAAGGACTGTCACATCATCTGAGCCGCAAGTCAACGTCGCTTGATCACCGTTGACGTGGCTTATAATCCCCAGCATGCGTACTGTGTTATGAGAGGTGGCATTGGGGGCAAATGCATGGAGGTGAGCAGGGAGGATTCGGGGCGTTGACATGGAATTCATATTGTGGTTGTTGCGTTGCGAGCTGAATTGTCGACTTCTGTCTGCCAGAGTAGGCTCTGTTCGAGTGTTTGCCCCTCTCAAAATCACTTTACGCGATGGACGCGTCTGCACTTCGCCTTCAGAAACTGCACCGTGCGCCCTTCGGTTGCGTACAGGCCTGTTCAGTGTCGATCTCCGAGAATCTGTCCGCCGCTTAACCCCAACTCCACCAGGCTGGCGGTCATCTAGCGGCGTCCATCCCGCAGTAAAGTGCAGACCGTCAGTATTTCAATCATCCCACTTGAATGTCGTACGGCAACTGAAGAACAAATTAGATGACTACGACGCGCAAAGGGAAAGCTCCGGATCGAGAAACAGCGTCTCAACCCCGGTTCTACTCATCCCCAAAACGACCAGCCGCTGCTGGCGAAGGCAGTCCCTCTGCAAGAGCCTCGAAAAGACACCGAATCTCCGTGCCCGATCTACTCACACCTCAGCAAGGCAGCACCTCGAATGATAAGGCCCGAGGCGACTATATTGAGGGAGAGGGCAAGACGGGAGTAGATAACAAGATGCAGTCCGCAAGCACTCGCCATGCCAAAGACGCTTTCGCCGACATGTACGAATTCAACTCGACGAGACTGAAGAAAGAGAGCCTCAACGACCCAAGTTCGGTGCCAGAGAATGGCAAACCTAAACCGACGTTTGTACACCAAAGAGTCCCTTTCAATCCCCAGACGGGCCCAAAGAAGCTTGTTGTGAAGAACCTACGGCCCGCACCCCGCTTGGATACTCGGGCGTACTTTGAAAAGACATGGAAAGAGAATGACAAAGCCCTCGAGGCCATATTCAGAAATGAGAAGGACCCATACTCCTTAGAGGAGCTATACAAAGGTGCAGAACATACCTGTCGGCACGGTCACAGTGGAGATCTTTATGAGCACCTGAGCGCGAAATGCCAGACCCATCTTAAGGACAACGTCCGAGATCGTATCCGGCGGGAAGAGGCAAACTCCTCAGATGTCGACGTCGTCAGAGCGTTTGTCAATGCCTGGCAGACGTGGCAGAAACAGCTGCAGACCGTTCGGCAGATCTTCTTCTACATGGATCAGACCTATTGCCTTCGGACTCCGGACAAGATGAGTGTATTGCAAATGGGTCTCACCCAGTTCAGGTCTTCAGTGTTTCATGACCCCTTCATCAGGCAAAAAGCCCTTCAAGGCGTCATAGCTTTGATCGATTCTGATAGGCGAGGAAACCTCAATGAGAATGACACTAGGCTTCTGCGCCAGTCGGTCGACACGTTCCATGAGCTAGGCATCTATACCAGCGACCTTGAACCGACCCTTTGCGTCACTACTGAAGAGTATTTCAAGGCATGGAGAGACACGGAGTCCAATAAGGACTCGCTGGGTGATTATGTCAATAACTGTACTGATCTTCTGAGTCAAGAGATGGCGAGATGCGATTCCTTATCCCTAGACCGCAATACGAGAATCCGGGTGTCACGCCTCTTTGATAACATCCTTGTGGAAGAAGAGCTTGAAACTCTTACCAACGAGGACGGCATATTGGATCTGCTAGAGGACGACAAATCAGCAGAATTAGAGCGGTTGTACACTTTGCTACAGCGCAAAGGACATGGAGAAATGATTGCGCCGAGTTTCAGTAAGTACGTCGAGACAGAAGGATCTTTGATCGTCTTTGATGAGGAGAGAGAATCCGATATGGTAATTAGGCTGCTTGACTTCAAACGGCGGCTGGATCATTACCAGAAATACTCCTTCCACGGCAATGAAGCACTGGGCAATGCGCTTCACAAAGCGTTCGAGACATTCATCAACAAAACCAAGAAATCCCAGTCGAATTGGGACACGGACAATGCTAAACCGGGAGAAATGATTGCGAAGCATGTCGACCTATTGCTCAAAGGCGGCGTCAAAGCCGTGCCCCGGCTCCAAACACACAAGCACGATCATTCCAAGCCCGAAGAAGAGCATGATTTCGACGATGCCGCTGCTGATGAAGACGCCGAAATCAACCAACACCTCTCTGACGCATTAGATCTCTTCCGTTTCGTCCACGGTAAAGCTGTCTTTGAAGCATTCTACAAAAAGGACTTGGCTCGCCGTCTGCTCTTAGGTCGGAGCGCCTCGTTCGACGCGGAACGGAATATGCTCACCCGCCTGAAGAATGAGTGCGGTGCTGCGTTCACGCACAATCTGGAATCCATGTTCAAGGACATGGACCTAGCCCGCGAAGAGATGATGTCCTACAATCAGCTCTTGGACGACCGTGGGGGCAGGGCTCCAGGTCTGCCGGATTTGCATGTCAATGTGCTCTCCGCGGCAGCCTGGCCGACTTACGCAGACGTGGCGGTGAATATTCCACCACATATTGCTAAAGTTATGTCGGACTTCGAGACGCACTACAAGGCCAAACATTCTGGTCGCAAACTGGCCTGGAAACATTCTCTGGCGCACTGTCAACTACGCGCGAAATTCCCCAAGGGAAACAAGGAACTCATGGTGTCGGGATTCCAGGCGATCGTGCTCCTGCTTTTCAACGACATCCCAGCAGACAAGCATCTCACGTACAACGAGATCAAAGCCGCTTCCGGCTTGGTCGATGCCGAACTCAAGCGAACACTTCAGTCCCTTGCGTGCGCCAAGTACCAAGTCCTTCGCAAACACCCCAGAGGTCGCGACGTGAACGAAACAGATACCTTCACATTCTCACAGACCTTCACCGACGCGAAATTGCGCATCAAAATCAACCAGATCCAGCTCAAAGAAACCAAAGAAGAGAATAAGGAGACGCACATCCGCGTGGCGGCGGACCGGCATTACGAGACTCAGGCGGCGATCGTGAGGATCATGAAGAGCCGCAAGAAGATCGGGCACAACGAGTTGATTGTAGAAGTCATCAAAGCCACCATGAGTCGGGGTGTGTTGGATCAGGCGGACATTAAGCGGAATATCGAGAAGTCAGTCCATCTTTTTTGCCTAACCCCTACCTCCCCCGCTTCCTGCCTTGCCTTATTCACTCCCCTCTCTTGAATTTTGCATGGTTGCTGTCTCGCATGCGATGCGACGCGCGTGCTAACATGATGCGGCATTAGACTGATAGAGAAGGACTACATGGAGAGGGAAGAGGGCAACTCATACTCCTACGTCGCGTGAGCCTGCCGGTTGCGTATCACGCTCGGCAGCAGGAGATAGTCTTGCGTGAGTCGAGGGGTTGGATAGTTGGGGGAGGCACAGGGGGTGCTGGGGTATAGAGGAGGTGCACTCGCTAGGTCGCCCGGGTACGTAGCTGTTCGGAATAAAGAGAGACACGCTCGATGGCAGACAAGTCGGACGCATGATGTAGACAGGGTATGTATGTAGCTAGAGAGGAACATGTACGGGTGCCGGATCAGACACGACGACCCAATAATGATGAAGACTCGGACGGAGATCGCGATGGCCGGGAAGGGCGCTTCACTCGGGACACTAGACAGCGCGGCATTTGGATCCCTCGATTTCTTTCATTCCCTTCTTGGTAGCAAAAATGATAGACACTGTGTTTCACTAGAAGCCGTTGGAACCAGAGTTCTCTACATTCGACGTAAACAAAACGAGGCAACTTGGCACGCGCACAAGGGGTGCCTCGAAAGCATTAATGTACTCCTCTCGGATAACACTGCTCCAAACCCCTGAACTCGATCATTGGAACACACAGATGGCCGCCAATCCTACATTTCCCGTGAGGTGGCTAGTATGTTGCGAGCTACTCCTGCAGACGGTTCCGGACGCAATCCCAATGGAACTCACTCCGATTCGATCCCTCGTCATTTCAGGTGTCTCCCTTGTCATACAAGAGGTTTCACCGACGCATGGCTATGTAAATTTGGCTTTCAAAAACTTGAGGGGCGTTGCATGAGCCAAATAACCTTGGAGGCGCGGCATAACGTCTAGTATCGCTCGTCCGGGCGACCCGAGGAGCTTCGTCCATCACCGTAATGCTACAGGTCTGGTTAGCCACAGCCCAAAAGGTCACCAATACAGCGGAAAGAACTACCTTCTTCCTCAAAGCAGCGAGTCTCTTCTTCTTGGTGTGAGTGTTAATGTACGTGCCGATGCAGAAAGCCACGACATTGAAAAATGGCACCCAAGTCTGCTCGGGGAGGAATTTCTGAGCGAATGCCAAAGCCAGCGGAGAGGTAATCCAGCTGACGCGCATCACGGGCCAGAAGCCGGCGCGAATGGTAGCGCGGACCTGATGCCAGGTGCGGGCGCCGGCAATGATGGCCATGGATGCGAGGTAGACGGTGTTTTGGATGGGCGCAATCTAAGTTAGAAGCCGTAAGACACTGAGCGTTGCAAGGGAGCCATTTGGGGTGGTTAACGCACCACCAAGTTGCTGGTCAAAATCTGGAGAATCTTTGCCTTCAAGCTGGTGCGGCCAGCGAAAACCCATTGAAGCATTCCGATAAGCACGTGGCCCATGGGAGCACTGATAAAAGCGCCATAGGCGGCCATCTTCGGAATTCTCGAGGAGAAATAGTGGCCGTGCTTGCTCTTATCGTGGGCTAGCCATGAGGCCAACAGCTCTTGCAATGCAGATAACGTGCCGGAGGTCAGCATCTTTGTGCGCAGAGGGTTCGATTGAAGCTGCCTTAGGTATGCCTGGAGCGCAAGAATGAGTGTCGCATCCAACAGGGAGGATATGAGATGGGAGTTCGGACCGCCAGATAACCCGTCTGTTGCTTGCCTCCAGTCAAAGCCTCGCCAATCTTATGCGCGGTGCTCTCATCGCGACCACCGGGCGCGAGAGGCGCCGTCGTTGTTCGGACCTGCTCTTGCTCGAATTTGACGGACATGGCGGCGCCCACTCAGAAAACAGTACACTCAGGAAGGGAAAGAACGAATGCTGCGGTAGGTGATGTCAGTGAATTTGCGGTCGAGGAGAGGTAAGATAAATGCGGGACAGAAGGAGACGCAATCAGCGCTGACGAGAAGTGTTGTTGACAAAAGACGTAACCCTGGTGCCGAGGCCCTGCCACGGGTTACGGAGGGCGGTGGGGACCGCGAGACTTGATCTGTGGAGGTGTGGGAAGGAAGAAACAATGCGACACTTACTGAGGAGTTATGAGAAATGGGTGGACAATGACTATGAGCGGCAGGGTTGATCGGGGGGTGGTTTGGAAGGGTGCAACGAGTCGATAGAGAAGATATGGAACGGGGGATCAACGCGTCTCTCGAGTTTCTCTGAGACTGGGGCGGCCGAGGAGGAGGGAGTCTAAGGGGAGGACAGAGCAGGTGTTAGGGTACCAGGCGGCTGGTGGCTGTGGTGGCAGTAGGTTCGGTGGTGTCCGCGGGTAGCAGAGTAGCGGCAAAGAGGGAGGGAATGAGAGAGTGAGTGAGCTGGCAAGCTAACAGCTGGCAGCTAGCACTTGTCGCAGGCAATCTCGATGCACAAACGCGCCATCCGAGTCCAACCCAATCCACTCTATCGGGGTCTCAGTCCACCACTCAGCGTCGCCATCTCTGCCAAGAAATAAACACGGCGAGATGGGCCAGTTGAAGCTGAACAATCCTTGACCTCAATGGACGCTCCCTCACTTCAACACCACATTGTCGAGAGATGGTAGAGATATTCAGTGTCTCCGTGGACGGCGTCGGCGTCGGCGTCGGCGGACACAGGAATTCCATGGGGCTTGAGAAGAGGCGGAGCATCCTGGCAGAGAGAGACAAGAGAGTGATAGGTGTGCGCCTGGGGGGTTGCAAGATGAACCTGTGGCTACGGCTGCGCTGGTGAAAGGTAAATGAGAATATGAAAAGACCTGCTGCTAAGGAGAGACATGAGGCTGCGGTACCACCAGGCCAGAGAAATGGCGACGAGGTGCTCCTTCCTGCCACCGCCTCTTCTCCCCTGCGCTTCAACCCTTCACTCCCTCATCTCCCTCCGCTCCCTCCATTCACTTCTCACACCTACTGTCCTGTCTGTTGTTGTTCGAATGTGATGCATCCAAGCGCATTCAATTGCCTGCCATTCCTGCCGCCATGCCTCTCCTGCGCAGGAACATCCTCGGTCCTGAGAAACGCAATCCATGCACCCACATGACCATGACCCGCCTCTATGATCCCTATGGCTCCTTCAAATGCTCGTTATGCCAGAAACACCCCAACATCGGCTGGCTCTATCGCTGCACCCAAGACACTGGCGGTTTCTTGCCCGAGTCCGATTTCACAGACGAGCCAGTCCTACCACGAGGTCGGGCGCCCTGTCAGCATGTCGCTACTCATTCTCTCAGCACTTCAATCATCAGGGCCATTGGACAAGGCCAATATACTGGGCAAGAGGTCAGGAAGCTGATTGAGCAGAAGGAAAGGGTAAAGGATCTTGTCCTCCCTCAGTTCGAGCCAGATGAGAGCAGACCTGCGACGGCCTCCACTTTCACCACTGCTTCTACCGCTTCCAGCGACGGTCACGGAACTTTGTCCACTTTACCCCAGAGCACCACTTTCTCTACCAACTCCTCCGCCGAGTTCGACGAAGAGATAAAGGCGGCCTATGATTGGAAAGAGTTGCAGAAGGTCTGGATGTCTGAGCCGTCCGTCCCTCCTCCCGCTCCTCGACAGAAGCCGTCTACCCCAGCAAACCTCATCCCACAGCATCCCAGACCACCGTACGTCCACCCTTGTACCTTCAAAATCTGCCCTACATGTCGGCCAACATACCGCGAGCGCGCGTATCAGTCTCTCAACGAAGTCCTGAATACCCCAACTGAACTCCCACCTGTCTGGGAGTTACAAAATCGCAGAGTGTCTGATGCCCGTGTCGTGGCACGAATCGGCTTACCCAAGCTCTCTCAGTCGCGTTTCTATGCTCAGACCGACCCTACTATCCTGCAGTCCTTTCACAGCGTCCCTGACATCGTCATTGACCACCCAGGAGCCGAGGTATATCAAAATGTAAGAGAATCGTACCTTGTGAGAGATAACACGGCAACACACGGGCACCATGGGTACATTTGCGCCTCAACCAGCACACGCAGCGGCTTCCGACAAACTGTCCGCAAAGCCCTCGCTAGAGCCCGCTTCGAAGATTCTGCTTCCACAAATTCGAGCACCAACAATTCCGAGTCGGGCGAGTCCCAGGTCCAGCCCTCACGTTCGCTGATTTTCCGCCGCCGCCGATCCCGAACGCCCATATTGTCCTTCGCCGAAACACATGGCGGCCGGGTCGTGGATACCAGTTCGCTCCAGGATTCCGTCATCTTGATGTTGGCCACGAACACACCCTTACCTCACACGCCGACCGTGGCTGGCTTTCAGCGTGGTCCGGCAATCAGAAACCCTCGAGGCTCAAGACCTGCCGACGACCGTGAGAATTGTGCACAGAGTGTGGACATCATCAGCCAGAGTTGATGCATCGTATGTCTAGCGAGGCTTAGCATCGCGAAGCCATGCGAAGAATGAGCATCCATCCTACAATGTTCAGAGTTCAAACTAGCTTTTAAGTACCGGTGGGGGTCGCGAACGGTGAGACGTAAAGACTACGACTATGCCTATCATGTATTTCGAAAGGCAGGGGCAGGGGCTGGGAGTTAATGGTGAGACAATGATTCTAGCGAAGCAGATGATAAGATCTGGGGGCGCGGAGCTTGCTGCACGAGTTCGATCGTTCATGTTGCCATGTTAGTCATTAACAGCCGCGCATTGTGGAATTTCAACTATGCTAATTCCCCGAGCTCATGGACTCGTACCCTTCTTTCTTATCCGCGATGTTGATACATGGTTTCTCTCTTTGGAAACGTTGCAGGCCATGCATGACCATTCCCCACCCATCACCGTGCCATGACAGCCTCGCAACGCGAACACCCTCGGCCTAGACACCTACTCATTCAACCGCTACTCTCTTCCCCCTTTCCGCCCTTTTTTGGGTTCCCGATTCCACTCCGTTTTTCCGGGGTTGATGGCGCTCTCCTCTCACCCACAGTGGCCCATCAAGAGCCACGTCGACCGGGACCGGGGCTGGGACCGGGATCGCGACTCGGCACATACGAATCCAACAACCTGTGGCCGCCGTAGCCGTAGGGGACGGAGGAGTGCCCACGGCCGCGCAAGGGGTGCCGGGGACGGCCGCCACCACTCGCGCCGGCTCTGCTTCGGTCGCCCGCGCCTCTGTGCCGGTCCAGCTCGCGGTCCTGCTCGTGCGAGTACCATCGGTCGTCGGTGGCGCGCGAGTATCCTCGGTCGTGACCTGGCTCATGGTGCGCCCGCGACCTCGAGCGACGACGGCTCCGGTCTTGCATCACGCGGCGGCGCCGACGGCGGCTGTCGCCCGTCGGAGACGCTGACCTCGGAGGGGAGTTGGGGCTGGGACTCTTCTCACGCTCCTCGCGTCGGTCCGGGGCGTCCTGATAGTCGGAGCTCACCGGGGAGAGTCGGCCGTCTGATAGGTCCCTGGTACGCGAGCCGTTGGGGCCGCGATCCTGGCGGCCGCGCGAAACGGCGGCGTTGTGTGGCCCAGAGGCTGAGACGTAATATTCTTTCTCGTCCTTGTCGTCGCTGCGTCGACGGTCTCTGCCCGGTGCGACGGTATACCCCAGATGACGCGAGTCGCGATCTTGGTACGGATATGTGTCAGAGTATTGCGCCCGGTGAGGATGGCCGTGTCCGCTGGGGAGGTCGGCGCCGCCCCATCCGTAAGAGCTCGTCACCTCGCCGGCGTGACCGCTTGAGATATCTGGCTGATGGTGTTGGTGTTGGTTGTAAGCACCTGCATCAATTCCTCCGCTCCTGCGGTATTTCTCTTTCATGTACGGTAGGCTTGGGCCGCGCGGCGTTCCCTTGACCTTCTCCATTTCTGACGGATCGAATTTGCGCTTCTTGCCGCCGGTCAGGCAGACCGCTGTGTTCTTCGCGTGACTGAACGTCCCTTCTAGCTCCGCGATCATCAAAGGGTCGGCATTCCTATTCTCGAGATACAGGAGGATGTTTTCGGCGGTATCGCGGAGGAATTTGGCTCTCTTGGCAGCTTTTTCATTGTCGTCCTTGTCGACAACGGCGAGATACTCTGCTCGAGCAGTTTCGTAGACGGACCACAAGACTGCCAATCTGGGCTCCATGTCCTTGCGTAGGTTTGGATCGACAGGCAACAATCGGGCACGCTTTTGGCCAGCTTCTTTCTTCACTGTGCTGCTTTTGCCCGAGGACAGTTCTGAAAGCGGGTACATCAGATCAAAAGCCACCGGACGAAGCTGGGATGTACATACCCTCTTGTAAGGCCCCTGAAACTTGCACGCTCTGCTGGAGTTTTGGGGTCAATTCCTGGCCAGCACCACGGATATCGATATCGATGTTTAGATACTCTCTGCAGTAGTACTTGATAGCAGCTGGGTTGTCCAGGTCATTTCCATTATGGGTGAGAATCAGTAATGTCTTGTCAAAGACCGTAACATGACCATCTTCGAACGCTTGCGAGCGGGATTTGATCAGTTCAACCTGTCGGTCGAAGACATCAAAGAAAGCGTGATTGTAGGAGACAAGGAAGCTGTCAAACGCTGAGCCCAGAGCTTCAACACCCCGCGCTCTCTGAACCAGAATTTGGACTTCATCGTCGGGACTTCGAGCCAGATGTGGTGGCGGAGAGGAATGGAGGAAAAGAGGACTATTGTGCCCGGACATGGTCGCCACGAAGAGGCTCTGGGTTACATCTATCAAGTTGGTGGCAAGGAGAAGAAAGTTTCCCAGATGAAGAGCAAGTCACGGAGAGCGCAGGCATTTTGAAGTGTTGGGCTTCTTTCTTTCCTTGCCGTACCCTTCGACACGGTCTTGCAGCCTTGCCTTCTTCCGGTCGTGAAGTGAGGCAGTGCTGTTTGGCAGTGGAAGACTTGGCGGGATTTGAGGAAGCTCCTGTGTTTGCTTCTTTTGTGCGAAAAGACGGCCTGGGCTTCTCTTGTCCTTACAGCCTGAGGTCACGCTTTGAGCCTTGTGCTTGTAGAAGTGCTCGCCCAGCTTAAAAACGCGTCTGGCAACGACAGCAGGAACACGGCCCGTAAGGAGTCGCAGGGCCAGTTGACAACTCGAGAGATCACCAAGTCGGCCATGCCCCTGTGATATCTTATGATTGAAGACATATTTGACCAGGGCGTCCTCTGTTTCCATAATCTCACGGCGGAAACCACCAGCTGGACAATGGCTTGCCGGACCACAGTGAATGCGTACAACAACATGCCGTTATGACAGCCAATTGAAACCACCTCATGCACAGGATGAACTGAATGGGAAATGTGGCTGGTGATATCTCTCGATCGTCGCACGAGCAAATCCGGGCGGTTCTCGGTATGGCTCGAAGGTAGATACCCTGACTGTCATGTCGACCGGTAAATGTTCCCCAACCTGCTTCAAAGCGAAGGTAAAGGGATACAGGAATAGGGTTGATGGGGTGCAGAAGACATATTCCCCCTTTTCCCTTTTGGAAGATTGACGCCGCTGTTGGAGGTTTTCTGTCGCAGAACGGTTGGGAAAGACGAGCGCGGTTTCGTGGAGATCCTGCGGACGATAAGAAGAAATCTATTCGGGAGAACAGAAGTCATTCCAGATCTGGATGAAAGAAAGATGGAAATGAAGACCTAGACGCAAAAACAAGCCGGGAGGTCGATGGAAAAGGTCAATTGAGAGCAGGAGGAAGGAAGAAGGTCAAGGGCGCGAATCGGTGGGTTGTACAAGAAACGGCAGCGCTCCATCCCGTCAATCGCGGTACAGACAAGAACAATCCACAGCGCGAAGACCAACAACCACTGATGCACATTGTCCCCATCATGGGCAATGAGAAATGGACGATCGAGCACAGTGAGCAAAGGCCAAGGTGGATTAAATCTTGACCTCTAGGGCTTCATGGTTTGGCTTGGCCACAAGACAACCAGCACGTCGAGCAACGAGGATACAGCAACAAAGTAACAAGATCAAACAAATGAGCCATCTCATTAAGGGGGAATCTATCTGTGCGGGGCAGAAATGCAACCTATCTCCGGTATCCTAGTAGGAAACCCGGGTACACAAAGTACAAGCGAGCATCTAAGAAGATAGTCTGCTTGCACTTGGTTGCATATGCCCTTGTGGAAAGGGGGGAAGCATATCGCCAGTCTATCATACACTCAAACAAGACAAGCTCATAATCACCGAGCCACCGTGGGCACAACCGAGAACCATCTGCTCGGGAGAAAGGACGCCATTCGCCTGCCACCGCCACCGCAATCAAGCCCAGCTCCGTGGTCCGGAAGCCCCATTGCAGAGCACTCAAGATGTTGCAGTATCAGAACTTTTGGTAGAAAGGCATCTTGCCCAGGTCGAGTACAGTGATTGCGCAATTTGGGTGAAAAAGTTGTGTTAAGACAGTAAGAGTAGTCCATGCAAGATCGTCTAAGCCGTCGCTTCGGCGCCTTCAGTCTTGGACGCATCCTCCTCTTTCGTGCCGTTGGGGCCGCCTTCGCTGGTAGTTTGACGTCCCTTGACGTACTCGTCGTAGACGGTGAGGGCTTCGTCCACCTTGGCACGAAGAGCGTTGTCATCATCAATCCTGGGAAACATGTTAGCCACCGACCACAACATGGTGCGGCATCCGAGATAACTTACAACGCCAGCAGTTCCGAGTTGTCCATTTCCAAAAGCATACCAGTAATCTTGCCAGCAAGTTCCGGTTGGATCTGTTGGATCTTGGGGTAGATGGCCTCACCAAGCATCTGTTTCTGTTGATTGGGAGGCAAAGATGCAAGATTGCTGAGACCGCCAGCAGGGGCCTCTTCTCTGCCAGGCATCATCTGTCCACGGCCTTGTGGAGGCAACCGAGCGCCTGCCTGGGCGCTTGCCATGTTTGGCATACCACCTCCTCGCCCGCCTTGTGGGAACGCGCCACCACGCACGCCAGCCATGCCCTGCATGTTGGGAGGCATACCCTGCATGCCTTGCATCTGACCGCGACCACCAGCGCCACGACCCATCTGAGCTTGCATTTGAGCCAGCGCTTGGGGATTGTTGTACATACCATTGACAAGTGCCGGGTTCTGGATGAATGGCATCTGTCCAGGCAGACCGAAGTTGGGAGGGAGCTGTTGGCCTTGAGGTATTCCACGGCCTTGCTGGGGGAAGCCACCAGGGAACTGCCCACGCCCGCCTTGCATACCGGGAATGACCATGCCAGGTTGACCGGGGAAGGGCATGCCTCCACGCTGAGCCCCAGGTGGGAGGAACTGCTGTCCAGCTGGACCATAGAAGACAGTGGGTTGAATGTAGCCCTGGGGCATACCGGCGGCAGCAGCCTGTTGTTGCTGACGAAGGGTGTTGCGTGCTTGGATACTAGCCTCGAGCTGACTTTTGCGAACATCCTTTCGTTGAGCGAGGGCAACATACAGCGGCTTGCCGTTGACCATCTTCTGGTTCATCTCCGAGACAGCCTTGGAAGCCTCATCCGGGTTGCTGAAGCAGACGAAGCCGAAGCCCTTGCTCTTGCCGAACAACTTCTGGCCAGGTTTACCCTCTTTCTTGGCCTCCTTGGCGTCTTCACTGCCCTCTTCCTTTTCCTCGCTTTCAGCCTTCTGCTCTTCGTCGCCCTTTTCATCATCATCCTCCTCCTTCTTGTTCTCCTTGTCCTTATCTGCAGCAGGAGATGCGGTGCGCTCGGCTGTGTCGCGCATGACCTTGGCCGATGTGATGGTTCCATAACCGCTGAATAGATCACGAAGCTTATCGTCGTCCACATCATCGGTCAAGTTCTTGACATACAGATTGACACCTTGATATTTTGAGGCTTTCTCCATGCGTGCAGCTTCATACTGCTTGCGGAGCTCCTCTTCCCGTTCGTGTTTCTTTTGAGCGCGCCCAACATACAAATTCTTGCCATGAAATTCCCTGTCATTGAGTTCATCAACGGCTCTGGCAGCGGATTCGTGACTGGTAAAATTGACAAATCCAAAGCCACGGCTCTTGCCAGTTTCGTCGCGAGTGATGGTGGCAGAGACAACAGCGCCGTAAGGCTCAAACAACTTGGTGAATTCGTCGTCAGTGACCGACTCGTCGATGTTTTTGATGTAGACATTGGTGAAGTTGGCCTTCATCTCCTCAAACTTGCTCTGGCGATCTCGTTTCGCGATGTGATGACCAACAAAGACTTTCTTGTCGTTCAACAACATTCCATTGACAGACTTGATCGCCTGGTTGGCAGCCTCGGCGGTCTCGTAGTGGACGAAACCGTATCCCTTTGAATTTCCGAGCTCATCTTGGGCGACCTTGCAGCTGAGGATATTGCCGAATTGGGTGAAGGTGTCATGGAGCGCTTTGTTATCGATCGCCGCATCCAAGTTCTTGATGAAGACATTACCTTGTCCAGTCTTGCGGAGGGCAGGATCGCGCTGGGACCACATGATACGGCATGGGCGGCCCTTGATGCTCGTGTAGTTCAAATCTTCCAGTGCTCTCTCACCGTCAGCGGTGTTGTTGTAGTTGACGTAGGCATACCCAAGCGAGCGGCGGGTGACGGCGTCACGGCAGACACGGATCGAAGCGACCTGGCCGATGGAGGAAAACAACTCGAAGAGCATCGCTTCGGTGACGGAGGGATCAAGCTCGCCGACATAGAGAGAGGCAGAGTGTTGCGCAGTGTTCGGGGTCGCAGAATAGGGTGTAGCGACATCGTCACCGGTAGCACCAGACGGCGCCACATTGGTGTCGATGGCAGGAGCGCCGTTTTGGGAAGGGGCATCGGGGCTGCCATTCTGGCCAGCGGCCGGAGTCGCATTAGAGACGTCTGTAGCAGACATTTTCGCTGCGAAGCACTGTCAGAATGTGTGTGGATGAAGGCAGCGCGGGTAGCAAGATTGCGGGCTGCGGACTGCGGACTGCGGACTGGGAGGTTGTTCGGCCCAGCGACAAGGGGGGGCAAAGAGAGGGCTCACTTTTTTGTTTGACTTTTCCTGGATTGATTGACAAGGTAACAAGAACGAGGGGAGTTGAAACTTGTCTTGAGCAATGGAGCCGATGCCTTGATGATGCCTTGGTAAGGGATATGTGGTTTAAAGTCGAGCACTGTGATGCTGGTCAGACGTTGTTCACCTTGACCTCTGAGGATCGGACCGTGCAGGTGAAAAAAAGGGTTGCGCAGGCAAGGGACTCGGGATGACTTACCGCACGACTCTGGGTTTTTGAGGGGGGGTTTTCACTTTTTTTTGGTTGATTCACGAGTATTTTATGGGGGAGAGGGGGAGAATAGCAATCGACTGCGACAAGAGCAGACGACGCAGGAGGGAAAAGGCTGATGTGGAAGGTTTGTAGGGGAAAAGTTGGTGGTGGTGGTCGAGGGAAGCGGTCGAAAATCAGACCAAAAAGTCAGGCAATCAAAAAGTTCGGCGGCGGCCACGCTATGCCTGTTGCGGTAAGTGCCACTCCCGCCGAACGAATTCTTCCCTGCGCTGCCTTTGTGCCTGCGATCGCAGTTTCTTTGTAAACAGCGTGGCGGTGGCCATGTTCGGTCAGCCTTCAGCCTTGCTGCTCAGAACGCAGCTACCCATTCCGCTATGCTTGATGTGCGCTGGAAACTTCCATACACTACAGGAAACCTGGTTGAATCTACTGGATCTGCTTCCTCGGTCGTGTTGCAGAAGGTGGTACCGATACATATGGGCGGGTGCACCACGCAACACCACCTCGATGCGCCGTACTATGACCCGTGTCATCTGTCTCCCCTGACCACAGGTGGGAATGGCATGCTCCCTGCATCTGTTTCCGTGCGTGTGCCAGACCTGCACTCCAGACGGAGTATCAACCCGCCCTCTGTTCTTCAATCGCCTCGTTGGACAAGGACTTTCACATTTCACCAGGGATGCTCCTATCGACATGGTTAGCTCAATAAGACTTCATATATCTGCAAGGTTGTAGCTTCACTCTTCCATCCCAGCACCAGAAGGTGCCACTGTCATCTTTGCCCTTCTCTCCAATCACCTTTAGCATTTTTGTCACACTTTCTTCGGGCGTGATGATTCCTTCCACCTCCCAGTCCACGTCGATGTTCGCCATGTCCCTGGCTACCATGTCAGCTCTCAGCTCCACCTCGTCAACAGACGTCAATCTGTGGTCTTAGCTCACGTCTGAACTTCACCGGGATGGATAGCCAAGACGCAGACGTCCTCGTACTTTCCCCCTTTTCTCTTGAGCTCTGCGGCCATATGCCTGAGCATCTGATTCAATGCAGCCTTGCTGGCCGAATAGGCGCCGAATCCGTCTTCATGATCCCTAAACCGTGCTGTGGATCCGGAGTCGGAGGAAATGAATATCACCTTAGACGGAGGTGCTACGCTGCTCAGATTAAGCAGTTTCTGTGCAATGATGATAGGCCCAATGGTGTTCGTATGTAGATGCAGTGCGAAGTCGGAAAAAGATCTGCGTGCCGCTATCAATCAGTACGTTGTCCAAAGGCGATATACCTTCGGAGTGGTTCTGGAATCGTTACATCTCGGTCGCCCTCTGAGTGTGTCATTAGTCTTTCTGTGCAGATAAGCACGAATTTCATCGTACATTGGGATATTTCAGCATTCCAGCATTCAGGACAATATTGTCGAGCCGCATGCCCTTGGCAACCAGCCTCCCCATTGCACTCACAAATGCCTATTGACTGCATCAGCATCAGTGGACCAAATCACCTTGGAGTGGTTTTCAAGTAGTCCGGCCGTCACGCACAAGAATGCTCGACTCGTCAGTGACGTCGCACTGCTCAATGAGACAGGCTGCGGGTCTGGTTTGTTTCGCAGCCAACTGCCAGATGTGGTTTGCCGTCTCCGGGCTGCGGACGGCTGCGATGACCTGGTTTCCCTGATCGAGCAATTGACGGACGAGCTCGAGACCTATGCCCCTGGAAGCTCCAATCACGACCCACGTGGAGGGAGCCATGTTTGGATACGCGCGGAAATAGGTAAGTTGTTCCAAGTAGAAAAGAAGGGAAGGCGTCGGGTACGGTTCGAAGTCTCGCTGGCTGCTGGGTAGCTATGGGTGGCATCAAGCAACTCCAGAAAAGGGAAAGGCGCAGAAAGAGAAATGCGAACTGCGGGGCCCTGGACGAGGTCGAGAGGTGCACATGCCGACAGCGGAGACAACAGACGTCAAAGAACTCGGGAGGGAAAAGTCTCGAAAACTGAGGCTCTGAGACGTGGGAAGATAATGGTGCCCCCGTTGTTGGCCGTAACGAGGAAGAATAACCCTTCCAAACGGAAATCACTGGGACGCATGCGAGTGGAAATTAATAGTTCTCTAGACCGACAGAAGCAGCAGGTAGTGGTTTGCTGGACCAGGGACCGCATCTACTCCCTTCCTTTCCACCCCAGGAGCCCTTGGCTGGAGGGGGAAATCGGTCAATCCGTGGTTTGAGAGAGCATCAAGAGTTGTGGAAAACGCCGCTCAGGGTGGAGGCCAAGCCAATGGTTCAAGGTGAAGTTGACCTCGCCGGATCAGCACCATCAGCGCCACCAGCGCGTAGAGTTGCTCCAACATGCTCGGCCAGGGGAGAGGGACGAACAGGCGGACAAGAGAGGGTGCCGATCAGCAGACGCAAGGCACCTCTAGCCGGGGCCACCAGGGCCGTTGCCCCCATATTACATACATCAGTCCAGCTACTAATACCACAGGCTGCCATTGGGACAAGGGATTGGGAGCAAATCAATGACGGATCAGGGAGGGCAGAGGAAGGGCGCCATTGATACGCCATCACACGGGCTCATCCTCGATTCACAAATGATATTGTTTCCTGACCTCAGCCGTCTCGTGACTGGGCTGTCAGGTACGCGGGTTCAAGGTGTCAAATCTGCAGGAATCGTGCGAGTCTAATCCAACCAACTTGCCGCCAACGAGAGTGTTGGCGAACCTTCGTCTCGGACATTTTGCAGTATGCATCTTGTATTGTCTTCCCCGTGTGAATGAATCTATCTAGGCCGCATCAAATTTATGCATTGGATCATCATACACATGGCCATCCTGCTGGCTTGGGTGGCATAACCGGTCGACCCTAGCCTAGACCAGATTGTTAAGTGCCCTCGTCCGATCCGGGAGACTCAAACCACTTCCTTGCGACAACTTTGCCCACGCAGGGTGTCTAGATAAGTTGTTGGAAAGCACGGTTGATTGGTGATCGAGGCTTCAAGCCCTTGTAGAACTCAACCGTGGCAACGGCACGTTTAGCAATGCCCTCAGGCGTGAACTCGAATTTCTACCAGAGATGTCAGCCGCCGCAGCAGAAGAGTGAAAACCAATGGGGACTACTAACCTTATACACCTCCTTGTATGGGCCGGAAGCGCCGAATCGGTTAAGACCAAATTGCTCATGCGAGTATTTCTCCCATCCGAGGGTGGACATGACTTCCACAGACAGGGCCGGGATGCCGTCAGGAATCACCTTGAGCTGGTAATCCTTGGGCTGAGCGTCAAAGACTTCTGTGCACGGCATCGACACAACACGGGCAGTGAGTCCATGCTGATCCTTCAAGACCTTGATCGTATCGACACAGAGGCCCACCTCCGAGCCAGTGGAAACGAGGGTGATGTCGGCATTCTGGGCCTCAACGGCAACGTAACCGCCCTTGATCGCGTTCTCGATTGTCGAGTTCTCCAACTGGGGCAGGTTCTGTCGGGTCAAAGCCAGGATGGAGGGGGTAGATGTCGAAGTAAGAGCCATGTAGTATGCGGCAGACGTCTCGTTGCCATCAGCAGGCCTCCACACCATCATATTGGGAAGAGCTCGGAAATGGACCAAAGTCTCGATCGGTTGATGAGTAGGGCCGTCTTCGCCGAGACCGATGGAGTCGTGAGTGGCAACATAGATAACTCGCTGGTGCGAGAGAGACGACAGACGGACAGCCCCAGCAGCATATGACACAAAGTTCAAGAAAGTACCACCAGCCGGAATAAGCGTGCCATACGCAGAAATACCATTCATGATGGCAGCCATAGCGTGCTCTCGAACGCCGTATCTCAGGTAGCGTCCGGTCCAGTCGCCAATGCCCAGGCTTGGAGGCTGGAAGTCGACCGCGTTCTTCCATCGGGTGTTGTTGCTTCCAGTCAGATCTGCAGAGCCTGACAACAGTTCCGGGACGGCTTCGTGGATGCACTCCAGGACCTTCTCAGATGTCTTGCGGGTGGCAACCGCAGCATCTGTCGGCTTCCACACCGGCAGGGTCTTTTCCCATCCTTCGGGGAGCTTGCGTGAGAGACGACGGGAAAAGTCTTTGGCCAGCTCTGGGAACTCGCTCCCATACTTCTTGAACAGGTCATTCCAAGCCTGCTCGGCGGCGGCGCCTTCGGAAGCGTGTTTGTGGTACAAGTCATACACTTCTTGAGGGACCACGAAGGACTCTTCAGGATTGAAGCCAAACTTCTGCTTGACCTGCGCAGCGTCATCGGCCTTGAGGGGGTTGCCGTGCACGCCACCTGTGCCCTGCAGCTTGGAGCCAAAACCGATGGTGGTAGTCAGCTTGATCATGGAAGGCTTGTCTTTCACCTCCTTGGCCTTCTTAATCGCAGCTTCGATACCTTCAAGGTCGTGATCGCCGTCCTTGACATGCTGAACATGCCAGCCGTAGGCTTCGAATCGCTTGACAACGTCCTCGGTGAAAGCAACCTTTGTGTCACCATCTACCCTTTGTCAGCGGCGGCATTTTTCGCAGTGCATTGCGCGAGTTTCTTACCAATGGAGATATGGTTGTCATCATAGATGCAGATGAGATTGCCCAGCTGCAGATGGCCGGCAACGGAAGCAGCTTCGCTTGCAACACCTTCCATAGCGCAGCCATCACCGAAAAAGCAGTAGGTATAGTTGTTGATGAGGTCATAGCCAGGCTTGTTGAAGACAGCGCCGGTGTGAGCTTGAGCAATCGCCAGGCCAACAGCATTGCTAAAGCCCTGACCCAGAGGACCAGTGGTCACTTCAATGCCGGGAGTGTCATGAGCTTCAGGATGACCGGGAGTGATGCTGTCAACTTGCTACTCTTTGTCAGCTCTCGTCAACACGAAACCCGAACAGGACGACAAACTCGGAAGTGTTTCAGGTCGTCCATTGAGACGGCGTAGCCGAAAAGGTGGAGGAGAGCATATTGGAGCATACAACCATGTCCATTCCTGGACAGGGTCAGCAACGGAACCATTATCTCATGATTTTGTGCCGGAAGAGAAGGCTTTCACACGGGGCAGGCAACTCATTGGCAACCTCACGCGGGCATTTCCGGACCTGCTCTTCACCATGTATGCAATCTCTTCTTCCTTGATGTAATGCATTGGCTATGGTCATACTCACGATAGGACAAATCGGTCGCGGTTGATATAGTTGGGGTTTTTGGGGTTGAAGGTCATGAACTTGTTGAAAAGAACGTGGGCCACCGGGGCCATGCCTGGGAGAAAAAGTCGTCAGAAATGGTTCTTGTATCAGTCACTTAGAATCACCTACCCATGGGGGCGCCAGGGTGACCGCTGTTAGCCTTGAGAGTGGCATCGACCTGAATGAAGAGCAGTCAGGAGATTTGCAAATGGACATGGAGGGGCAGAGAGCCATACCGCAAGCAGTCGGATGGTGTTGACAGCCTTCCAATCGAGATCAGAGTAACCCATTGTGACAGACTGATATGAGACTTTGTGGAAATCAGGGTGAACAGAGAGGAGAGAGAAGGTCTAATGGTCGTGAAGGCTGTTGAGAAAAAATTTAGTGACGAGCCCGAGCTGTTGACTTGTCGGAATTGCTCAATTGAGGCTAATACTTACGTCTGTCACCAGGAGGGATGGCGGGGCAATGGCAGTTTCGTCGCTGCTCAAGTCCCTGAGTTGTTGGTGGCGCTGCGGGTGGGCTGCGGGCTGCGGGCTGCGCTCTGAAGTCACTGATTGCAGGTGGGCTGGCACCCTGAGACTCGGGACCCTGGAATCGAAAGCTCTGACTGGCGGGGCCCAGGCAAGCGGCCTCTGCTCCGGACGCTTCAGGCTGCGGTGTCTTGTCGCAGCGTGTTGTGCGGAATTCCCTGTTTGGTCGAGTTGGGCAGTCGATTGGGTCTCAACGAAAAAGAAGATTCTCAAAAGCTTTCCGTCGCTGCAGAGGGAGCCAGCTGGTGTTAAATATTCTGGAACCACTACGCGGCACAGCAATGCACCCGTTCCAACCGCATAAATGCCCCGACAGCACAGAACAAGGAATCAACATCGGCGACAGTAATGGTTCGTAGGCGGCAGTACGGGATGCACGTTCACCAGTGCCTGATTACGGCAGCAATCATTCCACGCAATGCTGACTACGTTTCAGACAGCCCAGTCAGTCGAGCGTTTCCCACTTACCCCTTCAAGACGGACCGCAGGTCTCTGCTTGTCTGGGTTTGGCCAATAAAGATTCTTGTTGATGCTTCAGAGAACCGAGAGAGGTTGAGATTCTCCAGCACGTGTAGCTAAATCATTCCTTGCGACTTTTCGTTCCTGTCATCCTCGCCACAATAACACCCAAAATGTCCTTTGTTCCAAAGAGAAAGGTCAACGGAGCTCGCCAGCTTCAGTGTTGACCATCCTGGTGAACATATACCTGTTTTCTCTGCAACTGGAGCAACTCCTGGAAACGTGTCATGCCTGGAAACAAAGTGAAACCATCCTGACTGGGCCCGATAGTTGCTCGCCTTTGGCAAATTGGCCTGACCACCAAACCTCCAACGCCTCGCTATGCAAAAGCAGTCGCTTTCTTAGGCTAGTAGGAACCGTAACCCCCGGCGCCGTATGGAGTCGCACCATAAGGGGTCGTGCCACCCCTGAGGCCACCGTATGAACTGAACGCTCCATTTGGAGGAGCCGGCTCGTAGCCATCTGGACTCTGGATGCCGTTCATTCCATCGACGCCAGCGGCCTCTGCGCCTCCCAGAACTTTGATTGTCTCGGCGAGCTTTTTCTGTATCACCTCAATGCCGCCACGGACGATGTCGTCTGGTTCGAGGGTGCCGATGCCTTCGACTTCGAAAAAGAATGCGCTCGGGACAGCATCAGGATCAAAAGCGGCGTCGGCAGCCGACTCATCCCCTTCCCACGTGGCGTTGCGCTCATCCACTGGCCATTCTTCTTTTGCGTCGGTCTCATACCAGTAGTCGACGTGGCGCAGCTTATTGTTGGGGTCGTATTCGAAGCCCACTGCCGACGTGGGTGCCCATTTCGCGTGCTCTTTGGCGATGCCCTTCTTTGCGATGCATTCCAGCTGAATTTCCTGCCCCTGCCTCAACTTGGCAATCAGTGGTCCGGTGCCATTCGCATCACGGATGACTGGCCGGCCAATACCATCTTGACGGGCATTGACCACGATGAGGTCGTTCGCATGTACCAGCATCGTGCCGGCATTAGAACACCGGACATGAAGGCGAAGGACGACCGAGCAGTATTCGCAATGGTCGTCGCAGCGATCACAATCTCGGCCATAATTCAGGTTTTCGTCCACGCCTTTACTGATCAAGGGAACGAGGCCCAGTCTGTGTGCGAGGTATTCGTCAGGAAGAACCGAGGAATTCGTAGTAATATCCACGAGATCGATCGAGATGGTGGGGATTTCGGCGAGCATCGCGCGACGGAGGGAGTTGGCGAGGGCGAGAGAGCATGACTGGAGGACAAAATCGCAGCGGTCTGGTTCGACCTGTCGAGAGTCAGATCAAGAACAGGAGGAATCGAAGTGTCGTCTGGCTTACTTCTCTCACAGTGACTTTGGGACCCGAGGCCTCGACCCCGTCCATAACATCGTCGTTGAAGCCGTTGTAGCCATTATAAGCCATGGCTTCTACCCTCTGCCTGGTTCAAGACAATGGATACGCCTCTACACGAATCGGCCGTCGAGTCGATCTCACCATGAAGTTGTGGGGTGAACAAAGGTTGAGGCAAAGGTGAAGGCGCAAGAGGCAAGAAATTCCATGGGCTTTGCGCGCAGGGAGAACTTTTGGAGTCTAATCCGTGTCACGTGGTATCTGTAGACACAGTCACGTGAGCGTGGCCAGTTTGGCCTTCGGGTACCTGGCGAGCTGGCAAGGCGCGAGGCGAGGACGCTCCAGATCGGCGCAGGTTTCACCCACTCGCCCACTTTGAACTCGCCAAGAAATGTCCATCCGCTGCATGGCGTCAACGGCGCCTGCGGGGAGAGAAGGTCAAAAAATAAGGCACCCTCTCTTTTTGTCCTTTCTTTCCTCCCCCGTTCAAGACATCCCACACTCGTTCAGATCACGGCACGTCGTCGTTGTTCACGTCAATCGTTGGTCCATTCTGCTATCTTGAAGCCTGTTGAAGTTCTGGTCTGGCACTTTCAGCAAGATTCCTGCATTTCGCCAACCCAACCTCATCGCACACGAAGCGTTCATTGGAGCCTCCCTTTGAACGTCTGCCTTCGCATTACGCAGGCATTTCCAGCTCTTCGTCGACCGCCTTTACAAGCCGATTTTCCTGCGCCCTTGGCCCTCATCTTGTTCAATCGAAGACGCTGTTGCGGTGGAGTTTCGTTGTGGTGACAAAGCTTTTCGCGCTCTTGGTTATGCTCTCCAACGCACGGAATTTGCAACCACGGCCGGCAGATGTGATCGTGCGGAACACAGATTTAGTCGAAGAGCTCTTTGTAGCATTTCTTGCAGCGCATGGCACCATGGACGAGATGGCTGAACAGTCTACTTGTCAGCCTTTTTGCTCGCACTTCTACCGTCCTCGCTCAATTTCCCCCCCTCCCTGCCGGTGATTCCCTTGTCACAATTCCTTCTCCAGTCGACTCAAATGTCTCGCTCGCCTATAAAAGCGTCCCTGTGGGGACTTGTACAACAGTTTTCGAAACTCAGCAACAATTCGCCGGCTACATTACTTTGCCGCCAAACGTCTTGGATCCCAGTCAAGGAAATTACACCATCAACACCTTTTTCTGGTTTATTGAAGCTAGGCAATTACCCGAATCAGCTCCACTGGCAGTCTTCATCAATGGCGGTCCTGGTTCCAGCAGCATGGTCGGTCTTTTCCAAGAAGTTGGCCCTTGTCAAGTTGTGGAAATCGCCAATGGGCAGCTGGGCACGGTTGCGCGAGACTGGGGCTGGGATCGCAGCAGCAACATTGTCTTCATAGACCAGCCCGTTCAGGTGGGCTTCTCCTACGATGTTCTGACCAACTCATCTCTCAATCTGCTTGATGAAACGACTGTCGTCCCACCGACAACGGTACCTATCTCACAGCCCACCTACACTTTTCTCAACGGCACTTTCGGATCGGGGAATCCGTCATTTACCGCCAATACGTCCCAAATTGCCGCTCAATCGCTATGGCATTTCCTGCAGACATTTCTCACTTCTTTCCCGCAATACAATACTGCTCTTCGCACACAAGCTACTGAGCCCACAGCGGAGGTCCATCTTTTCACCGAGTCCTACGGAGGCAAGTACGGACCCGCTATTGGAGCTTTCTTCGGCATCCAGAATCAGCGCCGTCAGACAGACCTCGATTTTGCCAACACGACTATTGATATTACACTGAAGTCCCTGGGCATCATCAATGGTTGGATTGATCTTTTCACCCAGACTCCATATCATCCAAAATTCGCATATGAAAACACCTATGCTATCGAAGCCATCTCACAGCTTCAAGAGCTTAACGCCTTAAGCGCCTACGACAGCGCAGACGGCTGCGAGCAGCAGACTGCCTTTTGCCGCTCACAAGAAGCCGCACTCGACCCGGTGGGCTACGGAGACGTGGATGCAGTCAATGAGGCATGTTCGCAAGCGCAATCGTACTGTGAAGCATATGTAGTCGGCCCATACACTACGTCGGGACGGTCGATCTATGATATCTCTCAAAGTATGCTCGATCCTTTTCCGAGCGCACTCTACTTGGAGTATCTGAACCAACTCTCAGTCCAACAAGCGCTTGGTGTTCCGGTCAACTATAGCCAAGATTCAGTGGCCGTCTTCGCCGCGTTCAATACCACAGGCGACTATGCGCGAGATGGCATTATTCAAGATCTTGTTGATCTTCTCAATTCTGGTGTGAGGATCGCGCTGATCTACGGAGACAGAGACTACATCTGCAACTGGCAAGGAGGAGAAGCAGCCTCTTTCGCTGTAGCCGGTGCGGCTGGTCTATCGTATCTGCCGTGGTATGCTGCTGGGTATGCCCCCATTGTGGCCAATAGCACCTACGTCGGCGGCGTTGTTCGCGAGTTTGGGAACCTGAGTTTCAGTCGAATCTATGATGCCGGTCACTTGGTGCCTGCCTATCAGCCAGAGACCGCTTTCACTATCTTTTCCCGTATCATTGAGGGAACAGACATCAGCATGGGCATGCCCGCCGATCTGTCGACATATTCGTCAGTTGGGGATGCAAATTCCTCGTACCAGAATGTCGCGCCTCCAATGGCCGAACCAACGTGCTACCTTCGCGCCGTTAACACCACCTGTAACACAGACCAGAAGAACATGCTCGCGAATAATGCTGGCGTTATCATCAATGGAGTTCTTTACGATGATGCTGCCGATTGGCAACCACCAGACCCAGGAATTGTCACTATGGCCGGGTCGCCTGGCACGCCTCCTGTCAGCATAGTTACCAGTCCACCGATGCCAGAAACGAGCACGACGCAAGAAGGAGGGCAAACACCATCCCTGAACACCACGAGCACAACAACAAGTACCAAAAGCTCGACCTCAAGCGCTGGTACTAGAGAACATACCACAGGGAAGCGCCCTTCCAGCAGTCTCCCAACAGGTGTATATACCGCAACAACTATCCCGCCGACGTCAACCGCCAGCAGAACTACGTCTGCCAGCGCAACTAACGCCGCGTCGTCATGCATCCACAGCAACGTTTTTCGTTCTTTGTCGCTTTCGCGAGATACCCGGCCCACGGTGGCAGCATTTCTTTACATGGTCGGGGTACTGAGTCATGCATTCATTGTTTAAGGATTCTTGAAGGGAAAGCACTACCTAAAGTCAAATTGTTGAAATACGAGGGGGACAGCTCTCACAGAGTCAGGACCGCGTCATGGACGTGAATGAGGGTCCTGGAGGGCAGAATGATATGACCACGAAGTAACGAAAAATTTCTTCCAGACGAGAGTGAGGCACTGTTAATGTCCTAGGATGGTCCGAGCGACGTACCGGACAGTCATGATTAGATGGGAGAAGAGCACAAGCCCATAAAACTTAGTCTAGTTCTCCCCCAAGGATGGCGAACATGTGCCTTGTGGCTAATGTGCGCTGACTTGGAGTGGATGGCGGAAAATGCGATGCAACAATGAGATACGATAGCAATGACAGATGGGAAGTCATCGCCAGATCCCGTGTCTCAACGGCAGTAGCGCTTCTGTCGCCGCAGCTGCAGGTAACGTGGCTGAACAGTTGTCTGTAGACCCATTGAGACCAAATGGCCTTGTCTTGGGTGGTATCCGTGGGTCCATGTTGTTTCCATGTCCTCTAGGGGGAGAGGGTAAACTCTTGACAGCCAGCGAGTTCCCTCCGATCCTGGTCCTGGTCCTGGTTTGGCCCTCATGGCGGGATGAATGACACGCACAGAGAGAAAGAGAGGTCGCTCTCCAGGAAGTCCTGCTCGTTTCCCACAGGGCTTTGGCATGGCTTTAGGAGTGAACCGAGCTTGGTTGGACACCGAATGAATGGCCACCAAGTTTGCACAGGGAAGTAAATGGAGGGAGCGGTTCCCATTTCATACAATGATCGCCCCTCAGCGTAAACCTCGGAGTACAGCCCTGGCTGGAGGAGCAAGTATCCAATGTCTGAAACTCAAACGGGGTCATTGATGCCGTGACATTCTTCCTCGTCCACATGAGCGGGTTCGATGCAACGCTGAGGTCCCTGGGGGATGGGATGGACCGCATGAGATACGAGTCTGAGCGGTTCTTCGATACCGTGTCAAGGCTGTCTGCCACTAGGTCAGATTGCCGTACCTCGTATGCCGCACACAGATCCCTAGGACATCGTATGATTGTTGGCCGTGCCGGGGGGTCTTCGAGGATATTGTACGATGTGCACCCACACCGTGTCATCGGGTCAGGAATCACGAGCGGCCCAGGCCGTCGTGTTCTACCCCCTGTTTTGTTGCTGCGATGCTGCAGTATTGTGCTTGTAGGGGCTGTCACCCTGTCAAGAAATAGTTGATCACTGCCCCATGCAATCGTGACTCGCCCTGGCCCAGCATGGAAACGGGACATCATGCCAGGCCGGTTGTGCTGCGAGGGGTCTCTTGCGAGTCGCGACCCCGGCCATCTGCTGTGGAAATTTGTATCGCCGGTGCTGGCTTGTAATGTTGATCCCCTTCAACAGGCCCATACGCTGCAGGGTTCATGGCATGTGACGGTGTAATTCTTCGCCTCCTTGCCGGGAGGTGGATGTTACACCCTCTCTCTTCGTTGGCACCTCCTCCAAGGGATGACTTGTTCGTCATCTCCAAAGAGGTCGACTAAAGAGCAGATGACCCTTTAGGCTTTGCGTCACCGTCGAGTTGCCATATGTAGGTAATTAGTGTGGAGCACACACACACACACACACACACACACACACACACAGAGAGAGAGAGAGAGAGAGAGAGAGAGGGGCGGGTGCCGCACCCTTCTTCTGGCGATGGCTCTTACTCTCTCGACTTTCTGGCATCAGTGGGGGCTCTGGTGCATTCGGGAAAACGAATATACTTCTCGAATTCTCTGCACGACTTCTTGTTTCGTGAAGGTGCCGGGGGAAAAGCAGGTGCATGGTAGCCAGTAACGCAGAGAGTGACTTCTCGAAAGGGGCCCAGGATTACTATTCAGCTGGGCCAAGTATGCATCCCATTCTGGTCATTAGTCTGGATGCCGCTCCTGCACTATTATGTTATGGTGCTGCATTGGCTGGGCGTGTATAAGCATTCCAATTCGGGACCGCATTGGCTGGGAACCCGTTGCCTATATCGTATTGGTTCTGTAAGGCACACGAACGGTTAGTCCCTGGGAAAGACCGCTTGCTAGGCGAGCCATGTGTCATCTTCCGCGCTGCCATCACTTCGAAAACGCCCGAAGAAAACGGGGGCTGAGATGGGCGTCATGGATGTGTCATCCTAAGACTGACCTTGACGCCGATGATAGTGGACCGTCTAGCTAGCAGGGTATGTATTGTAGAGAGCCTTGTTCGCGGATACAATACCAACTCATACGGACCGCAAGGGCTTATTTAACGTTACCTCTGCTGCATTTGGGACATGACAAATTTCCATCCTGGGAGATTGCAAAACCCCCATCCGCATTCATAGATGTCGAGGTCCAGGCCCGCATTATCGAGTGGTACATACAAGGCAATAGAGATTCATTAGGGCGTGCCGCATCATCCTCGTGGCCTCGTCTGGCTTAGCGGAGACTGTTTGGCTCTGGCTAGGACATAGCTGCTCTGGCGTACGGTAAACCTCGCAGCGCCGTCAGGTACTAACGGCCATCAATGCACCGGAACCAGAAACATTTTGCCCTTGTCGGCTCAAGTGCGCGACCAACACGACGTAAGATGACACGCGACGTTCAATAAACAGCAGCTGAGGTTGGATTTGAAAGACGGCGTCAATTGACAAGGCCAATCACTTCTTGCAATTGCTGGTGGCAATTCTAAGCTCTGGTTCGACGAGATCGTTGAATCAGACGCCCTCAATGTCCCGTTCTTGTTCTCGTAAGGTCCCCGGGGAGGGGGAGTCGGATGTGCCCAAGATGAAAGACTCGGAATACCGCCGCGGAAAGTGTATTTGTTCCGTCTACCTCAACTGTGATGCGGAAGGTTTCTCGGGCATGGGCATTGGAAGGTGGTCCCTAAGGGGTTTTCCCTGTGGCCGACAATATGGTTCGCATATGCTCAGGCTGCTACCCAGCTGGCAATGCTCCCCCGTGAGACGAGCAGCGGTGAACAAAAGTTCCACCACCTGGTTTGGGAAGGTAGTCAAGAACGTGGTTTGATGGCGGGCCTTTGGAGTCGGATCGGTTCGTGAACCGATATTGTGGCTCTTCAACTGGACCTGACTGAAGTCGTATACCACGTCTCTGGAATACACGGTATGGAGAGAAGGTCAGACGGACAGTTGTGCGTCAGCAAAGATCAAACAACAGTGACGACGCTTGCTGGCACCGTGGAAGGAGTACAGACGCATCCTCGAGGTTCCCTTGTGGAAGGCGTGGCTCAATAGTTGTTGTTGCCGGAATGCTTTGACTGACGTTGCCTGAATGGCTCTCGTGCTCGAGTCAATGCAGAAGCTCGTGATGCCAGGCATATGTGACAGCAACTATACTGCTATTGCCTCAAGGATGATCACCATAGTCCGAGTCCACAACTATTCCAGCTCCACGGGGACTTGCTACTTCCTCCACAGGTCCTTTTCAACGGATGTACTTCGGGATCAGAAGGATTTGGTACGAGCAAATAGCACCATGTTGACTCTGGTCCTTGGGGTATAGCAATGTCCAACTTTCCGTTTGGAGAGTATGTTTGACAGGATGTCAAACCATCCCCTCAATCTTTGTCAGTGCTCGACACAACCCGGTTGCTCTGGAACGAGATGGCTGACTTGATGATATAGTGAGACCAGCATCATCCATTTGAGATCGATCCCATTCCTCGATATGGTAATGGCATTGATTCCGTGACGCAGATCGTATTTTGAAGGCCGTATGACACAGCATCGCAGAATCGAGCCTCCAACCAAATGCACATGAAGTTGACGAGCGCAGTTTTCTGGACACCGTCAACGAAGACGATTCTCCAATTCGGGAGATATGTGGCGTTTCATCATTATGCCCGATTGGGCTTCGACTTTTGGAGACTGCAGCTTTGCATGTTGATCCCGGACAGGGAGCTCGGCTCGAGGGGGGATGGGATGCAGCCAAACAGAGGATCTCGGGTACCACCTAGTGGTAATCATCCTGGATTGTGCCGTCAGGGTGACAAAGGTCCCTCAGAAGATACAGGCCTATTCGTACGGTCGCTGGTCACGAAAACGGATTGTCCCACGGCTCCCAGTGCACTGAGGTGTATCAGTCCTTCGACCCAGAGTCCGGAAGTTGGAAGGATACAAGGCTAGTATCGGGATGTGCGGAAGAGACAGAGGCCAGCCACAGTACGAGCAAGTCCGCTGCAAGGTGCCCATGGCATGCAGCATCATCCGCCAACATTCGTCTGGGTGCAATCCGCAACTACCCTATCCTGCCCGCCGCCCCCGAGGTGGTCGCAGCCGACTGAAGACAGACCCAGATATTGATTCGACTGGGCTGTGTCAGGGTCAAGGCCTATCGGGATGCCCTCCATTATACTGAGAAAAGGGTGAGATTTCAGGTCGAGGTCGGCAACACGTACAAACTCATATTGCATTCGACGCGACCAAGTCATTCATTATGGCAGTGATATTGGCCGACGTCGTGCACGGACAGATTGTCTCAGAGCATCAGCAGTGGGTCTGAGGCAAGTCGCGGAGACGACCAACAGCTTCCTGCTGATTCTTGGATTTCGCCATTCCATCCCCTAGGCACAGAGAGGCATCGAGCCCGAACATCTCGGTCAAATTGGATGAGGCACAAAACAAACCACCGCCCGGGAGAGCCGCATTCCTGCGTCGGCCAGCTCAAGGCAAGGTTTTCCAATTCAATTAGGTCAGCACCAAAGAACGATGGTCGTGCGAGCATCGTCGCGGCGCAAATGATTACGCATTGCAAGCATGTTGGCCAAACATGCTTACTGAATGATGTACGAGAAGCGGTAGCCTTATCGGTTAATAGGTGGCGGCGAGTGCACGCCATCGTGCGCCTCCGATGGATGTATTACAGAATGCCCCAAGCAAGGCGACGTTCACTATTAGCCACATGCCTGGTGTCGCTGAGGCAAAGGATGACCCAGGCACACACGGTAGCCAGGATTTTGCTATGCGACATGGTTTAATTCCAGATGTAGCATGACGAAGGAATACGATCGGCGAAGATCCAAGGGGGCCAAGGCCGCCCCCCAGCCGATGCACGTCTTGCGACAAGTCTATTTTTGTGGTTAGAAGGTATCTCTCGAGGGCAAGAGACCGCAATAATGGTTTCAATGTACCCGTATAAAGGCGAGCAGCTGACGATGATGGGATGCGGCCCGATGATCAGTCAGCTAGAAGGAAGGACAGGATGGAGAGGATGCTTGAAGGATGGAAACAAGGCTTCGATGGAGAGTCGGAAATCACGATTCGAAAATAGGTGATCGACTGGTTGTGTATGGCTGTCGGAAAGGAAGCAAGGACCACCAGGGCTGAGGCCCCAAGATCGTCATACAACAGAGTGGCGGTGGCAATACCGATCGGAGAGGAGCAAAGAAGACAACAGCCGCATCAAGTAGTTGCCAGCAAATACGTCGCCTGGTGGTAATGATTCATGGAATTCGCAAAATAGATACGGTATGAAGTGGTATGGAGTGAGACACGAGACTCAGACCGAACAGTCAGGGAACAGTCAGCAGGGGAGGTTCTTCTTCACGATGGCTGTGACCGGAAAGGGTAAATAGTCCGGAGCCAACGGGAAGCTTAAGAAGAGGCAGCGATGGGCTTGGTGCTTTGACTGCTGCAATGGCCTTGGATGTCTCAATGGATACCGGAAACGGCATATGTAGTCAGCAAACAGGAAACGGCGATTGGGCCAAACATTTAAACGTGATCGGACCATGCGCCACTCCGAGAAGGGACTAGCGGCTCCCGAACAAACAGCGCGCTCAAAGCAGCGGGGTATTGTTGGACTAGCACTTACCACCTCCTTTCTAGGGATAGTGCGCCGCCAAGCCACTGGTGACGCGAGGGGCCTCTTCTCGGGAGCCGGTGATTGGCGGCAGCAAGGGCCAGGGCGCCCCACTCCGAGTCGCGTCGCACTCTGGTGGCACTCGCATCAAACTACTCGGTACAAGTACAAGGAGTCCGTACCGGGCCCTCCCATTAGGTAAGAAATTGCTAATCCACCCATCCCTCCTCGGTGCCTGCGCTCCCTGATTTTCCTTCCTCTTTTCCCACTCTCGAGGCTCCCCTTGTGGCGGGCGCAGCGCAGCGCAATCAAGCCTCGTTTTTCGTCCATCGTTTTCCGCCGCTTCGCCTCGCAAGCTCCGTCTTCCCTCAACCCTTATTACTCATCACCCGGAGCCTGACCACGCAACCCACAACCCACGCACCGACCAACAACTTCGACCACGCACAAACCAAACCCTTTGGCCTTTCCAGCTGCCCGTTGCCCGTTGCCCGTATCGTCTCTTCTCCTCCTGCGGCCGCCGGCTCGATTGCTGCCTTTTTACATTTGGTCATAACCGCCCCCTCCTGCTTGTTACGAGGACTTCCCCAAGGCCTGTGCTGCCCGTCACCCCGTCTGCACCTCACATCACCACGGCCCTATCATCATCATCATCATCATCATCTCCCCCCATTCGGTCTTGATCAGACATCATTTCCTCTGGCTCCTTCGTACCATCCCTCCGGCTCCTGCGACTTGTAGCCTGTTTCGTCGGTCGTTCCAATCATTCAGCAACTCCACCACGGGCTCCCCTCCTCCCCACGAAACAGAGTCCATTATTGTCATCAGTATAATCATCATCATCGATGCAACCGGCACTCGCTCCTCGCACGGCTAGCTCTTCCTCAATCATGCCTCAGGTAAGCAGCCAAGACCACCCTGGTCCTTACTCAGACTGCTGCTTTGCGCTTTGCCCATTGTCCAAGTGGTCCTCGTACCCAACTTCTATCCTGGGTCTTCATCAAACTTGGGAGCCCCCAGGCAAAGAATCTGGCATACCGGGACCACGGACCACCTGGGACGGACCCCCCTTTGACCGCCCTGCCCATCTGGAGTCCTGCTGGGATGGTGATTCTCGCAGGCCATTCCACCTCATCCCCGTCGCATGACTTACAGTCACCCAAAGCATCACCATCACCGCAACTGTGGTTCCCCCATGTTCCATGTTCCATCTTCCCCCTGTACCACCCAATCACCCGCTCCCCTTTTCACCGTCACAACCAGGCATCGGTGCCTGGCTCCATCTCTCTGCCTTCCACCACCCCCCATCCTGTCCCAAGCCTTTTTCCTCGAGGCCCCCCTCCCTCTCTGGATCTTGCATCAACCTTTTCCACGCTGCCCACGCCCCCCCAACACTAAGGTTTTACGGCAAACGTTTCTGACCCGTTTGAGCAATAGGACATTGTCAAATCCGAGCACTGTACGTATCGTAATCCTCGACCCACTCTGCGCTCTGGGACTGGGGCCTGAGACCCTCCGGCCCTCACCCATCACCCGCTATTCCTTGTCCAGCCTTCTGCACCATTTGCTCGCCTCTTCCTTCTGCTTCCACACATTCGCCCTGGTCGCTTTCCCTTGCATGCCTACACCTGCCCGCTGCCTATCGCCGATCCCGTTCCGCGATACCCAAATACCGTATTGTAACTTTGGTTTGGTTTGCGGTTTTTTTTACCGTTCACCACACACCCCCCCCCTGCAAGAACAGCATCATTTATCCTGTCCCCAAAAAGAAGCAAGGGTATCGAACCACCCCCTCCCCCCCCCGGTCTCCTCTCCCGTGGCATACATATACCCTCGAGGGCCACCTCCTCTGTCCAGCCTTGTCTCCCCGTACCTTGTTGGACTTGAGGACTTTGATTGTTCTTCGGACTGTTTGTGTCTTCTCAACCCGCTCAGATTGATACACCATAACATTCTCTTCTGTACCACCACACCCCACAACACCATGACATCTATTACTCAGCTACTTTCCCCGTGGCCGGTCTCTAAGCATTCAATAGTTCTGCGCGAGCAACACTATCCTCCACCACCTCAGTCATCCATGCTGCCGGATCATCTCGACAGCATGCCCCAGCACCACCCCTCGCCGCCACAAGATCCTGCGCACAACGACACCGTCACCGGCAGCGCAGAGAGCGATGGGGGCGAGAACAATGGCGATGGCCGCAAAGGCTACGGCAAGCGTGAGCTGAGTACCAGCAAGAGAGCTGCCCAAAACAGAGCTGCCCAGGTGAGAAAGACTTGAGCCTGTCGGTTCTTTGACCTTGTGCCTGTGTATGCTAACGCTGCCGACTCCAGCGGGCCTTCCGACAACGAAAAGAGGGCTATATCAAGAAGCTCGAAGAGCAAGTGCGAGACTATCAGGTTCTGAGCGAAAACTTCAAGGCCGTTCAAGCCGAAAACTACCAACTCCGAGACTACATCATCAATCTCCAGTCTCGATTATTAGAGTCGCAAGGCGAGGTGCCGCCGCCGCCCAGCAACGTCGACGGCCTGCAACCTGGCAAGGCCGGCCCTCCTCAACAACCAGGCACCTTACCTCGTCTATCAGAATTGGGTGCGGTGGGCCAACCGCAGGATGGTCTCAACAGCCTCCACCATGACCCTCATCGCAGTGGCTATCCCGATCCAACATTTTCCGAGTCTCCTGTCACCAAGCGCCCGAGAACAGGATCAGCCGAAATGACGCCATCTCAAGCAGCATTGCAAGGGCCTGCCATTCTGTCACAGCAGCCTGCAGGTGCGCGATAAGACGACGAGTTTTCTTCAGTTTTCTCCTCCCGCACTCGGCGGGAAGACCAGTGTCATGAGAGGGGCGTTTTGCTCTACAAGGTTCACAGGAAAGGCATTGCTAAGGGGCGTTGACTCGCGCTGGGCTTCCCAATGGGGGCGGACCATCGCTGTACTGAACATGAATGTAACGGCGTTCGGGAACATAAATCAAGGGCGACGATCGCATGAGGTCAGGGGCAAAGGCGCTTGTGATGTCAGACCTTACCAGACCCAACATTTTCAAAAGGGCGCTGGCTGAATGATGATGACGAGCAAGAACAAGAAGAAACGGTAGATGTGGGAAGGAATGGCTGTGTGGATAACACGCCACCGGCCAAGACAAGTGTGATGGAGTAAACGTCTCTCTACACGTGTACTACCGTTGAAATCTGGTAGCCAGCAACATTGTACAAGAATTCAAGGCTGGTGTATGAAACGAACTCGAGCGTGTGGTTGTGTGTGAGCGCGTCGCATTCATTGTACAGCCAGATCCTGAGTCAGCTAGCAGCTCGCAGAGCTTCAATGAGGCTTTCCATGACGCGAGAGGAACCGAGCTTGGGTGCCCGCGCATGGGCTTTGACTTGCGGGTGGTTTCTGGTTCCTAACTCCGACCAAGGCCCCAAAGCGTGTCAGTATTAGTGATCCTGACCATGATTACGCCAATGAGGATCCCCTGGCCTGCAAAGGGATCGCTCCTAAGGCTATCACGTCCCGCGTGTCATGCAACTCTGCTAGTCTCCAGAAGGACAAGGACCAGCCCTCCCCGTCTCCTCTTTCCCCCGCCAGAGATTCAGATTGTGGGAACGCGGCCGCCTGGCACTAGGGCTAAGCCTCTGAGGGTAATCAAGCGACTGATATTACATTATCTGCCTGTGAAACCGACGGGAATGAGGCCAGTCACCTTGCCAGAATAGGACTGCAGCCCGCAGCGAGGTACTACCACGAATGGCGAAAGCCAGTATGCCTTTGACCCTCCATTTTTCCCTCACGATCTCTGGCCTTGCGTTTTCTCTCCCCCTCTTCCGACACCCCGAGGCGGCGGCGCAGGACTCGCGGGTACGTCAGCAAAGGTTCGAGGGACTGGAAAGGGTGCCCGGAGCCGATGTATGGAGGAGCAAACAAAAAAAAGGTGACAACTCCCAAGTCTGGCCCTCGTTCTTTTGGGATACGGCCGAGGGCGGAAAGATGCCTAGGAGATATCATTAGCACACAATATGGGGAAGGCCTGCGGACAAGCGCGGGTAATGGTTTAGTAATGCAACCCGAGTCCATACATCCCAGGACCCCAAACCGCCACGGGGGGGGGAGAGGTAGGGAGGTAAGGGCAATTTTGGAATGTCAAGTCAGAATGAGATGGTCGACTCAGACTCAGCAATACAGTAATGCGTCCAGAACCGGTAGTACTGCCAAAAGGTTACAAGGAGGTGTTTCATTGCCCCCCAGGAGACTTGGGTACCGTGACCTGGGTCGCTTACATGAAGTTAGTACCGGTCATTACACACCCCCCGAGCGAAAAGGGCAGGCTGAAAATTACCCAAATAATAATACGCATCTTGCTGTGGCCGACGCCCGATTGGGGCAATGGCGGAGGCCCCATGCCCGCAGGGGCCAATCAGGATAGGGGCTATTGTATCCTTTCTCGCCTTAGTTTCTGTGTGTGCCTGCACAGAAGCTTCCCCCCCAAGCCCAGCCTCTGACACGCCCATTTGCCGTCTTGCCGCTCTCACTGCTTTCCATCAATCACCACCACCCACGCTCACATTCGCACGGATCGGCCCTGCCGAAACCTCATTTCTACCGTCTACCGCCTACCGCCTATCGTCCCGAGCCCGGCCAGGCGTCCCTGTCTGCAAATGAACATTGAGCCAGCGTCGGATGCACCCCTTGAAGCACCTTCGTCGCCCAACAGAGCGCGACCTGGGCCCTGGGTAAATCCCCTTCATGCCTCTGCCCCCTCCCTCGTGGCCTTCGAAATGTTTAGCCTTTACTTGAGACGTGCCTGACTTCGCCCTACGAAGACTGATCCAAAGGGCTGCAGATGCCCCCCCCCGTTTAGGGGAGCGGAACCGATCTTTCTTGCCCCCGTCTCCACGGCGCATAGCAGCATACCAAGGTCAAAGGTCTGCGATATGATCGCAGCTGTCGCCTCTCTTTCCGCACGACCGCCACGTGTCGGACGATAAGCCGCCTCTATTTTGTAATCTTCGCCTCCCGAGCGCCTCTGCCACGCTCCCCTTTTCTACCGCTAAACCATTGCGATGCAAACACTCACGTCCAAGAGGGTGCTTGTGCTTGACGGGCAGTGCGGCCGCTGCATGCCGTACGGGAGATGACACCCGTGTGCCAACGGTACGATCGAGCCCCAGCCATCAGGCTGTGAGGAGACGGCTCTCGCCCATGACTAAGGATTGGAAGATGACCAATGGGTCGAATCCTTCGTGTTGGGACTTTTGTCCGTCGGGCAGATGCAGCAATAGCCTAGTCGCTTATCTGGGCAATTTGGCTCGGCCAGGCAAACGGTACAGCCCGGGACTTCTCAGTGCTAAGGACATTGTCGACAATCTGACGCAACATCGCCAACCCAGAAGAACAGTTCCGCGCAAACAAGTCCCTCGCCCGCAGGCTGGGAATTGGGAGCAGCGACGATCTCCGACCTTCCGGGCATGCGCAAATGCCAGTGGCGGCGTTTTTCCCCTGGGCGAAACGGCGGCTGTTTACGCTTGAAGCCTCCGCTTCCAACTTTATCCAACATCGTTCAATGGGAGTGTGCCATTACATTTCCATTTTCGGTAGGTTTGCTCAACTGACATAATGCGAGATCCATCACGACGATCATTCCTTCTAGCTTTGTGAAAGAAACCCGTTCTTACGTTGCCGACAGTCAGCCGACTAGGATCTAGAAGCTTTAAGGACGCGTCAAATGCTCTTGGCATTCTTCCCTGACGTTGGGCGTCGACAGAACCATCAAAAGTATACCCCCGACGTTCCAGGCCTAACCTACATGGCTCCAAAGGAACGGCAAGTGATACCAAAGGAGGTAAACATGCCGGCCGCATGGGGACAATGCGGGAGTTGGATGATTACCCAAAGCCGCGAGTGATGAGCTTGGGGCTCGAATTCCACTTCATCCCTCTCAATCTGGGGCAGGAAGGGATCGACCGCAATTGGGGTCTGTACCTATCTATGTATATGAGCCCCAAATCCACGGCTGGCAAGAGTTCAATGCTGTGCCTGACACTCTATTTATGGCCGATCGCCGGACCTCGGGCCAAAACAGGTATACAACGCGCCAGGGGGAACTCTGAGCGCCTCAGGCAGAGACGGGCATGTAATTATGGTATCGACACTGTTTGACGTTTACTCCGGACACCATCAGCAGCCTCAAACTGCGCCACACTCCAGATCTGCATAAGACCAAGTTCTCCAAACATCGAGTGGAGCTTTGTGTTGGAGATGGAGCGCGGCCTGGCAAGCTCAGATTCCCAGTCTGGTGATTTGCAAGGCGGAACTACATACCACCGCTCTGCTGTCTCCCAAACTCCGCTTAAGATCCCCAACTGGTTTATGACGAGGTCGGCTTACGATAGCGCAAGGTGCCCGCCGCCTCCTCCATTGCAGGAACACACCACATGCTAGGGTATGAACAAGGAGCAAGGGGGTTGCTCAACAGAGCCCTGCTTCATGGCTGTGTCGTTCATGCAGTCCTAGACGAGCTGCCGAAATCGAAGACCAGTATTGGGATCGAGGTCCATATCCTGGCTACAGGCTACTTTGGGACTAGGTGAACGCAAGAACTCGGGAACCGATGACTACAGACACTGCTTCCTGACCCGAATGCTGTGGAGTGATGCTTTTCAGGGGAGCCCATCCCAGGTGCTCCGTCACCTCTCTATTCCCTGTTCCGATCTCACATGAGCAGATGGCTTGCAGGAACGGAGACCTAGGTAAACGAGGCCTCTTCCGGAGTCATGGATCTATCTGCAGGATCTTTGATTCTGTTGATCTGCGCGCATCTTCACTACGTAATTGACACCCAGGACTCGGTACATGCCCAGAAGGCCCCCCGGAAAACATTCAGGAGGATTGAATACCAGTTTACCTCCGGAACTCGCACGAGGAGGCTGCGGATCTTGTGAGCGTTCTGTATTCTTTGTCGGACAAGACCCCGTCCGCGAGCAAATCATGGCTTCTCGTTTGCCAGCGCAGGGAAATAAATCCGCATGCCCGATTGCAGCTACTACTCCACAACAGGTAGTGGCTTGGACATCTGGGAGTGGGTGAAGTTTCTTTTCTTTTTCGGGGGGGCATTCAGAAATCGTTAGTCTTCGTATTGCCATCCTGGAGGGGACTCCGCGGCATAATGTGCCTAGTCTAAGTAGGTATCCCTTATCCTTTCCTACTCCGCGGAGTATTGTTTACAGTGGGACACATCAGTCGTAATAAGACGAGGGTCTAGTTATGTCCTAACTAGGCATGTAGATCGGTAGGGATAGAGGGAGGGAGGTAGGTATATGTAAAGAGTTGAATGGAACTTCCCGACAATCGCTTGGCAATAATAAGAGGCACGAGGTACGAGGTCCTTGGCCAGGTAGTTGTTGTGGATCGCCGTTGTCCTCACCTGGGGATTTCCCGTTTCGGATATCATATTAATTGAACCGCAATCGTCGGGGGCCAAGAGGGGCGCTGACATAAGAAAGAAAACTCCAAGCCTCGCGATACTCCTATGTATGTACTCGTTCACGCAACAAGTCGTGACGGTGGAATTCTCGCGGTGGCTGTTGTTCCACAGTCGGTACGGTGTGGCAGCCTCGTTATCGTTCTTTCTCCCGGGGCTCCTCCCCTTTCTCGAGAGCCGCGGCGCTCGAATTGGTTATGTAGATGGCCCAGAGAACCCCGTGTCCTGATCTATGTGTATCTAAGATTCCTCGGACGCGGTGGGCGAGGGCAGGCAAGCCGAAGGAGGAAGGAATGGGGAGCCAAGGAATAGGGACGGGGCCAACGCAAGGCGTGTCATAGTATGGCAGAAGGCAGGACAAGGCAAGACTAGACAGGGCATGGTATGGTATGGTTAAGGCAGAAGATAAAAATTGCCCGATTGGGAAACTGTGAGAAAACGGGGTTATTATCACGCGCAACAAGGAGGAGGAGGAGGAGGGTGGCCGTGCAAATGCTAATTACTGTCTTGGTTCGAATGCGCACCGACTGTGTCCCCTCTGTGGTGTGATAACACCCAACCCGCACAACACTGATCATTGATCATTGATCACTCATCGATCATCGATCATCGAGATCTCTCTCTCTCTCTCGTGCGCAGGCTCGCGCGAGAATGGCGAGCGAGGTGTATCGTCGGGCGAGAATGAGAGCGGAACCGCGTACAAGAGAACAAACACCCAGCCCGTGCGTGGGGAGCGGGAGGAGAAAAGAGGGGAGTTCGAGATCGATCGGACGTCCTCCTCCTGGCACTGCTACTGCTACTGCTACTGCTAGCCCACGATTGCGGTCCGGAGAGAGCTCGTGGATAATAGCTGGTTCTCGGGCATCGACGCTGTCCCCTCGTGGGTACTGAGTTACTACGTACCTTTTCCGCACGCCCGTAGATGCACAGTGACACGCTTGG